GGGGGGGGGGGGAGGGGGGAAGGGGTCACCGAGACAATAAATAGAATGGAGTAGGTGTCAGACGGACAGATTAGAAATACCGCCATAATATGACGTACAAGACAAGAAATGACTCATTATCGCCACAGTTTAATCTAACTATAACTTATATTATCAAGATAGGCTTATGTCAGAACAACAGGTGCACGCGCACCCTTGATAAGGAGTGTCCAATGTGACAGGCAGTCCGCTAGGAACCGTCGTTCGTTCTCCATTACTTTGTACAGGTGACATTAGCCCCATATACTAATCCCAATACTTCGACTAGTCCAACCTGTATTAATCATATGGGACCCCGGACTTCCATTTCTAGGACTGCCATTCCTGTCACGCCGGTCTATGACCTTAAATTGGAGATTTTTTCTATCAGGCTAGGGTAATTTGCTGTACTCTCCCATATATAAGTCTTTGCTAAAAACTATAATACATGAAGGTAACGTTCTCGCGACAATAACAGCAAATTAATCCCATGAACTCATAGGTAAACGTGCTTCCTAACAAGTTCCACTATTTACCAATTCTACCTGCTGACATCTCATGTAAATAAAAGAAAAGCTCTATTTTAAGTACGAAAAAGGGAAATGAAGGTAGGCCTAAGTCACTTGCATGTAACCCTAAACATGGAAATGACTCGTATTGAACACATTAATATTTAGCCTACCTGAAAAGCTGGAAATTGCGGGAAATCTTTCTACGGCTGACATATATATATAGGAGAGTCTACCGCAGCTGCCGTTTCGCAGATTAGCTACCTGTACTATATGTAATAGACACGTGGCTGTAGTTGTATCCGATTTGTTTTCTGAACCTCAGACATGGGGTATTACAAAATTTATGTACGAATATCAGTCACACGTGTATAAAACCATTACAATTAATACCCTATTTTCATTTTACCTGTAATCCAACCCCAGTTCAATTATATTTCTCCTTAGCTTCGAAAACAAAACCAGCAATATTATCAATTGTAATATTTTCTGTTTGATTTATTCATTGTTCTTTTTTATCTAAGTAAAAGACAAGTTGAATCAACCTTCTAGAAACCCGCTATTCTCCTTTCGAAGCCCGAAATGTATGTGTTCTGAAAACGATTTTTTCACAATATACGAGGTTTTTTAATACCCTAGCTATATCACGCATTTTCAAAATTGCGTGAGAGGCAATATATGGTAACAAACAATTTACTTGTATAACTCTAGACCCTGGGATTAGAATAGAAAACAAGTCAATCATCAGTCTCAATTAAAACGCACTTGTCTGACTGGTGAATAAATAATACAAATGTTTCCAGACAATTTAACCAAGACCAGATGGCACTCAAATCAATAATACAGATATCTGATGTGGATTATGAATAGGCCAGTTTCTGAGAATTAGAGTAACAAAGCAAATCAGTCTCACAGTGACGCAGAGTGGGCAATGGGCTGTATATACTGTTGGCGTGATAAATTAATACATGTACAGAGAGCTGCAGGTGAACGATAGTTATACTAGTCTAGTTCTCTATTTCATATTCCGTACATTACATACATTGTATTGGTATATCGCAAAAAAGACAAAGGGGCCGTTCACAAAGCATTTTATCGACCGAGGTAATGCGCACTAACTCCACGAGGACTATCGCTGAATTCAGTCAGATCAGTAGAGTAACGAACACGCCTCCTCTTGGAGTTGAATAGAGGACAGGAAATCTGGTGATTATACGAATATGCCTGTAACAAGAGGATGAGGAGAGTTAGGCCGTTAAATTTCATTGCGAACGGTCCCAAAGAGTGAATTAGATACAAAGCGAAAAGTGTCATATACTTGTTTGTCTAGACATTTAACATATTGAATGGCAGATTAAGACTAATAAAGTATGCTTTACACGAAAAAAATATTTTCTATTATGATAATCAGTTCCGAAATAATGCGTTTTTCGTAAACTCTCGTCTTTGCACACGTCAATGTAGGCCTACATATTTAAAGACAGGGTCTCTGTCATATAGAAAGAAAGCGCGACTGAGAATTAATATTATGGAGGTAACCCGCATTCCTATATTGAGTCTTCAACTATTCAAACAACAACAATAAAATAATGATAAAACGAAACCGGTGAAAATTTTGTTCAACAAAAATATTAAATATTTATGGCTCAAATATGTGCCAGTGTATAATAGCACACCAGACGCCCGAATTATTTTGCCCTAGCTGTTAAGAGAAATATACTTAAGGGATAGGCATTCATTTAATGTTTATGTTTTGCACTTATGTTTTACAGGGTATAACAAGTAAATACAATATGAAAAGAGAATTATTATTTTGAAGCAATCGCGGTTTCCTTATAGGGCCTATCTGAAAATGACTAAGTCCATGACATCATAACCCGCAGGAAAGTGTGTGTGTGTGTGTGTGTTCGTGTTTCTTCAAAACACCCCCCGCCTGTTTCATATGCTGAAATGCAGAAGGCCTATGTAGGCCTATTATCAGTTAAGGCTTAACACCTGTAAACGTTATCTTCGCCCAACGAAAATTCCATCCAGATTATATTTTATTTATCTACCAGTATCTCACCTTGCTTACGCTGCTCGTGTATTGTTTGATTCTCTCTCTCTCTCTCTCTTTTCGCGCCTGTAGCCTGTCTATCATATTGTCCAACTGTCAGAATGTCTTCTGTGAATATTTTGTCAACAAAACGCACTGCGCATGCGTGTTTGTTGATTTCATTGATTTTTGTTCTACATCACTCCCGCTTTCCTGGAATAGGTTTACCGTTGACCTTCACTGACGCACTTATATATTCTTGCTCTACTTCTTGGGAAACTGATCTCGGCAAAGACAGAATGAAAAGATGCAAAGAAAGTACTATAACTTAGCAGTTTCGAATTTGTCAATTTTTTTCGGAAAAAATTACTATGGCAAATCGGTATAGTTTTTTTTTTCTGGACATAAACTATTCTTCTTTCATATTTAAAGAGTTGTTATTATATATACAAAGGTAAATTTAAAAAAAAGGGGGGGGGGTTAAGGCAAAAATGAAGATTGCATCAAAGCTAGTTATCTAAATAAGCTGCATGGTTTGAATCTTATTTTATTAAAAACGAAATTAATTACCAATAAGAATATTTTGCTGTACAGTTGAAATCTAAACTTTTTGAAATTTTGACTCATTTGTTGTTAATTGGGTTGGTTCTTCTGTAAGGTGCATCTGAGTGTACGAGAAGAATCAGCCGAAGCTTGAGTAAGGTATAGGCTTGTATAGGCCTATAGGTGGAGGCATCTATATAGAGCTGATTTACAGAAGGTGCAAACAGATCCTTATGAATAAAACTTTACTGCTTTGTATATATAGAGATTTTAAACTTTTTCCGTATGTATCTAATTCTATAAAAAACAAATATAAATGTAAAAACGAAAAATACGTCGACGAACACCAGTCGAAGCCCCCAGCGAGGTTCGAACTCGCGACCCCTGGTTTACGAGACCAGTGCTCTAACCACTGAGCTATGGAGGCGGCCAATCACTGGTCGTAGTTTTGTAAGTGTATGAACAAAATGCTAGTACGTATCACGTCTATTTAATTGCGCATTAGCAACAAATCCTACAAATATTGTTAACATAGCCATGATGGTATGTTTTAACTACACTTACTTCCATTTAACAAAATTTTAAACACGTTATGATTTACTAATAATTATTTACTATTGAAATACATCAAGGTAAATAGCGATCTTCATGTCTTTAATGTGGCGGATTAATTCTCCATAGTGCTCTACTTTCCTACTCGAACACATTTACCGCAATCTAATAACTAATAGCAGCCACTACAGGTGGAACACCTATCGCAATGACAGCTTTTTTTCCATGGGGATGGGGCGCTAGATTACCTTTCCAAACAGAGATCTAATTGTTTTAATTTTATTAATTATTCTTTATTTATTATTATTATTTTGCAACTGGATACTGGGTAGAATTTCAAATCTAATTGACGAGTTTTTCCGTTTTGCATAGTACATATATGTAGCAGTGTAGAAGAGAAACTTATGATTTTAGTGATAAAATAATAATAATAATAGAAAAAAGATGAACGGAGCATCCATTTTCTCCATTTTTACAATTCTACAAAGAGAAGACTTTTTACCCCCCCCCCCCTTCAGGGAGTTAAAAAGCTAAAAATGACCTCTGACAGCGATTTGAATCATTATTATTAGTTTTCAAATAAAAGCAAACAGAGGGAAGTAAACACCCTCCCCCTTTCAAAGTGTCATTTCTTAATATAAATAAACAAAGGAGAGAGGCTTCAAGTAACATTTCATGATCTTGGTTGCCTTGAAGTAAAAATGTGAAAGAAGCAAATGTAAACTTTGGACCATTTATTTCTATTGAAGTCCAAAATGGAAAAGCACATTACCAATAAAACATGCTTTTGAGCACAGTAGTGCTTCTCATGGTAAATTATGCATACTCCATACTGGGCGACTATACAACATATTGCCTGCTAAAAACAAACCTTTAAAGAGTTTGGAGTCACTTTTAACACCCCACTAGAATAGAGGGTAATAAATGCTCCTGGATTTTATCTTAAAGTTTACAACAAATGTGCCGTAAAACTTGATATTTTAAAATGGCACTAGGTTTAATCAATATAAAGGACAACAACAACAAAATACTAGGTATTAACAACTTGACTTTCAATGAAGTTAAACTTCAAAGATAATATTGCAACATGTCAGGCAAAAAGACTAGCATATAAAATTGTTTGTACAAGCATGTCTTAACTGTAACTTCAAATTTCTCTGGATAACTGTGAGCTTTCATATATACTTGAATTAACAGTCCATAACATATTATATATATTATAATACTTTTTTATATATATATACTAGTGTGTACAACTTTGAAGGTAACATGAACATTAAATTTTGTAAAATTTATAACTTTTGAGATTTTGCATCTCATCAGTTAACTCTCAACATATAAATATGAGTCTATATAAAACATCTAGGCCCATTTTGATCAACACTGGATAGTGCTATCCTATGGATAACACTTTCATTTCATGTGTGTGTATTATTTGTCTTACTGCAAATTGTGTATTGCTCGTGAATAAACTACCTGGATACATGTACTTGAATATCTTACTTTGATATCACCTCTTTGGCAAGGATAGGTTTTATGATTTTAAAGAGGGAAGCCAATAATATTTAATGTAATACTCATCCTTTAAATCTGTAAATGCTTTTGAAATAACATATTTGAAACAAATAAAGAGAAATGCAAGAGAAATTTTCCTCTTTACAAATATTGGCAAACATGGCATGCATGGTAACAGCGCTAAAGGGTATTTAAGTATTTAATTGTTCTTTCCAAACTGGGAACAAATGGCAAGTTAGGCCCTGTTGCATAAATCTTCAGTGCAGTGTTGTATACAATAGACTACATGTACAGTATGGTTGATACTGTACAGTAGCAATTACTGGTATACTGTTACACTATTATTAAAAAAGCATGTATAACCCCTGCAAATGGTGCCATCAAAACATTACCAGTAAATACATATCACTGGATAAATTATTATTAATCTTTTATATCTCTGATCATAAAATAGATGGGATTAGTCCCTTAGTTCTGTCACTTGACAGACACATACTGGTACAAGAAGTCAATCCATGGAAGCCCTCTCATAAGGGTGCTTTTTTTTTTTTTTTTTTTTTTTTTTTTTTTACCTGAGGCAGCTAGGAACCATGGGAGAGTTCAGGCTTATATCCAAAGTGTATCATCAATGTCACATGGGTTTGTCTTGAGCATTATCACAGAGATCATAATGCTGTTTGGTAATTATACAGCAGTAGCACTGCATGCTAAATACATGTATAATACCATTTGCAGACTTAGATTTGCATCTTATTTACTTTTTATTCAACTGCAACACTGAAAGGGCACCTTACCCATAATATCACAGTCTCATTACACACAGGAAAAAATTTTCAAGGTACGAGAAATGCAGTGTCAGTCATGGGATAGGTATGATCACATCTAAAATATTAAGGTGTAAAATTCTTGCAATATTTGCCTGTGTAGCAATATCACGGCATGCATCACACAGGGTGCATAATAATTTTTGGTATTTTTCTGCAAAAATGCAATATCTGATGCATATCCATTTGCAGAAATTGTAAATTATAACCCACCATCCGTGCCAGGGGGGGATCCAAAGAAACTTTCTGACAGTCTTCCAAATTATCTTTGTTGATCCATCCCCCCTTTTTTACTATCTTCCGACTAAAAAAAATAGATGCCCTTCCCCTGCATGCAACTGGGATGATGGTTTATCAGAAATTATATTTCATTTCTTTCTCCAACATTTGCCTCTTTATATTACATGTACTCTTTGTATAGTTGAAAATGATAGGTACAACTATTACAGTGCTTCTATTTCAACGATTTGCATTATATGCAGTGGCGCACTGTTCATCTGTTGTAATATCAAGATAAAAACTAAGAAACATGTTTTCTGGGATTTTTTTTTCTTTGATACCCAGTATTGGATTTCGAATGCTAGGACCAGGCTGAAGGCAGTCAACCCAGGCAATGTCCATCACTATGGTGATCACAATTTACCCAGCAGTTGAACATACTACTCTCAGGTTTATTGCTGGGTGAAGCAGTGCTTCATGTATAAACCCCCTCCCACTCGAAAAAAAAAAAAAAAAAAAAGGATTCAGATCTTCTTTTTCTCTAACAGCTGCTTTTTTCTATTGCCTAGTATATATCCAGCACAAAGTTTAAAGGATTTCGACTAGAACTGACCAGAACATTACAAACAGCACCAAGTATAGGAAAATCTCTAGCCCAAGTACTACGTTCTCCTCTTTCTCTATACCTCATACCTCATACTTTCTCTATACCTTCAATAGTGCAGTGTTCAAACTGCTTTAACCAGATGCTCTTTGTCAAGGGAGTTAAAAACAATAACTGTATTCAGCTCCCTTCTGTCAAAAAACTGAATGCTGAAACAACAATTTCATGCTTAAATACTGTGACTGGCAAAAATTGTAATGAAAATGAACAGGACCACCTTAAAGCTATTCTCCCACATCTCCATCTTTATCCCCCATCCAGTGTAGGGTTTGAAATGCTAGGGCAAGGAGGGCGGTGCCCAGGAAGTCCCCCACTGCAGTGAGATACGGGATAGCAAAGTTATCTGGATCATCTCCACTCTTCCACATAAAGTGCACCATCCAGTTGGCAAGGTACAGCAGGACGATTACCTGGAATAGAAACATAAGGCAACGTTACTCGTGGTACAGAAAAACAATTTACCTGGAATATAGATACCAATCAAGATTTCTGGGGGTACAGAGGATTATAAATGAACAATTTACTATTATAGATATAATGACTGTTAATAGACAATTTAATTTATTACCTATCTCCAAAATGCCCAAACAATCACACACATTTGCATAGGAAGGCACACTCAAACACAAAGTTTGTACCTGTATTACCGCAGCTAGGAGATAAACAGCAGTAAACCTGGCAGTGATAGTTGTATGTCCTGCACCCACTAGAGCAATCGCACACATGAAGAGAAGATGCCCAGGTACCACCAAGCCAAGCAACACACGGGCTGTTCTTGAATGAGGTCCTGGAAACAATAGGCACATGTGCTATTCACGGGTGGATTGAGACCTTCTTCTGGGTCTTCTGGAAGATGGTCAGATTTTAAAGTTTACATAGACGGGTATCTATTTTTTTCTGTTGGAAGACCATTAAAAATGGAGTACGGATCAACAAAGATAATTTGGAATACTGTCAGAAAATACCTCTGGATCCGCTCCTGCTATTCCTGTCCATGAACAAGTCAGAAATCATGTTTTATACATCACCACCAACATAATAAACAAATCTAGCTTATGATTAAAATAAAGAATGAAAATAGGCAAATGTCAAAAAATTCAAAAGGAAGAAAAAATAGATTCCCAAGATTGTAAAGTAACCACAACTTTGTTGAGTTAGCCAAACAGCCCAATACTTCAACCAAGAAAAAAAATAAGAAAAAGTAAATTTGGTCAAAATGATCAAGCACTGCATTACCATTCATGTACATGGCTTGTAAAATGATTGAGATTTACATCAGTTGTTCTACACTTTTTTGATTCAGTTATTTTATAAATACCTTTCCCACAGAAAGCTGTGCAAGGATTCGCACATGCACGTGGTGCATTTTCTGGCATGATCCCAGGTGTACTGACCCGATGTAACGACGTGGCCAGTCTGCTGGCCTGAACAGCCACCAGGTTACCTCCTACACCTGAAATAACAGCATTCTTTTAGAACACACTTTCAGCTACTTAACCGTAATCATTCCCATTCTGACAATACCATCCATCAACATTTATTACCACTAGCCTTTGTTTTACTTCTTTGCTTTGCTCATTTTGTTTTTCACATTATGGTGGCAACCAGCACAGTTGCTGGGTGGCTGTCTACCTAGCTATCACTTCATTGTGCATTAGTGGATATATAAAATACTGCAAATATTTGCTGATTAAATGTTCAGTTTACATGTAACAGCTGGTATAGATTCAATATGCGACTGGCTAGCTGTAAATTGCAGCGAAAGGATAAAAGAATTTTTTTCAAAATTAGACAAGACCAGACAACCTCTATGTAAGTGCTGTTTCAGGTCACAAGTACATGAATATGTGCTAGCTTATATATGTATACCATAAAATATATGTATATCATAAATCTTACCATTTATCACAGGTTGAAATACAGCCAGGCCATGAAAATGTGTCACAGCATAGTCTAAAATCAGGCCACCCACACTGTATAGAAGACAAAAAATACATGACAAAAAGTTTGTTATAACATTTGAATAAAATATCATCTTAATTTATAACAAACAGCAAACTAAAATATAATCTTAGGGTGTATTCCCAGAGATTTAGATCGATCCAGAGATTAAGATTTAGATCGACCTAACTCCCTGGGGGTTCACGCTAAATTGCAGTCAGCAGAGCGCGCAGCATAGTTAATTATCCCCTTATAGCTTTTAGTAGGCGGGACAGACGCTTAAGCCAGCTAAGCTGACAGTAATCTGGTGAGACTCCCCACAGGGATAGATCGATCTAAAATCTATGGAAATGGGGTCTTAGACTGGCAGTCATCAATTTATGGGGGTCAACCCAACCAAGCCCAACCTACCAGTTACCTACCCAAAAATTTTGTAAGCTGTCCAGCCAGCTTTGGAAATATACCATAGGCCGTCTTCTGAGACTTAATTATGGCATCCAAAAAACTACTGGAAACCCCTTCAGACAGGTGCTCAGATATGCACACATTATATTATACCAGATGTCAAGAACAAAAGAGACAGCTGTACATGCTGCATCTGGCAAATACACACTTTAGGAATGCAAGAGATACACCATGTTTGGGTCTTTTACTGTCACCTTAAAAAGCAAGTATAATAATCAGGCCCGTAGCCAGCCATTTCAAAAGGGGGGTTCTTTTTCTGAAAAAGTGGACCTTTTCCCATAAAAACTTAATGTACCTAGATTGAATTTTACCCAGAGTGGACCTTTTCCCAGCAAAGGGGGCAGTTCTTTCGAACCCCCCGAACCCCCCCTGGCTACGGGCCTGTAATAATAATAATTATTATTATTATAAAAGATTCATAATTTGATAGTAAGGTGCTTTGCACTTGTGTACACCACACATGCATCTTGTTGACTTGTGATGTATCTCTTAGTGTACACACCAAAACATACCAAAACTTTCAATATTCTATTAAATTTAGTCCAATCTATTTGAAAGAAAACACTTCTCACTTCTTAGCAACCAACACTAAACTACTCTTGACAGCAACTCACAATATTTCAATATTGCTAACACAACACACTGAAGTACACTTTTAAATTCAAAAACTCTCTTGGTCAGTAATTTACCTGCTAATGGCCACAGCACAGATGACCGGTGTCCAGCCGTGATAGACCACATCTCTGGTGTATTTGTATTTTGTGGCCAGTATTAACCACATAGGTGTAAGGACTATAACAGATACTAATACTATGGCAGGAGAGAGCCAAGGATTTAATTCTGTAATGCAAAAATAAAATAAGTTAAACAACTAGAGGATCAGAGAGGCGATACCGCCTCCGAATATTGTACCACCAGCTGGAGAAAGCGCATTCGTATGGAAACCCTCCCCCCCTCCAAAAAAAAAAAAAGGGACACCAGTCTTGTGCTTGACAAGCTCAATAAAATTAAATCAACAAGAGTTCTCAAAATATGCAAAAAAATATAACTAAAAATGGTACAATCAAGCAGATTTTCAAATTGACTTGCATTTTCCTACCATTGATCACTCATGTGATTCTCTAGACAAAAGGCCTATTGGTTTTCCTTGAAATGTGTTGTCAGTGGTGCATATATGCTGACAAAAGAGAAAACCTAGGGGCAACACCAGGAACATCTCTGCTAGCTTTGAAGATATGAGGGGCAATTTCAATATCATTGTATATGAATTTCTATTCAAGTTCAATAGTAACCATGGGCATTTTTTTGCCAATTTTGCAGATTTAAAGGCCAGAAAAAATGCAAAAACCAGTTCATCATAAAAAGTAGGTCAAAGGTCAATTTCAAGGTCACAGTAAAATTACCAGTATAAAACTTCCTATTCAACTTCAATAGTAACTATGGACCTATCTCTGCCAGTTACGGAGATAAAAGGGAACGGAAATTTGCAAAGTTCAGTTAATGGTGAAAAGTAGGTCAAAGGTCAATTTTTAAGGTCACAGTAAATTGCCTCTAATGACTTTCTATTCAAATTCAATAATAACCATGGGCATATCTTTGCCAGTTTTGAAAGTATAAGCATTAAAAAAGTTGCAAAGTTCAGTTTATGGTGTAAAGTAGGTCAAAGGTCAACTTCAAGGTCACAGTAAGATTACCAGTATAAGACTTCCTATTCAACTTCAATAGTAACTATGGGACTATCTCTGCCAGGTTTGGCGTTAAAAGGAAAAANTATTTGTTGATCCATCCCCCCTTTTTTACCATCTTCCGACTAAAAAAAATAGATGCCCTTCCCCTGCATGCAACTGGGATGATGGTTTATCAGAAATTATATTTCATTTCTTTCTCCAACATTTGCCTCTTTATATTACATGTACTCTTTGTATAGTTGAAAATGATAGGTACAACTATTACAGTGCTTCTATTTCAACGATTTGCATTATATGCAGTGGCACACTGTTCATCAGTTGTAATATCAAGATGTTTTCTGGGATTTTTTTTTTCTTTGATACCCAGTGTTGGAATTTCGAATGTTAGGACCAGGCTGAAGGCGGTCAACCCAGGCAATGTCCATCACTATGGTGATCACAATTTACCCAGCAGTTGAACATACTACTCTCAGGTTTATTGCTGGGTAAAGCAGTGCTTCATGTATAAACCCCCTCCCACTCAAAAAAAAAAAAAAAAGGATTCAGATCTTCTTTTTCTCTAACAGCTGCTTTTTTCTATTGCCTAGTATATATCCAGCACAAAGTTTAAAGGATTTCGACTAGAACTGACCAGAACATTACAAACAGCACAAAGTATAGGAAAATCTCTAGCCCAAGTACTACGTTCTCCTCTTTCTCTATACCTCATACCTCATACTTTCTCTATACCTTCAATAGTGCAGTGTTCAAACTGCTTTAACCAGATGCTCTTTGTCAAGGGAGTTAAAAACAGTAACTGTATTCAGCTCCCTTCTGTCAAAAAACTGAATGCTGAAACAACAATTTCATGCTTGAATACTGTGACTGGCAAAAAATGTAACGAAAATGAACAGGACCACCTTGAAGCTATTCTCCCACATCTCCATCTTTATCCCCCATCCAGTGTAGGGTTTGAAATGCTAGGGCAAGGAGGGCGGTGCCCAGGAAGTCCCCCACTGCAGTGAGGTACGGGATAGCAAAGTTATCTGGATCATCTCCACTCTTCCACATAAAGTGCACCATCCAGTTGGCAAGGTACAGCAGGACGATTACCTGGAATAGAAACAAATGGCAACATTACTAGTGGTACAGATAAACAATCTACCTGGAATATAGATACCAATCAAGATTTCTGGGGGTACAGAGGATTATAAATGAACAATTTACTATTATAGATATAATGACTGTTAATAGACAATTTAATTTATTACCTATCTCCAAAATGCCCAAACAATCACACACATTTGCATAGGAAGGCACACTCAAATACAAAGTTTGTACCTGTATAACTGCAGCCAGGAGATAAACAGCAGTAAACCTGGCAGTGATAGTTGTATGTCCTGCACCCACTAGAGCAATGGCACACATGAAGAGAAGATGCCCAGGTACCACCAAACCAAGCAACACACGGGCTGTTCTTGAATGAGGTCCTGGAAACAATAGGCACATGTGCTATTCACGGGGGGATTGAGACCTTCTTCTGGGTCTTCTGGAAGACGGTCAGATTTTAAAGTTTACATAGACGGGTATCTATTTTTTTTCTGTTGGAAGACCATTAAAAATGGAGTACGGATCAACAAAGATAATTTGGAATACTGTCAGAAAATACCTCTGGATCCGCTCCTGCTATTCCTGTCCATGAACAAGTCAGAAATCATGTTTTATACATCACCACCAACATAATAAACAAATCTTGCTTATGATTAAAATAAAGAAAGAAAAGAGGCAAATGTCAAAAAATTCAAAAGGAAGAAAAAATGGATTCCCAAGATTGTAAAATAACCACAACTTTGCAGAGTTTGCCAGACAGCCCAATTTGTTCAACCAAGAACAAAATAAGAAAATATGAATTTGGTCAAAATGATCAAGCACTGTATTACCATTCATGTACATGACTTGTACAATGATTTAGATTTACATCAGTTGTTCTACATTTTTTTGATTCAGTTATTTTATAAATTTATTTACCTTTCCCACAGAAAGCTGTGCAAGGATTCGCACATGCTCGTGGCGCATTTTCTGGCATGATCCCTGGTTTACTGACCCGATGTAACGACGTGGCCAGTCTGCTGGCCTGAACAGCCACCAGGTTACCTCCCACACCTGAAATATCAGAATCCTTTTAAAACACACTTTCAGCTACTTACTCGTAATCATTCCCATTCTGACAATACCATCCCTCAATATTTATTACCACTAGCCTTTGTTGTACTTAATTGCTTTGCTCATTTTTGTTTTTCACACTATGGTGGCAACCAGCACAGTCTCCGGGTGGCTGTCTACCTAGCTATCATTTCATTGTGCATTAGTGAATATATAAAATACTGCAAATATTTGCTGATTAAATGTTTACATTACATGTAACAGCTGGTATAGATTCAATATGCGACTGGCTAGCTGTAAATTGCAGCAAAAGGATAACAGAATTTTTTTTCAAAATTAGACAAGACCAGACAACCTCTATGTAAGTGCTGTTTCAGGTCACAAGTACATGAATATGTGCAAGCTCATATATGTATACCATAAAATATATGTAAATCATAAATCTTACCATTTATCACAGGTTGAAATACAGCCAGGCCATGAAAATGTGTCACAGCATAGTCTAAAATCAGGCCACCCACACTGTGCAAAAGACAAATGAAAAATTACATGCTTAAAAAGAATACCATTTAAATAATTCATTTAACTTACCTTAATAGCAAACAGTATTAAAAAAATCTGATTTCAGACTGGTGATCAGATATGTTCACATACTTATTATACCAGATGTTAATGACAAAGGAGCCAGCTGTACATTGTGCATCTGGCAAATACTCATGTATCACACATAAACAAGATACATCATGCCTGAATCCTTTAATTTCAACATCCACTGTGGTAACAGAATACTACTACTACTAATAATAATAATAGTAAAACATTCATCACTTGCCAGTAAGGTACTTTGCACTTATGTATGCTACATATACTTTATTGTTTTGTGATGTATTTCTTAGTACACAAAACACAACTGATTCACTGGACTCACAGAAATATCAAAAAAGTTAACACAGTTAGCTATGCTCACCTCTTAGCAACCAACACTCAAGTACACATGACAGCAAGTCATGAATTTCGATACTGTTAATTGAAACAATACTCAGAGGCACCCTTTTTAATTCAAAAACTCTCTTGGCCAGTTACTTACCTGCTTATGGCCACAGCACAGATGACCGGTGTCCAGCCATGATAGACCACGTCTCTGGTGTATTTGTACTTTGTGGCCAGTATTAACCACATAGGTGTAAGGACTATAACAGATACTAATACTATGGCAGGAGAGAGCCAAGGATTTAATTCTGTAATGCAAAAATAGAATAGGTTTGATATTAATTATAAATATTTGGTAGAAATGTACAGAGTTGCCAATGGCTTAACTTTCATCCAATAAATTATTACTGATAATCTTATACTTACAAAAAGAATTTCAAAGTACAGTGGTCTGCCTTCATCTACCTTTTAAGGGGATAAAGAAATTCTTCATACAAGCAAGCACTTAAACAAAGCTCATTCCTAACTAAATGACCACTTTTCCAAAGCTCACACCTATCTGATCATACAACCAAGAGCTACTGGTTGCCAAGAGAACAATGGTCACCAGATCACCCAGGCTTGCCGAAAGAGGTGTTGCTATATTGTCTGGGTTGATATTCAATTTCCTGGAGTACAGTACCACCAGCATCATCAGAATTCCTGGAAAACATATGAGAGTAATGATACTGTCAGTACAACCAACTGGACGTCTTATGTATAATATCTTCATTTTTGATTGCCCTATTTGTGAACATCAATTCCCTTAATACTTTCTATCCAATATGCTTCTCTGAACATCCACCATGAAATTAGAAATAAAAGTACTCTCCAGTTACTGTGTTATAAAACTTTATATTCAACTTCCCTTCTATGTCTAGGTTCCCATACCTAGATTGACCTAAAAGGATCGATCCATCTCTAAGGGGTTTCTCGCTAAATTGCCTTCAGCTTAAGCGGTTTAAATGTCTGGCACGCCTACTGAAGCTGCTAAGCGTGACAGACATCTAAGCCACTTAGGCTGATTGCAATTTAGCGAGAATCACCTCGGAGATAGATTCATCCACAGTTAGTATGATAGGGTATGGGAATGGTCCCTTTTACACATAATGCGCCTATTCATTAAAAGTGAACTCACCTAAGAAAAGTGAGGCTAAGCAGTTGGTGAGTATACTACTAGCCCCCATCAGCATGACATGGTTGATGTTAAACTTTCCTTCGGGTACCCAACCCATGGCTACAGCTAGCACAGATGCTACAAAAGCCGTAACTATTGACTGACCCTAAAATAATCATAAACAAACTATAATTTAGGAACAAGATTTTTTTTTAATGATAATGATCTCTTCGCACACAGAATGGTATTGATAATTTATATAAAAGCAAAAAGGCAAAATAATAATAATAATAATGACAACACAATTACAGTTATTATACCTCAATTTGTGGGTCAAAAACATTGTCTACAATATAGTACATTGTCTATAATATATATATAATAACATAGTACAGTGAGCCTCAGAAGGATATTATAAAGTCATGTACCAGCATCTCTCTGACTGTGAATAATTGGAAACATTTTCAATACAGTAAGAGCCATTATGATAATCACAATAAATGCATTGTGTTGTCAGGAATCTCCAATTTAAATGGGTACTGTGAAAACCATGATGGTAGCATATTAAAGCAATGGATATGACAGAAGGTCAACAAAAGTGTATTTTAAATATTTATATCGTAATTTATACTGCATGCCTGAAAGCTATTTCCAGGATGTAAACCTCAATAACATAAAAGTTTATTACAGATTTTAATTCCAATTCATTCTGTGCTGATATTTCCTGGCTTAAATAATCATAATAGCTGACTGGTTAAACTAAAAGTCCTTTTTTGGTTAAATTATTGTAAACAAATCAGTCCCTTTTTCCCCACCTAAATTATACAACATTCTTTACAGATTATACACAAAGCACACTTCCTAGTAAGTCCAGCTATTAGTAAAATGACTATCTAAACTGTGCCCTTCTTTTAATATAAACACTGTATTTGCAAGTTACATCACTGAGGCATGGTAATGTACACATTTAAGCATAATTCATCAAGGAAATAAAAACCTAGCCAAAGGATTCCTTTCATTCAAAACAGCCAACAACCAATGACATCCATGACTGACACGTCAAATGATGGATAATGTCTCTTTTTTTTCTAAAAATAACAGTATTTCCTCAATCATGAAACTTTCATGTTGCAGAGCTCAAAATACTTATACACAAAAACAAGCACACTGTTAGTGTAATGTTAATTTGCATACTTTGAATAAACCATGTATATTACATCTCCTTACCTGAGTTAACACTGTATTACCACCTATAGACTTCCACTGTTCTTTTACTTCATCTAAGTAACCAAGATTAACCTAGAAGACAAGAAAAACATTGATACATTACACTTCGGACCTAAATAGGATGTTATGATAAAAATCATCAAAGATACATCTGTCATATTCCATGTCATTTAAAATGCAACTGCTGCAATTTTTTTCAAATATTCATAAATAGAAATTTGTGTCTAATTCAACTTAATAACTTCATTCTAAGCCATTAAAAACTGAAACAAAGATTAAAAACCCTTCAATATCACACCAATACCCAAATATGTTAGTCACATTTAATAGGTACATGTGTACTAATACTTATAATTACTTCACCAATATCTAGCTTATTATGAAATTTTCCTACAGTAAGTGTCTAATAGACCAATGGATAGTCACATTATACAATTCATAGTTGGATGAAATATTAAATTAGTTTTCAATTTTGATAATACATCCTATTATAAATTGTATAATAGACCAATGGATAGTCACATTATACAATTCATAATTGGATAAAATGAATTAGTTTTCAATTGCGATAATGCATCCTGCTGCTGGCAGACGAATGTCTGGACTTAGTCACTATGTCATATGAAATTCATAATTTCATCAATTTCAGTTTGAACAAACTAAACAAACTTGCAACCTCAGAAGTATCTTTTCACAGTGCACTCTTGTTGTAGCTGTTTTTCACAGATTTTTGCTACAGGTAGGCCTCAGGAAGGGAGTGGGGAAGGACGCAAATAACTCTGACCACATGTATTTACTTATTCAGTAAGTCTCATGTCTACACAACACAAAAAGTCACTTCTTATATTCAGTGCCACCCATCCATTATTAATGGTTTTTACCTGTGTTGAGAGTCTGGAAGCCAATGTCATTCCTAGGTTTCCCTTCAACCCCAGTAATGGTGGCACCAGTATAAACAGCTCTGGGACCTTGTGAAACACAGACCAATGCTGGAATTAACAGATAAAGATATGCAGGTTTAAGACTGTCAGATAGAATCTGTTGAATGAAAAATGAATGACATGGGCCACATCTAATTATTCTTTACAGATGAACATGTACTTTCAGCTAACAACATTGGTTCATAAACACTGTTCACATACTAGAAGTTATCACTGATATGACATGATATTTTTAGCATTATGCAGTACTAAACTATTTCTTTTCTTTTTTTTTCCTCTCGCCAAGATGTGATGATAATCTAAATATGGTCATGACTTTAATTATTCTTAACTGAAGAAACCGGAGTTTGTGAGTCTTGGGTTGAGGCGCTTGCCAGAATTATGACGCACAAGTACTGGCAACGAGCTGATAGGACAAGTGCTTCTAAAATCTATACATTCCTTCTAAGTTATGGATTATAATACCACACTGTCAGGTCAACAATGTGATAAATATAAAGGAATATTAATAATAGATAAAAGTTTTAAAAATTAAAGTATCAAATACTGTAAATAAATAAATAAATAAATAAATAAATAAATAAATAAATAAATAAAGGAAACTCAAATGGAAAGAAAAACTTCATGACTTCTTTAAGCTACTTCAGACATCAGAACCTTTGCCTAACCTGTACAATATCCAACACCATACCAGCAGCCACAGTTCCAAACCCTGCAATGATATAGGGCAGCAACACTTGAAGAAGAATTGTGAACTCTGTCTCTTCTTTCCCGGTCAATTTTTTTTCATGGAGATCATCGTCAGAGTCTTTACCCAGAAGTCCTTTCTTTAATTCTTGTTCATTAAGTACTGTTTCAGTATCACTGGGTTCAGGGGCGGTTCTTATGCTGGTGCCACCATTCGCCTCTCCATCCGACGTCCTCTGCTGCTCGCCATCCTCGTGAAGAAGGCGATGGTGTGGGGACGTAACATCAATATTATCATCGTGAATGTTCACTTCCATCATCTTTGGCACGGGGGATTTTAGATGTTCTTTCTTGTCTGTTACGTCTGAGTCTCCTGCTGCAGCTCTCTGACGTCTTTGCCTCAGTCTTGCACTCGATCTAGTCGGCAAGGAATCCATGTCCGCCATTTTGGCTGTGGAATATCTGTGGCCCTTGGTGCCTGTGTCCCAGTTCGTTCATCCTGTAATGAACAACGATATTCTTGTAAATAGAAACAATCAAATCTGAAATGAAAATATTTGTTGTGAGCTTACGAATAAAAGATAAATAAAATAATGAAAGGTGCATCAGTATATCAGACACAATGAAACAGTTGAGTTTAGTCATTCATATACACACTGCTAATAAGCCTTCAGACCCAGTATAACATCTGTCCAACTGTCTGTGTTGACCAACAGTAAATCTGATGGCTTACAACAACTCATTCCAAATTTATAAACCTATTTTGGTGTACTGGCTCTCTGGCACACTTGGTCTTAAGAGCTCAAATGCTCAAACTTCAAGCAGAAATGAGGTGACCAGTAACCGAACAAATTCACACAATTTCATAGGTCCAGCTTCAATTTAACTGGCATTTAGTTGTGTCTTAAATTGGCAGACTCTCAATAGCTCAGATTAGACAGTAAAACTTTATGTGGACCAATATTGTTCTGAACTGTGCACTGTCAGCTTTTATGACTATATATATATATATATATATATATATATATATATATATATATATATATATATATATATATATATATATATATATACTAGTAGTGGCACCTTTAATTTTAAGTTATGGTCAACTCCAACAAACCTCATACTAAATGGTAGTTATAAATCCACAGAAATTAACATCAGCTAGTCAAAAATATACCACACGCGTTAAAATTGGATTAGTTAAAGAAATAAGTGAGTTTTGCTGTACTTGTCATTCATTGTGCCCGTATCTCTCAATAATGTATTCCAAAACAGAATTTCTAAATACAATATTTAATAAACCATTATATCTTAATATTCACTGACAATCAAAACTTTATGATAAGCAGGACTGACACAGAAGTCTTGTAAAACCTTCATAAAACTACAGGTATATCATTATAATAATCAAACCACCAGCATACTAATGCCGAGTTCAAATAATTTTAACTCCCATATATAAAACTGCCCTCTCCCATTACACAGACATATTTTACATATTTTGTTATTTTCCTTTTATTTATTTATTTATTTATTGTTTGTTTGTTTGCTTGTTTTTGGTATTCCAAATGAACCAATGATAACCCAAGAAGAAATAATTTTAATTAATTACTTACATTCTTTGTTTTAAGACTTCTTCAAAATGGGTTTGTTTGTTTCAATATTTTGTGCTTGTTATTAATTTCCTTTTTGTTTGCTTCATATATACCTTGCTTCATATGGTCTTGATCCATCCATTTCCTAGGCTTTGTTATACACAGCCTGTTGAGTCTTCCCACCTTGTGCTAAACATACACTGTATGCAAATATATACCTTCTTATCTAAAAATCCCTTTATTAATCAGGTTTCAGAAAATACTGGTAACATCTGCACATTACACAAACATAAACAAAACTGAATTTTGACCCCACATAAGGCATCAAGTGCAACTGAAACTGTGCTTCTCAATACTAGTATGCAAATTCCATAATTTGCAGACTTGACCACTTCGGATCCAGTTTGTGCATGCACATGCATACCCGCACTCAAACACAGGCAAACTAGTACCAGTACACAATTTCTATTCCATCATCAGGTAGTTTGTTTCAAATAAGCAAATGATTTTCCTACAAAAACCTCAACTTCCAGTGATTCTCTTATTTCTTAAAATAAATTAAAATCTATATTAAGACAGTAATTTTTAACACCGTATATGTACCTGTTCTAGGTGAGAAGAAATTAAGGACGGCTCTTACTAAATCAATATCAGAATCACTTTTAGCTTGAGACACTTAATACCAGTTAATCTGACTGATATCAAGTCGGTTAAAGAATTAGAAAAGCTTTAAAGAAATTTTCTAACCAATTGCAACTCAGATATCACAAGAGCCTTCATTGTCCGGCAACAGTGTAACTCCACATTGTGGACTGCAAGCTTTGCACCTGAATATTTAATGAAACCAATAACAACCTTAATAGTATGGTATTGTGATCACTGTAGTTATTCATTGCTAGAATGATGTTTTAAACCCGCATCATGTTAAATGCACCGAGTGTATTAAATGTTTTTAAGATGCAGTCAGCTAGGGATGTTCAATAAGACTTCAGTTGTGGATGTTTGACTTACTAGTAAAAACATGAAAACTGAGTAAATAATTTGTCTGTATATATCATGCTTTCTCTCATTCCTCCATATTTTAGAGAGTAAATTAAACTTATCAGCACTGTAAATTACACCTTGGAGCAATGGATCTAAGATTCTATTTTCAGGGGCGGATTTAGGCCGTCTTCTGGGTCTGCTGGAAGACGGTCAGATTTTCAAGTTTACATTGTCAGCCATCTAATATTTCTGTCGGAAGACGGTCAAGAATGGAAGATGGATCAACAATGATAATTTAGAAGACTGTCAGAAAATATCTCTGGATCCGCCCCTGATTTTGGATGTGTGACTTTTAGTACTGGCATATAAACAGAGTCAGTTCCCTGTATTCTGAGCTATCTTAGATGTCACACAGTTTTATCTTGTACAAACATTTTTCTTTAAAATTAAACTGTTTTATAATAATCAAACCTCAACATTATTTTACTGGTTAAATGCCACATAAACTAGTAGTTTTCTTTGAGGTGACATTTCAACTGGAGATTCATGGAAAGCAATATACTTAGGGTCCTTGTCTATTTATCCAAACCATTGCATGTACTGCACATACATAAATAACTGATGAAAACTGTGTACTTCCTCTTTTTTGGTAAGAGAATTTCAAATTTAAACTGTGTTTTTTTTTTCAATGCTGGTACAGTGTTTACTAAAAGATTATGTTACATCAAAGCACTCATCTTTTATAGTTCCACATGAAAGGAATTTGTTCTTTTTTTTTTCTTTAGTCACAGCTGTCAAAATGGTTTTTCACTCTTTTGCCCTTTTTATGCAAGTTTGATTCCTCCCAGTATGACAGATTTGCTAACTGTCCTTTCTCAAACTGGACATGTTTTATATCATTATCAATAAATAGAATTTATACTCACTTGGAAAAGATGGGTAGCCTGGTAGTCAAAACCATAAATTCATATAATAACAACTCTACCTGCCATTCTGCTTGTAAATTATCTTTTTATCACAGAAACAACCCGGACTACAACTCATGGAAAACAAAACCTGAGTTCATGCTTGGGCTAAATTTGACACTGGTGACCTGTCTGGATGGATGCCACATTTAGGTTTAAATAAAAGATGTTACATACCAATCCATGGAGACAGAATAAACATTTTAATAATGAGCTGCCCTGAGTAAATTGCTGCATGGACAGATGTTATATTTCTCACAAGTTGTACTTGATACGTAACAATATTGTGCTTGTTCTTTTTAAAATCCATTTTTAATGTTTTCTCTTCTTTGCACATTCACAAGTGCATAACGTGTAAATTAAATCAGGATACATGTCCTACCTTAGCCTGCAATATAAACAATTCTCCTTTGTATCCTCATAAGGCCAACATGTGTCATTTTCTTTATAAAGAACGGCATAAGGCAATCATTGTCTACATCTAACAGTCACAATCTGACAAATACAGTGTACATGTAGCAATTAATTAAATGTCTACTTCTGATAGTCACCATGTTCTTACTGACTATATAGCAACCTTATCTTAAGTATCATGTTGATAGAACTCCTACAAACAGGCAAGAGCCATGTTCAGATCACTTTCCACAAAACGGGTTTTAATCCCAATCTTTGACAGCAGAATCTTCGAATCTTTGAATTGCAATCCCTCCTATGTAATAAATCTGTAATTCCACCTATCAATCCTTTTGCAAACCACTTACCTTGGAGATGGCACATATATGTATAGGCATTACACAAAAGGGAATTTCAATAATGTATCTGCTTTGCAATGTTTGGACTAAAAAAAATTCTGCTTTGTGAAACTAAGTGTGAACACGCCTACAGACTTCCAACATTCTTCAGTGACAGTGTATATCAGTCAGCAGGCTACATGTATAAGGATATACGATATAATAATAATATAATGATAAGTGGTAACAACGACTTCCCTACTTCACATGACCAAAAGTCTCCACACCTACCTGGAGGGTATTTGTATCCTTTTACTATAACCAGCAAGCCGCGACAAATAGGATCGTCAAAATTTTGGCCATGTCACTACCCACACTAATCAGTAAACCTTACCTGGTTGAAAGTTCCCAAAATCCCATGTCCATCTAAACTAAACTATTATCACTGTCACTGAGACCAATCTCAATGTCTTCCTGGAGGAGGAGGGGCTTATAATAGATTAATTTGTTGTCAATTAGTTCCAATAATGCCCACGGAAATGCACAGCTGCTGCTAAAAATCTGTCCAACTGGTGGCTTGACATTTTCCACATCTGAACCACTGTGACAGTAATTACAATGACTAGACACAATAGCTTTTGAGACCTTTTAAATACTGCGCTTCATCTTGACAATCACAACATGAAAAATAACACTGCCATCCTCGGGACTATTCTCTCATGTAACGAATGATCAAGCGCATGCGATGGTTGATAGCTAAACACAAGACTGCAGATGAATTTTTATCCCTTTGGTTTAGTGTGCACTCATGTGTTAAACCACAGGAGTTTATTCAGAGAAGAGGATTTATTCACGGTCAGTGAGTGGGTGAGTTTACTTTGTACAAGGAACTTCAAGGTATTTGTCTGTGCACGAGAATAATGTCATGCTGATCTCATTTAAATTTATAACAGGCTTTATTTCAAGGACGAAAACATTTTTAACAGCAAAAAAAGTACTGTTTGATTAACATTATATCATTTATTAGTGAGAATATGACTTAAAACATTTACTAACTATTCAACTAATAGTTTATTAATCAATTAATTCATTAATAAGTTTCTGTGTTTTCACTTTTTTTATCAACATGTAGAAAAAAAATGCTTCTCTCACTTCTCACACACCTAAAAATTAGTTCTGCTATTTGCAGGTAATGGATAGAAACATGTGTCACTTTTAAATAATTTACGTCTGAAATAATTTATATCTAAAATCTGAATATTATTTTTTCATAATTTCTTTTTCAGTGACTCAAAGGGTGGAGTTGACATAGACTATCAACTGTAAAATATGAAAAAAAGGCAACCAAAAAGTCAACTTTGAACCAATAATTAGTTCCTAATGCCTTTGGCTATATCACTTCTCACAAATAAAGTTTTAACATACAGTGTATAGATCTAAATATTGTAATAAAGCACTTGTTACACATCTTGGCAAAAACATCGTCTATGTCAAAGTAAAATAGAGCTATTTTTTTCTATAGATACAACAGCAGTTGCCCTAGACAGTAGTTTCTTTAAATATTCCACAACCTGTTTTCTTCCACAATGCAGAGCTGTGAATTAATTTTTCTTCAATTTAAAAATTGTACAATTTAAACCCCCCCCCCAAATCAATCACGAAGACAACGACTACTTAGTACATTCAGCAAGTTAGATAACATTCATCCGAAATCTAATGTGGTGCCATCCACGGCATATGTGACTACCCCAAAATAACCGTAAGTGTTGCAGATCTAACCAGAATAACTCTATTAAACACACAAATCAGGACAGGCGAGCTTAATGCTGGCCCAATAATAAGTAAATGGTGGATTGTTGCCGAAAAGACATGAAGTATTTAATGGGGGCGTCTCGATAGTCCGAAGGTTCATTGGTCCGAAGGTTCATTGGTCCGAAAAGTGGTAACATTTTTATCGATTTTCTAATCAAGGGTTCATTGGTCCGAAGGTTCTATAGTGAACATTCGGACCAATGAACCTTCGGACTATTGAACCTTCGGACTATCGCTACGGCCCCTATTTAATAGCCTAAATTGGCCTTTTACAACTTTCCATAGGTATCGTTTGAATGAAAATAATGGGTGACGGTTAAGCAAACAGACTGAGGGTTGTAATTAAAGTAGAGAACGTAGCTTTAATGAGAGAAACTACCAGACAGAGCTTACCACTCTTGAAGCCCTCGAAAGTTGCAGACGGATTGCAGCAGGTCACAGATTTATTTTCGGCAACTCCGTTTTAAAACATTTAGTAGACAACAAGGTTATTCCTTACAACTGGTTTATTGTTATTAATTTCACATTACTTGATTCTTTCTGTTTTTAGCGTTTTGTTCTCGTTTTATTAATTTATTTTTAGAACAAATTTACATCGCCCATGATGCATCAGTAAACATGTCTGCGCCCATAGGAAACGATTCTCGTGGTTGTGGGGACACGATATTGCAGCCTGTTTGTGAAATGAGCACTGCTACAACTAAATGTTCTACTTCTAAAGACCTGCTTCACATAGGAGGATCAAATCGTAAGAGTAACCCTTTCAATTTTCGCACTTAAAGTTCGAAATAGACCTAATAAACGCAATGTAAGTTTAATTGGAACTGGAAAATTTGTCGAGGTTTTGTCGTTTTGTTTTGAAGTCAAACAGTGCTTTAAAAAACTCCGTTTGTTGAAAATCTGGTATTTGTTTCGATTAAACCAAGCTCTGGCATGTTTAACTAAGCTTTTCATTTCTTGGTTTGCTTTTGCCTGCGTATTATCTTGTGTATTATGGGTCCAACATCTGATAGAAAATTCGCATACAAGTACACACACGTGTATACAGTATGTATCATTTCTCAGATTGATAAGACTGCATTAATTCACATACATTTGGTAGATAGAAGTGTTATATAGTTTACACAGTTTGAATGTTTTTTTTTTTTTTTTCTATATCCAGCTGATTTCCTAGTTATATCTAAGAAGTCAGCACAGCCAGTAAAGAATGGATTAAAAACATACAGGACAGAGCCATCTTCAGGTTTGTTTCAATTTTAGTTGTTGGATTGATATGTTGTAAGTGATGAACTTGGGAAGTTAAACCAAACGTCTACAGCATAATAATTATAATTGTAAAAATGTAATAATAATAATGATCTTTGATCACTTTACTTCAGTTTTGAGCAGGGTCAAATCCTTTCTGCCAAAAATGGAGGAAGCCCAACTTCAAATTCAGGAAATTCTGAAAAGCAATCCAGAAAAGCTAGATATTGAACACATTGATGATGCTGAAGCCCAAGTTATAGAAATGGTTAGTACTATTATATTTTTGTTTCCTTAGGTATAGATGGTTCTTGAAAAACAAGTGTTGTGCAGTATTTGAGTTTAACATTTAACATGGTTTTAATATTTCTATGAGAATTTTTCAAGTACTCAAATTTTAAATCTATTTGATAACAATATGCTACTGTGTTTTATATTAAATGGTAGTTATACATACAGTATAAAGCCTGAGGTGTAAATTTAAAAGCATAAATTACTGTACAGTTATAGTAGAGGCATTATTTTATTTTACTTGATTGTTTCAGAACCTTGCTCTTGTGGAACAAGAAGAGTCATCAGACACAAGTTCAGATGAAAACGAAGCAGAAACTGTGAGTGATAGTGACACTGATATTGAATTTCCATGCAGTTCAGTGACTGAGAAAAACATTAAGTTATCTAAAAATAGACGGAGAGGCAATAGGTGCAAAATTGAAGAAGTTGGGGAGACATCTAGTGAGAATGATAAACAGCAGACTGAGATGGAAAGGTAGTAGTTTATTTAGGAAACGGTGTATCCTTCACAATATTTCCTAGCTAGTCTGTGATGTTGGCAACCTGCTTTGAGGAAACTGAACTGCTAGATTTGGCATCAGCCTGTGACAAAGATTGTGTTACAGTACTAGTACTCAGTGGCAAGTCACTGGACAGCCCAGTCAAATATATAAGCAGTTGTTTTGAATTAATTTTCTTTCATATATAGATTTTATCTTCAATTTTCTGAATTTATCAAACCTTTATCATCATGTTTGACCTTATCAAAAATTATTGTGAAAGAGAAATGGCCCCACATGGCACTCTCTTTGATGGCTGTTCTGTATTTGTTTCATTTTATTTGATAATTATTTGTAAAATGTGTCAGATTCTGCATTTATTTGTTTTACTGGGAATCTGGTAATACACTTTAAGCAGCTGCTGTTTTTTTTAAAACAATTTTCCTTTTTTATGTTGAAGGTGTGCTACAGACTACTGAAGGAGGTAGTCTACACTTATTAGGTTTCGTTGGAGTCTTCCAATGAAACCAAATGTGGACAATACAGAAGTTTAATTTCACTTGAATGATACATTTGACCAAAAATTGAGTCATTTTGTTACTTTCATATCTAATGTTTTGTTGTATTAAAATAAACATTGTGAAATCAGTACAATTACAGGAAAGTGATGTCTGTTTTTGCCTTAAAAAGGTCAGTATCTTGTAGTTGAGTATAATTATAAATTTCAACCATGAGAACCAAGTTTTTTGATCAGCCATATTAGTATGTTGCCTGGTCTGAGTTTGTCTTGAGTATGTATTTTGCTTGTTCTTAAGGTGGTATACTTACAGTCAGCTTCAAGTTGATCAGGTAATAACACTCTCAAATAGTTATCTTTAAGATGTTAATATAATTATATTAAATAATGAAATATCAAAGTAAAATATGATACATACAGTAAAATATATTTATTGAAATTGAAACTCCCCTTCCAGGTATACATTTTATTTAACTATCCTTACTGCAATGGGTTGAAAATTAAAAGTAAATATTAAAATAGAAAATATTCCAGGACTGTCACAGATATCAGAGATTATTCTAAATGTAAAAATACTATAACAACACAAGAGATCACTTCTTATAAAACAACCAAATAATAAATAAATTTCACATTTAAATTGTTTAAAAAGTTCATTCAAATGGATCTAATCTAGTTAAAAAAATTTTATGGATACTTTTTAGCAGTTTACTGTTTGAATGCTTACATATGTCTGTCAAAGAATAGCAATTTGTTTTCATGTGAAATACATTATGTCCAATTTACTTTTACCCGAGTGTAAAAAAAATAGATAAATATAATCTCTTTTTCCAGTTTACTTTTACCTGAGTGTAAAACATAGATAAACAAGTAAATTAAAAAATAAAAACAAAACAAAGACACTCATTTTGATTCAGCTTCACTGGTTTGAACCAAGGATGCAAAAGTTAACTCAAACGACATTTCTGATTTTTATGCTTACTAGTAGTTAATTGTAAAATTTTTAGTGTATTACAGAGAGCCTTAAACTCTCTGAAAGGGAAAGTATGTCCCACTTACTGACAAAGCACCAACTTTGAAGAGAGTGAAATACTATAACCCAATCACAGTTCAAATGTTTTAAAATTCCAGTAGCTAAAAAGTCACATGACTGACATTGTCCAATAACAGATTAGAGAATCTCACATCCCCAACAGCACTGCTGTGGGTAATCCGGAGCGTAAACCTGACGCTCATTGCCATACACCCAAAAACGCGTGTTAACCTCCTTCCATGTGTAGTTGACCTCTGACACTGGTACTGCACGCAATTCTTGTTTCTGCAAAGGAGAAAACCCTTGCACATTAATACAATGAGTTTTGATGTTAGCAATTTTCTATAATTACTGTAGCTGCTGCAACAAACCTGTGAGCCAAAATTTACCTTTCAAAGGAAATTTAATTTACCAAGGTTGCTGAAAATTAAATACTCAAATTGATAGTCTATTGTTAAACATATCATTAACAATAGACTAAGCTAAAAATTGAAAATTCCAAATAAATAATAAATAAACAAAAGTGTACATTTGGCAAATTTTAAAAGTGAACTGGTGCCCCACCCCAATTTGAATAATCACAGTAACCTAAATAAAGGAAAATGTAGCTCGTGACGGCATATTTTCTAGTTATCAAATCAGGTATGCTGTGGCAAATCAGTACACATAAAACAATAATAAATAGAAATCTGGTACTTGAATATAGTGTGTCAGTTGTTTTTGTGTATAACAAACCACCCACCTGCATTAACTGTCTTTCATTAGGAAATGCTCGACTGTGTTTCTCTACCAGAGCCACCGAATTCTGGTTGATTTGAGGCACGGGGTACTGTGTGACTGGCCACACCTGAAGGTAACCAGACCAGAAGCAATAACATAAAAACATCACATGTTACACAGGGTGCTGAGTAAAAGATTAAAGAGAATAAAGACAATAAAATGGAGGAAAATGATTACATATATAAAAACTGCAGATGCTGGTCGTGAAGTTCATCAGCCAAAACCTAAGACTAAGTCTTGTTAAAAGTTTGTTCAGAAGTCGCTCTGTCTGCAGTTCAGTGCTATTTACACAAAAATTTGCCAGTTCCCCACCGTTGGGAGATCAATGAACATTTGGACTTATTGGAATATGTTCTTCAAATTATTGATTAATAATCAGGACATGAAGCTTTCACTTTCAAATTGGTAAGTTGGGTGGTGCTAAAACAAATGTAATAGATGAGGAATTATCTTGAAATGTTATATTGTCATTGTTGTTTTATTTATATAATATATTATTTGTGTAAAAGAGAGAGATTGAGAGCAAGAGTAAGGAGAAATTTACCTGCGGCAGAACTTGCTCAAAGATAATGATTCCCCCTACATCTCGGACCAACTCATCAGGCATGTCTGTCTCTTCCAGTATATAGTCTTCAATATGGTTAGTACTACATAAGAAAATAGCAAAAGTTATACTTACAATCCCTCTTTAAAATTTAGATATACACTTAAAGTGAAATGCTTTAAGAGTGATTATTTTTCTAATTACTAATATTCATTTTTCATTGTATTAAATTATGTATTCTTAAGTTTTGTAATTGATTTGCATTATATGAAACTGTTATGAATGCATGAAGGAAATTAAACTCCTGTTCTTTTCTGTTTTGGTAATCAAAACAGATAAGCTGTGTGATGGTTTGGATTATATGACATTAAATAACACGTACAATATCACTGCTAGCTTAACATAGCGCTCCAAGTCTCTGTAACCTTTACATTTGGAGCAGGTCACCCTGCCGTCTCCTCCACACGTCAGACACCTGGAAATGACAATATAGTTTATTATACAATTAACCTGGGATTATGATTGTGAGTTTTAAATGATTACTGTAGCACAATGTACACTGTGTTCCTATATCTGTTGCCCCCTCCCCATACACACACAAAAAAAAACAACTGACACAGAGTTATACTTGTAACCATGTTCAACTTGCACCATGATTATAAAACAGAGGGCCTTACAACTATTACAAACCCCAAACTTGATTTAACCACCAAATTCAAAACCGGCACCACTGATGCAAAATTGGCCTTTGAGGCTTATATTCTTAAACAAAATGAAGAATAACAGTAATTGTGCTTTAGTCTTTTCTCTGGTCCCCTGATTTTATTAAAATTACAGCCCGTACCTTTTCCTTCCATCTCCCCCGCAGGAACCACATCTGACGTCTTGCCATTCTTTCTGCCTGTAGACTCTTTTCCTACCATCACCTCCACAAGAGTTACAGCGCACCTGGCCACGCCCACGACATCTGCCACACCTCAACCAGCCACGGCGCTGACAGCGGAAGCAAGGCTGGAGAAATATGAAACAAAAAAAAATTATCTTATTTTTAATTTCCTTTTTTTTTTTGTCATAATATCATACACTTAAATAAACTCTATGGACAATGTTTAGCAGGAGTTACAACAACCCATGGCTCTTCCAATTGAGACATCAGGAACATTTCAGCCAGTCGAGCTGGTGACAGCAAAACCAGAGCTATTAAAAATATTAATAATTTAATTATCTCAGGAAATATCTGTATACATGTTATTACTATAAACATCTTTAAAATGTCCAAAATCTTACTCCAAAAGACAAAACTTGAAATTAATGACTGTATAAAAATATATAAAGGTTACAGAATGGAGAGCTTTTCATTTCCCATATACAAATAAAAAAAACAAGAATTGTGATGAGAACAATCAGAAAGACTACATATACACAATCATGTCATCCAACATAACACTCTGATCTTTTACTCACTATAATATCTGAGGTATGAGGCACTTTTAGGTACTTTGTATGAGTCAGGAATAACTGTTGAGGCTCACAAGGAATTTGCCAGGGCATTGGCGCCTGGCCATACTGGGGACCATCTATATGTTGACCTCGGAAGGGGTCATAATCATAGAATGTTTTACGAGCCTCTGCAAATGTACTCAGGGTGTACTGAAAATGCAAATAGGAAGTTAAAATGAATGTTTACCAAACTTTATGTCTAGACTTTAATAGTTTGGTGAATGAATGGACAAGTATGAGCAAGGTAAAATATCATATTTGGATATGTACAGGTGTGTTTGTTCAGGTACAAAATCAGTCTAAATTTTAGGTTTAAGTCAGCAGGACATACAGTGTACTGCTGCATACCAAAACCATTAATTTAAGACTCAATATTAAAAAGTATGAAACACTTTGAAGAAGGCTAATTAATTTTCTGTTAATTTTAAGTAAAAATCATGTTTTTACAGGTATCTATAGTTAGTCGATCATAATACCATTACCTACTTAAATACACTCTGGTCAATCTAATAAAATTATTATGCTTGTCCAGTGAAGCCACCCTGACTAGCTACAGCTTGGTACCTCAGTCTAATTCTCTGAAAAAAGATTTATCAGGCCAATAGCCAACAATTTCAAAGGGTGGGGTACTTTTTCTGAAAAAGTGGATCTTTTAACCCCATAGTAGACCCAACTTTAGAAATGTTTTTTTTTTTTTTTTTTTTTTTTTTTTTCAGCCACAAGGGCAGTGTTTTTACCACCCTCTCACCCTGCCTTCTGGTCTGCCTGCATTACTATAAATGAACATGTTCATGCAAACTCACTTACATGCAATGCTGAGGATGGTGCTATACTATTTATCAACATATCTTTGGCTGTACCACTTCCATAACAACACTGTTCTGCCACATACTGCAGTAGAGCTTCTCTGGCTTGTTCAGCACTTATGTTTGCAGCCCTGGAAAGATTTTATCTGTTTGTTAATTAACACAGCAAAGAATGACGAGTGCTGTATGTGGCTCTTTCAGAATATTAGGACCAGGATTTTTTTATATGATGATTCTGAAAATATATCCCTCTCACCGTATTATCAAAACAAAAAAAAATTTGAGAATACATTATTTCATGGTACAATATCCAGTAAAGATGAGAAAATGCATTGTATGTACTATACAGCAAAGCAAATAAATAATTGTAAGTATAATAAAGTATGAATTGTAGAGTATGGTGACAAGCAGTATGACATGGTATGAATTGCATTTACATGGAAGTGCAGTATAAAATGTTATGATATAGTATTATTACATTTTAAGTATAATATGGTTTGGCATAGAATGATGCTGAAAGGTATGGTACATTTTCAAATTGGCATGGTATGGTACGGTTGGCATGGCATGGTATACGGTATGGAATGGTATAGAAAAGTATAGTATGGTATGGTATGGTGTGGTATACCATGGAATGGTATGGTATGGTATAGTATGGTATGGTGTGGTATACTACGTCATGACCTAGCAGTACAGTTTAGTTTGGTTTGGTACAATACGATGTGGTATTGCATGGCATGGCATGGTATAGTGTCATATGATGTGGTATACTACAGCCTATATGGCATGGTATGGTATTTACTCGCTGAAGTCCATCCTGGGTGGATCACCTTGTGGAGGATATGGCTGAGCAGCTGGTGGAGGAAGAGCAAGGGGGTTCGCTGGAAATGCAAGATACGCTTTTTGTTTGTATTATCTCCCAAAACAATTATGCCAACCAAAGAATTTAATCATATATTAAATAAATGAAAACAAATAAACAAATAAACAAAGAAAAAAATTAAGAACTTAAAATAAACAAGCAAAAAAATAAATAATATATAATTGCATATATAAACATACAAAAAAGTAAAGAAGACCTACTTTCAGTGCCAATGTTTGAATAATGTTCAAACATCAAAGTCGGTGCTGGAGGAGGAGGGCCTTCTTTTTCGTCATCATCATCGTCGTCATCGTTAGGCGTGTAGGCACCACCTTGCCCTGGCTGCCATTCTGGAAAACGTATTTCACAAATTTGAGAGCATTTATTTATCACATCAGTTTATAACTGATACAGTATTACAAAATAGCATTTTACTTTGACTCCATGTTGTGCAATTCATTATCAAGATGAAAGAAAAGAGAAAATATTATGCTCTACTGTGACTACAAAAAAATCATAAATCTAATTTAAACTTTGTGAAACATCAATTTGAACATGGGCTCTAAATTTTCTCTTTCCTTCCTTCAAAAAACAATTCAATGTCCAAGTTACAATTATCAGATTCCATTGAAACCTCTCAACGCCCTGAGTTTCAGGAGACACTGGAAATTCAGCTCTCTAATCAAATAGCAGTCAGTATGCCTGTTATTTCCATATACATTGTAATATTCAGGAGGCCACAATAAATGCAGGAGCAGTCATAATCAATGAGCTGTCAGGTACAGGGCAAAAAATCAATATATTTCCTTTATTAAAAAGTCACGCTGAAATATTAAAGACTAACTAATTACGTGATGGTGCTGCCTGAGCAGGTGCCCCTGGCATTTGTTGTGGGTTGTAAGGTGGGTTCTGTCCCTGGGGTGGAATTCCCTGCTGCGGAGGCATCCCCTGTCCAGGGGGTGGACCAGAATATGCTTGTCCAGGGGGTGGACCTGTGTAGCCTTGTCCAGGGGGTAGACCTGCATATCCTTGTCCAGGGGGTGGACCTGCATAGCCTTGTCCAGGGGGTGGGCCGGCATATCCTTGTCCAGGAGGTGGACCAGCATATCCTTGTCCAGGAGGTGGACCAGCATATACCTGCTGATGTTGTCCTGAATTATTTGCATGTTAAAATGTCTTTAATGCAACTTATGTAATATCAATTATACGTTACCGGAGAAAATAAAAATGGGGAAATAAAAGTTCATTCAGAGGTAAAAATCCAAATACGTAATATTATTTCATTCTAAAACCTCAAACTCCACATTTTTTAAACAGTAACATAAACAGAGATAACGTACCCTTCAAGGCAGACAATTTTAGTAACTCAATTTAATAAATCATGTCCACGATGAATTTCTGTAACAAGATCACTCCTAATTTAAGAAACAATCCCTGAAATCATTATAATTACCTTCATTCATTTTAATTGAGCTGTATTCAGACAGTCATAAAGACAGGCTATGCAGCTAAAGTGTTGTATCCTAGCATTGCCAGCAACAGTGGTAGAAATCTGATCTGAAAAGTAAATCGCTCAAATTGGACATATTGTTCCAATATTCATGGGGAGGAGTAGACGGAAATTAAAATGATTAACAAGTTTGAAAAAAAAACAACATTTTATATATATTTTTAGTGTTTTAAAACATTTTTAAAAAATGTCATAATAATTTTTTGTCCTTAATTAATGTCTTTTAAAAGATATTCAGTAATACATGTACAGTAGATTAAGTCAAACTGTAAAATTTTTACAGTTAAATATTGAGTAAATGACTTTATTGTGACTTACTAACACGGTAGTTAGTTTTAAACCCATAATAATTTTCCCATCCTGGTATATATGTTAAATGAGTAGCAAGAACTAGTCTGATCATTGTTATACTTTCCATAGTAGGTTCTTTTATGCTGTACTGGATTAAAATTAAATAAAAATTAAGAAGAAAGTCCCATTTCCCAAGCCCTCTCCCCATAATATCTGAAGCACCTTGTTTGTATAGGCTCATGCATTTATATTGATCCATACATGCAGGTCACTATGATCATAAAGATCATGTGAAACCATGTGTGCTGCATAATGCAAGTGATTGGTGCACATGCACTGACATACATCACTGAGATCCTTTTCATGCACATACGACTATCATTAATATCAAGAATGGTAACACTTACACATGTATGCATTCTTGCAAATATCACTTTTACTGTAGGCAGCGTAGCCAGTACAATGTACTTATCAAAACTGCTAATTTATACTGGAAATTACTTTACTCAGGTTATAATAAACCCCTACTGCTAGCTCCATACTAAGTAATTACTAGCTCAGCTTTAATGTACAAAAGGTGATATGAAAAGTCAGTGATAAAATAATAACGACACTGATCCCTTGGCTTGGACCTTGTTACAATCAAGGAGTTATAACTCCTTGTTACAATTAAGGCTTGAATCTGCCAAGACTAATCGTCACTTGCAGCATCATTGCATCATTTCCACAATATAAACGGATTCTATACGTGATCTGGAAAATACTCACAAGTGTATGCAGTAACATCTAGCAAATGATATACGATTTACTTACTGTTTCGGTTTTAAAAACTGGCAGTGGATGGTGCCACTGGTTGTTATGCACGCACAGGTGCCCCAGTTTCTAATCTCCTTAATACAAGAGCTGTTGACATACTGGATCAAGAACCCCCACCCCCAACCCCCCTTCATAGATCAACTGCACGCTTACAGTGTTCATTGTCTTGTTTTTGTTTATTTTAAATGAAAATTATTGGCCTATTTTGTAATGGCAAGTTGTAAGGTTTTGGTGAAATTTGCTCTGAATTTACATTGTAGAAACTGTAACAGGTTTAATATTCAAGATTTAAAAAAATGTTTTAAGGCAGATCAATTTACAAACATACCACTTTAACCACATTTAAAGGTGACAGGAACAAAAATTTTAAGGAAATTGGTAAAATATTCAATTATTTTTATTTCACTGTTTATTTTTATTAAATCCTATAAATAGGCATAATTGATAATCAACTTTCCACTTGAGCACAGATTTATACTGATAGAAGTTTGATCTGAAAACCAATATGTTTTCATCTCAACTTATTAAACTTGTCTACCATTCATTAGTTGCCACAATGGATCCATTTCACTTCAGTAACTTACGGCATCCTATGCCGAATTTAGAAAAGGCATTTTTAATATGTACAAAAGGTCCTTATGAAAGAACTTAAAACTCCTTGTTCAACATGACAATTCTGCACTTTTATTACTTAAAAATGAGCAGGATTATCCATTAAGTGCATATTATTTTGATTTTATCCAGGTTGGTAAGCTGCACTAGAAATACCACCAATTTTAACTAACCTGCTCTGATATACCATCATTATAATTAATAATAAAATATTATGATTGTGTAATTAGACTTGATAATTAGTTTTGACATTTCTCTAATGAAATAAATGCATTTAAAAAATACAACTATACTCAGCTGTTATAAAATAAACCTAATGGTAGGTGCATTATATAAGTTTCCATCACATAGAAGAGATGATACAAGTAAACAAAATTGCACTAGAATACAGACCGAAGTTTAACTTCAACAATTCAAGCATCATTATAATTTTGAATGAACTTTACAATGAATCATTAAAACTTAAAGCAATAAAATCTTTGTTATACTTCCTGCACAACATACATGTATTAAGCAATATTAATGGCACCAGCTTGCAGTCAATTCATATCAAGACCACCAATAATAACTATTTCCCATTCTTGTGTTAAACACTGTGTGGTTTAATGAATAAAAATACCATTACAAAAAAAGAGTCATGTTACATAACAACAATAATTAAAAAATATGAATTGACAAGGAAATCAAATAACTTTTTATACAAAAATCAATGAAGCTTTTTCATTATTTATTTATGGTATAAATTATTATTAGTAAATTTATAGTATTCCCAGAAAATAATCGATCTGATTCAGTATTTAATACTCATAATAAAAATATATAGAAATGTTTAATGAATTTACTTATGGCCTCTATATAATCACCACCCAACTGTCACAGTGACTATCTTTTGAAATATAAAATCAGGTCACAACATTCGGGGATTTTCTTTTACAAAAACAAAAATTAACAAACATGTAATGATCATTTCAAGCTGCTATTGTTTTGAACATATACAGCCAGATTATTAAAAAGCGAGCAAAATATTAAGTATAAAGAAGAACTCATTATGTATTTCTTCTATCACTATAATTATGCATTACACCGTAAATTAATTTCTCACACTCCTATGACCATGATATATTCTGGTGAATGATAAATTTGTATTAACTTAATATATTAATAAAATATTAATATAAAGCCAAACTGTAAACTTGCTTTAAATGTGAAAAAAATATTCAGCAGATGCCGTTTCCCAACCAGATTGCATTTGAGAACAATCAACTTTTAAATCAAAACCACCTCAACCTCATTTCAACTTTTCTAGTTGTCCACTTAAAATTTCACAGAAGTAAGCTTGGGGTTATTAAAAGAATCTCTGAACATTTATTGTGGGAACAAACACTTACGTGGCAGTAGGGCACCTTAGGCCCTTTCAAAACTAAATAAAAATCTTGGAATTCCATGTCTAATTCCACAAAATTAAAACTAAGAGTAAGACCCTGACTCAGAGATGGCAAGCAAGGATTCTTCATTGACAACCATATTCAAGTCTCTAAAGTAGCGATACAGGCTAAGATTGATGTACCTGGAGCTTCAAAACAAACTGAACACATTTCCATCTCAAAAACGCTTTCCACCAATACTTAATAGCACCCCTGTTAGACCTTAGTTTCATTAGCCTCAAATCAAATTTAACTTGGTTTTGGCTTCAAAACACTCAGTTCCAAGTCCCCACAGCACCTTTTTCACGCCTCACTTTGGGTTGGTCTGAGTTTCTTCCTTTTTGTAGTAGTATTTATGCGGAACGAAGGGCATTTTTACAATCTCTCCTTCAACATGCTTTTGCCTCACGTGTAGGATCACTTTTGATCCTATCTTTCCTTGTGTGTTAATATAGCCCATAGCAATGTTATAGTTGAGGGATGGTGAGGGGATACCGCTGGTGACCTCCCCTATCTGAACCCCTCTCCGGTGGTCTAGAATGGGGGTGCCAGCTGCAAAGTAAATATTAAATTTTATATAAGTTTTACATTACTTCCATGTTCAGTAAATGTATTATACCATAACGTACTGTAATTTTAATAATTTCTTTTTTGTAGTCAACAATGTTCATAAACAGTAGCTGAGACTATAGCCATTAACTTAATGATAAATGCTCAATATATATATTGCTATTACAAAATGTTCTAAGTTAACATGTAATATAATATGGCATCCAGCATAATCTGTTCAAATTCATGAATACAGCTTTAATGATCTCTATATAAAATAGCTACCTCTAGCTGGTGCCCCTCTGGATTTGATTCCCACTCGCCTCTTTGGTGGTTTCTTTTTCAGCTGGGATAATATTACTTCAGCACCTGGGAAAGTTGGGGTTTTCTCTCTTCTTACTTTGCCTGATGTAGAGGAGATTCCAAGGTTATAAAGGAAAATTGATTTTTTTTTTATTATCTGTGGACTGTAATACATGTGTGTTATGTTTTGTACAAGTAAGAAACAAGACCTCCACTGGTATGGTTGTTTCATTTGATATTTCTAAAATCTCCTCTTCTTCCCTGTGAGAGACAGAGAAAGAGAGAGTTGTTTTAGGGAACTTTAACTGAACTGACATTATTTCAGATGACAACGACATGACATCTCTTTCGCAAATACTTCACTTGGTCTATTGAGCATACAAAAGTAACTGTTCTCAGCCTTCATACATATGGCACACACACACACACACACACACACATGCCACATGCACCCAATTTTGCTAATCACACACAAACTACCTCATATATGCACACCTCTTATCCAACTATTCATTCTATACCTATGCACCATGCTAGTGAGGCCTCCACTGGTGTAGTTGTTTCATCTATGTCATTCCCATACAGGCAGAGCCCTGCTTCAAGTCTGAGGCTGTCTCTGGGCCCCAGCCCTGCCATGCGTACTTCACCATTTTTGGAAGACCAAATAGCATCTGCCACATGTTCTGTTTTCTCACACGGAACAGATATCTGGAAATAAATGTAAGATGTATTACAAATTTCCTTGATGTTATCGTACATTATCATCAGTCAGTTTTTAATGATGTTTTGTGTGTGTAAGGTTTTATAGGTGAAGTAGAAAAACTGCTGACATACTGATTAATTGACTACAAGGACTAATGTTGAAATTGCCTTCAAAGCAACCTGGGCAACTTTAAGTTCATCCATATTACTTTCATCATGTCTGCAGAAGTAACAAATGACATGTTGATATTTTTGTCCCACAGCAGGCAAAAGAAGGAACAAATCATATGTTCATATTTTTGTCCCACAGAGGGCCACAGAATGAACCACTTAGATGGTGATACATTTCACTAGCTGACGGCCCTGCATACATACCTCTACACCATCCTCGCCTGTATAACCACAGCGACTAATTCTGCAGTCTGGCACTCCTGCTATTGTTGCCATGGAACTAGTCATAAATGGCAGTTCGTCAAGGTTTAGATCAGATTCTATCAAAGGCTGTAGCACTTGGACCATCTCTGGACCTGGAATATATTGTATATAGGATTATTCAATGCTTTGGACCAATGCAGACAGTGTAACATTGTCATATATGCAAAAAGGTGTACAGCACTAATTTATCAAACTCCCTACAAGATTGTGATAAACAGTTTTCATAACTGCATTTACATTATCCTGAAATTCAAATTACTGGTATTTATTAATGTAAATTGAATAGCCTAAATTTCAAACCTAATTCAAAGGCACGTTGTATTAATGAAAATAGATATTATGACAATAAATGTCTTATCAAATCATATCACCTATGATAAAATTATGAACTTGCAAGCAAAAAAGAAAAAAATAATATAAGTCAAATATGATACACCTTTGACAAAAATGTTAATAATTTCTCTTCTAACCTTGTAAGGCAAGTAGACCATTGCATATCTGTTCAACAGAAATATCTCCTCCTTTGAATTTAAACTGCTCTGCTTCAGTCTGGAAGATAATTCGGCCTTGTATTGAACTCGATGTATATAAAAAAAACACAAGATTTGTTAATTGACACTAAAACTATTTAAACTTTTTCAAATTCAATTATATGGATACACAAGCCATACAGTTGTCCATCTTTCCATGACATCAAGAAAGTATCAGTAGGTACACATTAAAATACAATCACAATAAATTTACATCATCTGCAATGGTCTGATACAAAAACAGTAAATTCTAAAACCAATTCACAAGTCAACATCTGTCTATGAATAAGTTCAGTCACACATACCTCAATATATATTCCTATTTTATCTGCACAACCAGCATTTGACACAATATAAATATGGTCATCACTAGTCTTTGTAATAATACAATCATCCATAATTCCACCATTGTCATTAGTGAACATTGATAATACAGCATTATTCTCTTTCAGTCCTTCCACATCTGCAACAGTCAAGCTTTCCACAAATTGGCTTCTGTCCCTGCCAAATATATAAGTTTGCATCATGTGCGATACATCAAAGAGGCTTGCATGTTTTCTCGTATGAATGTGGGATTCCATGATGCTTGATTTGTAGTGAAGAGGCATCTGCCAACCACAGAAGGGGACCATTTTGGCTCCATGTTGAATATTGAAATCATGGAGGATTGTCTTCATTGTTGCAACCTGAAATAAATACATATTTGGCAGCTTGGGTGTTATAGAGCATTTTTTCAACATCTGCATAAAAACATGTTGTAAACTATTCTTACTATAGATTATATAGAATATTAGATTACTAAATACTTCACGATTACCTAGCTGCTTTATAAGTTTAACAGATCGATCACTTTTCCTTTTATAAAGTTATTTTGTGAAATGTGTGGTTATTATTAGTTACTGCACGAGTACATGCAATTTTCCTCAACCAGCCCAAGGCTCAATTTTCAGCAAATTTCAGCGACAGCTAAACTACTGACTGGCCTAAAGAGAAAAGCAAAGGTCTAAGCGCAGTCAAGACCCTTACGCCGTCTTCAATGATACTACAACAGATAAAATGTCCTTGAAGTTGTACTGTATTGTAGTTGCACATGACATGTGTTTTTCGTGTACTTCAACTTGTTAAACCATTGACTACATCTCGTTTCCTACTTAAACGCCCTTGTCATTACCTCCCCGTATGTTTTCCCTCTTTTCCAGAACTTTAAAGGATTTTTGTGCACAGGCCTGCCAGCGAGTAAAGTGGCGTGCCGCAACATCCTCCTTGAGAGCTCCATCGCTGTGCACAGGTGATTTATTTACCACCCCAGTCCATAACAGGATGTCGAATTTGCGCAAGTGCAAAAGGAAGTTGATAGTAGACTTGTGGTACCTTTTCTCATCTATTTTTGAACACTATAAAATTGATAAAATTTTGACGCATTTCTTTTGTTTACATCTATAGCTATTTTAGATAATGATGTTAAACTGTTATATCCTTATTGGTGCCACATTTTCTATAAAAATCCTACATTTTTTGTGGGTAAAATTGCAAATGGAGGTATGCCGAAGCCATCTTTGTTTGTTTTGACTTACATGATTGGATATCACCGAGTTCGGCAACATCTGTTTTTTATCGTTTTTATTGAGTTTATACGTTAATCATAGTATTTAATACATTGCCCAAGTACTCAATACTTGCTCACAAACAAAGTGGGGTATTTTTGAAAATCTAAATTAAAAAATGTTTATCTAACCACTATACATTTTGATTTGAGAGCTGAAAACTTGACCAATCAGCGTGAAGCATACATAATCATTCTGAAACAACTTTTTGTCCAAATTATTGGGTTGACATTGAGCTCCATCAAGATGCTGTATTTAGAGGATTATTTGGAAAGTAAGTCAAGTTAAAACACTTTGAATATTTACATAAGTATCATTTCTGTGTCACCGAAATTTTTTTTCGTTGTCAAGAAATGTGAAATATTTTATTTTTAATTTTCAATTTCAGTGATTGAGAACCTCCCAATGGAAATGCGGGAAAGGTTCACGGACATGCGAGAGACAGATTTAGAAGTACAAAGTGAGTTTTCTAATGTTGCTGTTTAAGTAGTTATAAAGTTAACTTTTGGATTCATTGTGAACAATGAATTAATAAAATATGTGAAATTAAGAAGCAGTAACAAATTTATAACGTGTTTTTGTCTTCATTAGAAATGTGTTCGTGTGGCGTCAGGTGGCGCCAAAATATGGTTTCATTTTCCTTTTTGGCGGATTATACCCCCACGGGTCCCACCTTTTATCATTGTGTGACGATCAGATTATTAAAATTAAATGCTTGAATAAGGAGCCTCCCCTTCAAACCATACACCATCACATGGCCATAAACTGTAGCCGATTATTCATATTTTGCAATTCAAACATGGTTATAAAATCCATTATTTATTATCGAGCTGTCTTTCCAAGAAGGATGTTCTCCACGTCATTCTTCTGCATACAAACGGTTGCTCTAACAGTCTAACATAATTTGAAAAATACCGTTTGTTACTGAAGTTTTTACATTCATTATATTAGAAGGCCGTGGCTTCAATAATTTTCGTTCAGTCAGTAATCATGAAAAGTGGTTAGAATTAAAACAGGCAAGCTGAGGCATTTTAGTTGCAGAAGTAATAATTTGAATTTTTGATAAATAGACAGTGTATGAATTTAAACACATATTACTAGTACTAGTAAGTGCATTAACCACTTATTTTTGAACCTTTTTAGAGATATTTAAGTAATACTTTTTGATTATAAATATAGTTTAATACCTTGAATTAATGTTATTAAAATTATGAGATTGGCCCCACCTGACGAACATTGCCACATGCCAATCATCTTGACATAGTTTTGTTATGATTTCATAAAATGAATTTGTATGCAATAATGTTGCTTATCAGTAAACATCATTAAGATTAAAGAGAAAGAACTTTCTGAAGAAACTCATGAGTGTGCATTTTCAGATGCCATGGATAGTCTAGATGACAGAACAAAAACATTTTTCAAGAAGTGCCAACAACCCAATGTAAAACAAGACTGGAAAGATGAACAGTTTGATAAAATTAAGCAGGTATACTAAATGATTGCTGAAAAACGTAAATATTATATGATTTTAGCACAATGCCACATAAAATGATATGTTGTAGTATGGTATTAATCCTAAGTTCACCAATTAAAGTGAATGTTGTATAAAATAATACGTTTTTTTTTTTTTTTTAATTGACAATGTACCATACACAACTTCAAAATCTATTTTCCTATATGTTTATATGGTGTTTGTATTATTTGTATTCCATTCCAGGACTATATGAAGGCACTAGAAGGTGCTGATGATAAAGTCCAGTTAGCAAATCAAATTTATGACATGGTTTGTATCATTTTAAATACAGTGTTTACATGTTCATATCTTAAAATCACAAAGATGCTAGGTTTTTTGTTAAAAAGGAACTAGTGCTTCGTGGACTGATAAATCCAGGATATACATGTAAAAGGAACAGAGGGTAAAATTTTTATCCTGCCCCCCTTTTTTTTGGGGGGGGGATAGAGGAATAAATTAGTCCCTAAATAACCTTGTTTCATTGTTGACAAAGCATTTTAGATTTTATATTTTTTTGTCCATCACAATTGATGTCCCACTGAGAAAGATAAATTTTTCTTTCCAGGTCGACAGACATTTACGAAAACTAGATTTAGAACTTCAGAAATTTAAAATGGAACTTGAAGCAGACAATGCAGGAATTACAGAAATTTTAGAAAAACGTAAGGCATTTCTATATCTTGGTCATGTTTGTTGACATTCTTGTAACAATTGATGACTGTAAAGCATAGCAGTTATCATGGTCTGCAAACAGACTATAATTTTAGTTGGTATAATAACCAGTTTTTTCTAAAGCTGAATTTTTTAAGTATTCTAGAAAATATTTATAGTAGTATATGCAGGGTATTATTCGAAGAATTCAGGCATGTTAGCTTAAAACTTGGTAGTGTAAATTTTAATTTACTAAGATTAGTAGTAGTTGTGTCATTTCTTTTAGGTTCCTTGGAACTAGACAATCCCCCTGTGCACAATAACCATAAAGCAGAAAGTAAGTAATAACGCCTCTACATTATGAAAGTAAGATTCTATATACTTATTAACTTCTTTCACAATTGAAAGTTTCTATTTTGTTGCAATTGATAAAAAGTAAGCATTCTATAAGGGTTAAAAACAATAAAAAGAATATGATTTATGACATGATGCTGATTTACATTCAATACAAGATTTTCATTTTTTCTGACATCTTCCCTCTAGAGCGAAAATACACGATGTCCAATGCCCTAGCGAGCCATTTAGACAAACGACAGACAACAGAGAGGGTACTGTCTTCATTAGCCCATGAAGCTGCCAGGGAAACATTTAAGACAAATACCAGTTTATATAATACTGTAGGAGGTGGAGGATTAACTTTAGGTTGGTAAACATTGAGATGGCATGACACCAATATAATAAATAGTAAACAGTTTGTACTTGTGTACATACAGTTTGTACTTGTGTACATACACTGCAGAACTATACATATTGACACAGGAGCCGGAGCTGTGTACAATTCTTGTTACCACAGTAGCCAGAAGCATTTCACTTGGATTATTCATTCTAATTTGCCAGTAAAATACTCGTCCTAATTTGCCAGTAAGTACTAAGTGGGCATGATTATTTTCTTCCAATAAATTTGGCTTTGTTCTCTTCAGGTCAAGTCGGAGCACAAAGTAATGCAGCTATTGCGGCAGCAGCATCACAAGCAATTGCAGCAACACAGCAGGTCTTTAAGGTAGATAAGAGGATGCCTTGTTTACTAACTTAGTTATGCCCCAAAATATCTCATCCACATGGGAAAATAGTTTTGAACATGACTTTTGGTTTCTCTTAAATCATGATGTTGAGAGAAATTATTGTCTTTTAGTGGAACTTATTTTTACCTTGAAATAAGCAAGTGAGATTCCGTATCATAGATTGAAAGATAAAACAAACACATCCAATGGCTGATTTGTTGGAAAGCAAGTAAATAAGTTTAAAAACTTCATCAAGGGTCATAATTGTTCATCCACACTCCTTACCCATTTCAGATGCAGCAGGGCAGGAGAACAGGTAGTTTTAAAGCTAGTTACAATGTATTCAGTAACCCTCAGGTAGCCAAAGATTTCATCACGGCTGGGGCGGCCATAGAGGCTCCACTTACCCCAGAAAGTGGGAGGTCGCAACGAACTAAAAAGTAAGCTGTTCTTACTATAAGGAATGTAATAGAGTGCCAACCAGTCAATTGACATGAAGGTTTTGTTTTTGTTAGTTTAAATGTCATAATTTTAACTCTTCACACTGATAAATATGCAGATTGATCATCTAAAATAGAATGTCCGAGATTGTAGTGAAACTTTGGGTTTGAAGTTATGTCTGAACTTATGAGGTAGTCAACCTTATAATCGGTAATCTTGATACAGCAGTAGAATCATATTGCAGGAATTCAGCAGATCAAGGATTACACAGAAAAGGTGTCACTTTAATCATGTGGCAGACTGTTTCTTTCAAAGTTACATGGGTATCAATATGCCGTCTGTTTGAGGTTTCCCTCTCGTTTAATGCAGAAAAGAAAATTTTTAAAAAATTAATTAGCATGCTTTGTACCTGTCATTTAGGAGAAAGAGAGGGCCCAGTTGTAATGTATATCATTTATGAATATAGGCAAACCCAAAAAGCTGCAGCCTACCTACAGCAGCAGCAACAAAAACAGAGTGGTGCCCAGCCAACTCCCACACAACCCTTATCAGCCCCCGCAACACCGCAGCCATCACCTGCAGCCTCTTTATCAACAGCAGCTACACCAGCACCACCTACAACGGTGGAGGAGATGGTGACGGAGCCATTTTTGGACGAAAATGGCCAGCAAGGCGAGTGGTCGTACGATCCAAATGAACCTAGATACTGTGTATGTAACCAGGTTTCCTATGGAGATATGGTTGGATGTGATAATCAAGATGTAAGTATTGTGTAATAAGGTGCTGTAGAATTCAACTGGTTTATTAAAAATTTCAGTGGTCTACAGAAATCTGTGTTTGAAATGGTTATTATTTATGGGTTTATCAGCAGTTCTTTGTTTCAACATGTAGGGTTTTATTTTTAATTGTGAATGAAGGCAAAAATATACATTTGCAAGGCATATTCTATGAAAATATTCAAATGCTATTCTTATAAATACAATCTTGAAATTTTAGTAAGCATGAAACTCAGATAACCAACAAACTGAAACTAAATCAGTATGTGGAGCAGCCTGGTCAGGCCTGACAGTTCTTGTTGTTACGGGTATTCTTTTTGCCAGATTTGTCCCTTTCCTCCATTTACCCTTGAACTTTTTCCAGATATGCTCCTCTATGTCAAATCAAATTCATGTCACAATTTCCATCTTTCTTTCAGTGCCCAATAGAGTGGTTCCATTATGGTTGTGTGGGACTCACACAGGCGCCAAAAGGAAAGTGGTACTGTCCGCAGTGCACGTCAGCCATGAAGAGAAGAGGAAGGAGGTGATTATATCTCTCGTCGTCATCACCCGGTTGGCATTAGAACTGCGTGTGGCAAAGAATTGTGACAAATAACTGTAGACAACTTGTAGAGCACTCATCTGTCTTTCTAGGCCACAGTTGTTTGATATGTGGCATAGAACTGTGGCAAATAAGACTTAAAGTTCTGCAGAGAGCGCAAGGCTACATGTGTTTGATGTATGGCAAAGAACTGTGGCAATTAACAGTAGACTACTTGTAGAGCACTCATTTCTTCTCTCTTAAAGCAGTGTATGTGGCATAACGCAAGTTTAAGAGCACTTGTCTTGCTTTCTCTCTTGGTTATATTAATGCCATGTGTTAGTTAGCAATGTGTGCCAAATAACAATAGAATTCTTGAGCTTTTGTCACTCTCTAGAGCAACAGCTATGTGCACTCTTTTTAAATTAGAAATCTACTCATCTGGTCAAGGTAGAATTGTGTAGCAAAAAAGGAAGAAAAAAACATTGTTAATCTTGCAAGGGCTCACTCTAGAATTGTAAATTATTGCCAGTTGATTAACATATTTTAGTTTGGCCTAGAAAATGTTTATAAAGCTACTGTATTATCACCTTTTTACCTTAGAAATTTTGTGACTAAAATCATCCAGATGTTTGACTATGAGAAAATTTTTCCTGTAGTGAGCCCAGTATACCGTGTGAAATAGAAAAATCTACAGTTGAAAATAGATTGATGTGTACCACTGTCAGATTACTAATTTCACACCTTCACCTTGTATAACAAAACTACACATATAAAACAACATTAAGTAGATATCAGTCTCCTGCAGATTTAAATTTCCTGTCATGCAAGACGGTAGAAATTTTTAGAAATGCCGTGTTGGATTAAATATTTCTATAGAGCGATAAAGACCATTGTAATGCAGTGAGCCTGTCACATATTCAATGTTTTTGGTATGGGAGAGGGATTTTGAGTTGGGGGTTTGATACTGAAAATTTTGTCATCATGGAATGGTACACATAAATATTGAATATGCCTCACCAATTGGAAGCTTAATATGCAATGCTTTGGAAGCACAAAGATAAGAGAAAAGAAAAAAAAATCATGCAAGAATTTGCATGTGCACAAGTAACTTGCTGACTGTATCAGCTTTTTTTCTCAGAATGTTTTAGATTAAGAGAATAAAACATCAGATCAGCTTTCATTCCTTTCATTTCAGTACTGGTGAAAAACAGACATGAAGAAGCTATGTGTCCAGTTTTATTGCTATGAAATAGAGACATGTCTTTACATTCACCCAGCAAATTTGGCACAAAGTGCTCGTCACTTATTATTATTCGTACAATGTGGGAAAAAAAGGGTTGATGATGCAGACTTTACGTGGTTTTGTTCTTTTGAATAAAAGAACAATACAAATATGGTGTTTTAGCTGAGAGTTTAACTATATAGGTCTCCAATTAAACTAGTCACTAGATAATACAACAAGAATATGTTTCTGTTGTGCACAGAGCTCTGTGGTTTTGCCAATTACTAGTATATACTCCTTGTGTTAGTGTTGGTGAACTAAAATCATTAATTTGGCTTTAGCATATTTAATTAGTACATACAGGTAATTTGTTTAAATTCAATTTGCAAGTTTTAGTTAGATAATGGTTAGATTAACAGATTTTTAACCAAGATTTGTAATCGGTAACATTATAAATTACTTATACTTTCAGAATTTATTTATCAGTTTCTTTTTCATATTCAATTATTTATATTCATATTTCAATTACTGGAGAACTGTTAAAAAATTCTACTATTTCCATTACTGCACTGTATTGTCAAAGAGTCAATTAGCCAGATTCTGTTATCTATTCATTTTATTGTGCTCTGTAAATTGTGTAAGACCATGCAAGAAACAGATTGATAGGCTCTTCCCAGTACCTTCATAAAAAGCCTGACTGAATCCTTTAAAATGCTAGCTGTGTTAGCTTATTACTAGTAATAATTTTAAGTAAAAGCAGTAAAGAAACAGATTGAACAATTTACAGTAGAAAGGAATTGGCAGCAGGGTGACACTCAGAAGTTAGTTGCCTGTGATATTAGAAGTATATACCCTGAGATTTCCACATATTTCTTTCTTTAAAGAACCCATAAATAAATGTGAAGTTTCAAAAATCTTATTTTCACACGAGTTGTTTTATTTATTTTATTGTTTGTGTTTGTTTTATCATGTTCTGTTTTATTATTGTTTTTTAATTAATTAATTATTTTTTTATTTTATCTTTTTATTGAAAATGTGACTGAATGGCCACCGTTAATTAAATGTTTCCAGACTGAGTGCTCGATACTGCTGACAATGAAGACTGGCTTTGTGAAAATTTTAAAGGGGCATTCTTACATCTTTCCAAATTTTTCACAGGTAGTTCATTTTAAATGGTAACTACGAGTTCATAAATCCAAAGACTGATTACCTTGGTGATGATTTACAAAATTGTTGAGAAAAAATGCTTACTAATTTCTGTTTCAAAGCCTTGTAAAATAACTTTTTTATTTCTAAAAACGGTCGGAGGTTAGGTAAATAACTTCAAATGTTACATAACTTTGAAAATTATTGTGCATGAAAGTTTTAATTTCATTTTGTTTGATCCATTCATTCTGCAAGCAAACAAAAATATCAAACTGAGTTTTCGTCCTCCATGGACTAAAGAACTCTAAATCTTGAAAAATAATGACTGGTCCCTGTGTCTCACAGTTCGGCATCTTATTATATGGCAACTAATAGGACATCCGGGTGTTTTGAGCTCGCATCGTGCGCTGCAAACAAAGAAGGGAGGGCTGCCATTTTTCTCGCCCGCCCTTTGTACAGGGAGATTAAAGGACACCGATTGCTTGTCATCTAACCACCGAAAGGGAATTCGGGGGAGTGCTACTTGGCCACTTGTAGCAGGTCAGGTCTGATCAGTGGAGCGCAGCCTTCAAGATGGAGAGCTTGAGACGGCCGTTCGATCCTGTTGCACACGAGCTGGATGCAAATTTCCGGCTTACTAAATATGCTGACCTGAAAGGATGAGGGTGTAAAGTCCCCCAAGAAGTTCTGCTCAAACTTCTTGAGGGACTCCAACAGGACAGCAGTGCACAGGATGCTGAACAGTCTCACTTCCAGTATGTGGCTCAAGTCCCACGCGTTGGTAAGTCAACCACATGGTCCCTGGCCGAACGATCGGTCCCCAGGCGGGGAACCAGCGGAACGGTCCAGGGTCCGATTTTGCTAAAGATCATAATTAAAGGTCAATTTTGGGCCAGTTTCATCAATTTTGTCAGAAATGTGTAAAATAAATGCTTCTTCGGATTAGAATTGGATCTTTTTGCTGTTTTGGAGGGTGTATTGTCTGAAGGAAATTTTTCCTTTCTGAGCTCTCGAAGACAAAATGGCGCCGATTTGTTGATTACCGGCTTAATTCACCCACGTGGGTTGCCCACGTGGTTTGGGTCAAAGTACATTCTAGTGGCACGAGTTGTTGTATGCGAATAAACCAAAATATCTTTTTACAACCATGCTGCATGAATTGGTTAGAGAATTTAACGTTCATTATTTTAACTGGGAAGCTTATCTCTTGTCCTTTAAACTGCCACAACAATGTGATTATCGAAAAGCATGGAACGCATTGAAATGAAGTATAATATTTCAATCAAAACACCTTGAGCCTAAGAAATCCTTTGGGGGGTGGAGAAGGTATTTTATTTCGTCAAAAAGAAGGAGAATATCACCCCTATAAGTCTTTTACTTGGGTCAGAATTTTAATGAAGCAGAAATGTTTGCTTAAAAATAAACTAGGTTTATTCTAAGCTATATCCTTCGTACTTCTGAATGATGTTTTTATCATTTTATTTATGCAAGAGAACTCAGTTCAATTTTTATGTTTAAAAATGATGACTGGCACTTTCTCAGTTCTTGTTGTCATGATTTCTTATCTATTGCTCATATTGTCATTATTTCTTCTTTGTTTTGTAGGAATTGGGATGGATGCCTGCGTTACTCCACTGCGGCACGGTGGCCTGTCATTGGTCCAGACAACTGATTTCTTTTATCCATTGGTTGATGACCCTTACATGATGGTAGAGTCTCATAGGACATCACAACCACCAGATGTTATCATGCTGATTAAGCACAGAGGATCATTTAAATTATATAAAAAAAAAAAAATCAATGTGTTTCCTAATTGATTTTCTGCAATTGTATTACCTTTTTATGATTTTCTCAATCATGCTCCTTCTTCCCCCACCTCTGCTCCACTTTTTAGAAAATATAAATAAACATTCATATCATTGATTGAATACTTTCCTAAAAATTAACAAACCAAGAATTTTTCATCAGTGAAGTAATGTAACATAAGTATGGTTCATTACTTTGTTGTGAGCCTTTCCTTCCTGTAAATGTAGCTGTATTTAACAATTATCCTGTGATTTGTAAGATTAAACGCCATTTCTATTTGACAATAAATCAAGTAATATGAAAAGTTTTCTTTGATTTACGCAAGCTTTGCTTATGAATAAGTTGAAATTTATATTTATAACCTGAAGAAGTATTTTATCAACATAAAATAAAACAAAATAAGATTTTACATGAGAAGATTATATCATATGTTTAAGTTAATGAAAATGAATATCTATACAAGTAGGAAAATTGTGTTTTTTCAAGGTTTTCAGATAAAATGCAAGTATAAGTATTTGAAAGTTGTTTTAATTGGTATCGTCAACTTTCCTCTTTTCCCAGGGCAGGATTGCTTGTGCTAATGTGCTGAGTGACCTGTACGCCATGGGAGTGACAGAATGTGACAACATGCTGGCGCTGCTGGCCGTTAGCAACAAGATGGGAGACAAGGAGAGAGATGTTGTGGTTCCACTGATGTTGACAGGGTTCAAGGTAGACAAGTGGTTTTATGTTGTTTTTCAGGGTGCATGGGTCTGTTTCACAAAAGAGCTCCAGCCAGGAAGTAGGTCTTTTGCAGCTACAGATGACTAGATGTTGACTTCTTTTGTTTACTGGAGAGGTTACTGTCAAATATGTTCTGTGATGTTGATGCACATACAGAATATTTGTTCAGACTAAAAAGCTGTAAATAATTTGGCTACAAGAATTTATTGTTCAGTTTTCCTTACCACCGTTCTTGTTCATATGTCTTTTAACAGGATTTTAGAAGTCTGTTTTATGCACACTGTATGTGTCTTCTGATATTTCAGGATCTGGCAGAAGAGGCAAACACACAGGTGACCGGTGGTCAGACAGTGATAAACCCATGGATGACCATTGGTGGAGTGGCTACCACTGTCTGCCAGCCTAATGAATTCATCATGTAAGTAAATGGTGAACTTACAACTGCTGTCACATCTGTCACATTGATTGAGGTACTCGCAAATCGAGATTTGAAGCAGCATGTTAATTTCTACTTGTTAGTTGGCTTTGAATACAGATCTTATTAAGCAGTGAGTCCTAGATAGTTAGAAATGTTGGTCGAAAGAGTCAACTCATAGGCACTGGATACTATTTCTAGCTGTATGACCAAAGATCAGGTGACCAGTCCATCCAGCTCGTTCACCTAGTGAAAGGTCGCAGGTTGAGACCACAATGTTGGTCAGTTGCTAAATGTAAGTTCCAGTATCAGAGTTGTTCATATTTATCATTGTTGTTGTACATATCGATGCGGTTATTTTAGGCCAGACAACGCTGTCATTGGTGATGTCCTAGTACTGACCAAGCCCCTAGGGACCCAAGTGGCGGTCAATGCCTACCAGTGGCTTGACCAGCCCGAGAGATGGAACAGGATTAAGCTGGTGGTCAGCGAGGAGGACGTGAAGAAGGCTTACCAACGTGCAATGTTCAGTATGGCCAGGCTGAACAGGACAGGTGAGCTATTGGAATTTAAACAGGTGTCATTGAGTTTTAGGGTTGATTAATTCAGTAAGATGTTTTAGTTTGGATAATTGCACTGTCTTGTTTGGCCCGATTGAACAGGACGGGTGAGTTCAGTTGTAATCGAGGCAAACATTTGACTAACAATTTGATTTTATTTTCTCTCACAGCTGCAAGACTAATGCACAAGTACAACGCGCATGGCGCCACGGATGTCACGGGATTCGGTCTCCTTGGGCATGCGAGCAACCTGGCACGCATTCAGAAGAACGAGGTCGGGTTCGTCATACATAACCTTCCCATCATTGCCAAGATGGCGGCCGTCAGCAAGGCGTGCGGTAATATGTTTGGACTTTTGCAAGGACAGTCGGCTGAAACATCAGGTACGGACTTTTTTTAAAATAAATATTAACAAAATACAAATGCATGCGCTTTGAGTCTGACACGGATACTTATGTGACAAAAATGCACTTAAAAAGACTAGTCTTTGATATAAAATTTCCTGTACATAATATTTTAATTGCGTTGTGCTTGGTGACCAGAAAGACTTTGTACCTTAATTTGGCAAAATTCATATTTTATACTTTGAGATTTTAATCAGGGTTAAACATAAGTACACTGAGAGGTTGGTGAATCCTGTCATTTTTGTAGTAAAGACAAGAAATGCACTCGAAATAATCTGCTCCCAGAGTTACTACGTACCTTGGGCTTTTTTCGTCCCAAATGTTCCCATATGCTGAGCTATTGAATCTTCCAATTTTAGTGGCATTTGACATTCTTTCCTTTGATTGAGTTATCTGCCTCGAATCATTTTTACCATTACTTCATGTTTCAGGTGGCTTGCTAATCACGTTACCCAGAGAGCAAGCGGCAGCATTTTGTAAAGACATTGAAAAACAGGAAGGTTATCAGGCCTGGATCATAGGGATTGTCGAGAAAGGAAATCGTTCTGCAAGAATCATTGACAAGCCAAGAGTTATTGAAGTACCAGCGAAAGAAAAGGAGGGAGAGTTGTGGTAGCAGTATTGAACGTGAATGTGCACACGGACCAGGGACTATTTTTGCGCAAGAAGCTTACGGCGGCAAGTGTAGGAGTATCGATTGCAGCAGTTGTTACAGTTTTTACCATCTGCGCTGCGTATCCGAAGCATTTTAATTTCTATTAATGGGCATTTTCTTCCCAAGAATCTGATCACTTCATATCTTTCCATTAGCAATATGTGGGCGACTTTTAGATATGTGAAGAAAATTAAATCGGTGATATTCAGTGAAAAGAAATTCTACTGTGACCCAAAGATTATCATTGTTGAAATCGCTTTTAAATCAACCTGTGATGATGATGAAAGAAAGAAAGTGAAGACCACCCAATCGCTGTTCACTTTCATCTTCAGTGCGGGACAGTCCTCGTGCAGGCTTGAGCACCCTGCGCGTCACTGAGCGTTCTGAGACGATGAACATATAGGCCTCTTCATCCACCAGTTTGGTTGGTGACCCGTTTTCTACATGAAGCCAAAGTGTGCAAACCCTTTCGAAAAAGGTGCCGTTTGGTGGAACACTTTGAAAACTGGTCAACGTAATCACGAACAGTGTACCAGCTCTGGTTGTTTTGGCATCAGAAATTATTTCGTCTTGTGGTCGTAAAATTTTGTTTTGATTGTTGTAAATTGGATGGTAATTGTAATTTTCTTAAGATTGTACCAGCTTCATGTATTTCTCGTTTAAAACGTAGATAAACATGTATGTTCAAGTCATCATTCTGAATAAAACGGATCTATGTAAGCCTAGATATTAAGTCCTTTCTTGCCATATAGGGGCCTATTTATATTTGAGGCGTGTAATGAGGGAAACGCATGCCCATAATTTTTTTGTATAATTTAATAACATTTTGAATTTAATTATTAATATGACCACATGAGTAACTGCCGTTTTCGTAATATCGGGGGTTTCTTTTGATAAGAAGCACAAGTTAAAATATAAGAGCGGCAAAAGGCCAAGATTTTCAGACTTGAACCCCTCATAGATTACATTCAGATTCACACATCGTACTCGCTGGGTCGGTCCAACTGTGGGGGATTCGTGCTAATGTGGAATCGGATAAATTGACTCTCGCCAATTGCAGTCACCTTAACTGAATGACGCGACTCCTCTTTTTTAGACCTACGTCACCAGCTTGTCTGTATTTTCTGATTTCACTCAGCAAGAGTCCTGACAGAGTTGGATCAGTCTCTATAGATCGATGATGTCCATGGGCGCATTCAGATTCACGCATTGCACTAGCTGGGTTTGTCCAATCTACGATCGATCTGCATCGACCGATGGTGTCTTTGGGAATAGGACCTTAGTTCCCTTGTATAAACTGACCCAAACTGTACATTATTTTAAAGTTCAGGGTCTGTTGGGCAAAGTTATGTAGCCATTAATTGGAAATGGCGAGTTGCCGCATACTTGATTTCATATTTTTATATCACATTTAAGACAAATAAAGTTCCCGAACAAGATTATGACATGATGACAAGATTAGTTGATTCATGCTGAATGAATAGACTCATCTTGTTAACTTATCACCTTCCGTTTCCAGTCTTTCCGAATGATATCCATTTTATTGCACCGTCCTTCTGTGATTCACCTAAATGATAGATTATGTGAAGATACATAAGAAAATTGAAACAAAAAACAGACCTGTCATAGACCTACAAATCATTTTATTCATCAAACAGACTCAATCCCGCCAGCAAAAAACTCCCGAAATACGTCACTGAGAATTCCTCCCGCCTGTAAAATAACTGACAGTTGTCATAACATTAATCCACATCCCCCCATTTCACTCCTTCAGCAGGTCGGGTGGACGCCCAGGTAAGAAGTGATAGCTAACACTGCAATGCGCGTAAGTGCATCTTTATATTTATTCTGCTACCACCTGGTGTTTGTTAAGTGTATATAGAGCTGTAGACAGAAAGGAAGCATTTGGTACACGGGGAAGAATACACATGTAAGTAAAGGAGCTTTCACGTGTGATATTGAACAATGCACGATCTGAGACGAACATTTTTTATCAACTGTTAGTTTATAGGTAGGCTTTGCTATATAGAAAGCAACGCGATAAAGAGCGCATGAAAGTGAGCGAAAAGTTCTATGCATAGTATGATACGCTCGCGAACGCAGCGCTAGTGTTATATTGTATTTTCCAAAATATTTTTATTCTTCGGTCTAGCTTAATTATTATCCTTCAGTAAATTAGATGGGGACTTAACGTGTCTGTGTGCTCCTGAAGTCGAAATTAAGTGGACACAGAAGTTTGAAGAACAAAATCATTACTACTGATGGGAGCACGTGTTTAAGAGGGTTTGTAGGTAAAATTAAACCAGCCAAATAGTGTTGTAACAAATAAGACGAGGAGAGCATGCAATTAACTATAGCTATAAAACCGAATGTCTAATAACTAAGATGTACTACACAATGTACCCGTATTATGCTTTATTGGAGAGACCCGAACGTATTAACTTGAATTGTATCTCAACTTCTTGGTGGTCTCCTCGTAAATCCTATCTGGAGAAGGAGAAGATACGGACTGTTTATTACTCTAATACTTCCTTTGGACTGTTTATTACTTTTGAAAGGTCGGTTATACAGCATTAATGGGCCCCAATGTTCTTTCACAAATTGCACTCGACAATGATATCATTGATAGGAACAAATTCTGTCACTGAGACTGCCTGTATATTAAAGTAAGTCAAACTTTCTTCAAATTGTCAGACACAAATATCTTGATATTTGTACGTGGTCTTACATAGATTATCGGTGTCTGCTTATTGCGCGAGAGAACAATTATTTTGAACGTTAGCGTATAGCATATAGATCTTTTCTCTTACATGTGGGCGTTTTATTCCACGTGCCCATTTAACAAAAAATCTTTAATTGTGTTATTATGATTATGCACCGTTTTCCAAACAGAAAGTCATTTAGTAGTAGAATTCTTCAGACATGATAAAAGAGGGTATATGTGCGCTGTATGCATTGGGGATACTCAGGGTGCTAATTTTTGACCCGGAAAACGTTTGATTGTAATTTGTTATGTTTACCTCGTCTCCCTTTACCTTCTACCAGGGCCACAGATTGATTTTTCATGGGATATTCACAGATATGTCTTTAGATAAATAGACGGTCATTTTATTATCTCTGGATTTTCCCGTTATTCCCTATATAATCTGCCACCCTGGTAGAGGGTATAGTCCTCCTTTGAGGCTTTAGATCAGTATCTGTAGACAGGTGAGACAGAGTGAATCTCATGAAATTTTCTCAGATAAGTCCAGGATACGTGTTCCTACTCCGTGCTCTTCCAGTTGCAATCCTAGCTAGATTATTAAATCACCTTGTATAATTTCCTTTTACTCGAGGTTTAAAGCTATCACTTATTAAGCCACATATTGGCCTATATGAAGGGAACGACCATCCATTTCCCAACACAAAGTATAAACAAGATGGTTGTTGTGGAGAAGCCAATATTGGCATAGACTAATGAAAAATAAAATACATTTAATCCTTCAATTTTCACTGGAGTCGCACTATTCAGCGAGCTAGTATGAATTACAGCAAATACAAATCTGACAAATCTGACACCACGCTGCTGCAGGTGGAAGAATCTCTAATACTATTTTCAGGTATCTGCCAAATCTCATGCTGTGCACCTTTGGCACGTGCAGATCTAGCTTCTCGGCTTACTCGTAACAGACAGTGTCAGCCGGGGGGTTCAACAGAAATATACAGCGAACCCGTAAAGCCCTTAATCTTTGACCTATTCTTGGGTTTTGACCGGTCTTACGCTTTTAAAATCTCGTGGCAAATGTTTTTACATGCTACGGTTTATTATTTTTGTTCTTGAATTAATTATTTCTTTAACCAATATATTTATTTAATTATTGCAAATACAACCTTGAATTTCAAGGATTAAATTTCATTTTCAAGTTTTCTTTCACACAGTAGCTGAAAAATGGAGAAAACCGACCCTCAAAAAAGGAATGATGAGGAGGAGGAGGAAAGAGAGGAAAGCTACGATCCTCTCAAACTTTGTTCCCAAGAGCCGTACCCAGGGGATCAGGGTCTCCGTGACTGTGAGAGGGAGTTTTTGGGATATTACGGCCTGAACCAGCCGCCCCCTGTAGAACTGGAGGCAACCCCCAACCCGCAACTGGCCTTTGAAGAGTGCGAAAAGGCGAGACGTTTGTTTGAGGCGGGAAACTATGAGGAGGCACTCGTGCATTGCACATGTAAGCAAATCAGATTAATCGTTTCATATTTCAGTTTTAGAAACGCATTGATTAAGAATAAGAAAGAAAAATAATTTTATTGTTTCATATTTCAGTTTTAAGAACGATTTATAATGAAGCGAACAATTATCACTTTCGTAAATACTACACATTTCAAAGCATCTCTTTAATTAATTAACGGCACAATTTTGAACTTCAAATTTTGCATAAAGTAAATTCTTTAACTTTTTTTGTTTTATGCACATGTTTTTAACGTCTCCACTTCCAACATTGTGCAGGCTCTATCCGTAACGCAGTAGAAAACGCAGCAAGCTGGAAACTGCGCTGTGAAACCTACTTGGCCTTAGACAAACCAAGAGAGGCCTTCCGCGATCTTCTGGTGGCAAGGAAAGACAACAACACCCCCGAGATATGGACATTAGGAGGTACGGAAGGGGGAAATATTTTATGTGTGTGTTTTACATGATATATATATATATATATATATATATATATATATATATATATATATATATATATATATCGTGGTAAAGAATGCATAATTCGCTGAAATTTTCAATTTTGACTAGCTGAATCATAGTTCTTAAAGGGATAATAACTCTTTGTTTCGGCCAAAAAATGAATTTTCCTGGAGTAAACAACAATTTTCCCATACTTACCAATGGTTAATGAATCCATTTTTACATTCAAAGTTACTCCCTGTTTTTTTTTTCTAAAAAGTTTGGTTTTTTGTTAAGATCTCTTAAGAGATTTTAACAGAGTACAGCCATCAATGGAGGTCACGTGGTCTAAAGACAAGCTCAGATATCAGAAAAAAATAGCTATAGCTGCCATTTTTGTGGTAAAACAGAATATATTATATTTCTATGAGTTATTCACAATGTTTTTATTGTGAAATATAGATCTCATACGAAGAGTTATTATCCCTTTAACTGTAGGCCTACCAAAATGGAACCGTTCGCCTTCTAAAATACCAAAAATTTTCGGGGCCCTAAACCCCACGCCAAAGGGAGGGGGGTGGGGGGGAGGGAGGTTCGGGTTCGCATCGGCGGACCCCCCTTCAAATAATCCTGGATCCGCCCTTGGCATTAACATGAAGAATTTGTGTTAAAGAGTGTCATCTACCTAAGTAATATCATAGGGGATGAGGTTTTGTTGAAAAGTTTAGTCAAGTTTATTATTATTATTATCATAAAATGCCCTTTCAATGAATGCAGGGATGATACGTTTCCGGCTATATATCGGCGGATTTCCGACTTCTTGGGAGCCAAACATATCACTGGCCTAGGCGGTCCCCTGAACCCCACTCCATATTATCCGACTTTTTCACTAAATGTCAGTCTTGTCCCTGGAATTGAGTAGAAGCATCCCACTGAATAGCCTGCCTGACGCTATAGGCTGCTTTCACAACAGCGGAGTAGCTAGTTCGCGGATCAAATATGGCCGACTAACTTGAATGCTCGTGGCGTAATCCCCGCGGGGAATATATATTCAGTGTCTATTAGGGGATTAGACGGCAAGCTTTTAAGCGGGTTGCCATATTTGATCCGCGGACAATTAGTCCGCTGTTCTGAATGCGGCCTACACAACAATACCGTTCTAACCGTTCTCTATCCAAACCTAGGTAAAATCCTGAAGGCGCTCGACATGCCTGTGTTGGCGGAGACGTGGCTGAGGAAGGCGACACAAGTCAGTGACGGGCAGCACAGAGAGGCGGCGCTGTTGTTCCAACAGATCAGAACCAAAAGGCTGTACGAGCCCCTCACCACAGGGTTGCCTATAGAGGTGTGAAGAGTGCGGTGTTTGATGTCTTTTCTAAATTGAGGGAATAACTCTTATATAACTCAATATAATTTTATATATTGATAATGATGATGATGAAAAATGAAACAAAAATAAATATCCGTATAAATAGAATAATGAAAACAAAACAGAATAAGTAAATAAGCATACATAGTTTTGGAATTGTCTTACGATGAGAAATCGTAATCCGGTGACCTGTTCAATCATATCTCTATATTGTTTAATCAGACGCTGTTGTTTTGTAGCTCTTGTGACCTCAAGCCAAAAGTGTACCAGTATTTTTTAGTTCATATGCTAATATAATTAGGCCCTACTTCTCCAGGTCAAATTTGAAGAATACGGCCGTGGTATTTTTGCCAAGGAAGACTTCAATGGTGGCCAAATGGTATGGCGGGAGGTTCCAATCATTTCCGCGCAGACGAGCATTTCCCTCAAAGCTCCCGCGTGCAGCCAGTGCGCGCGCTCTCTTCTGACCGCAATAGACTATTTCGGCGACGACGTGTTACGAAGTATGAAACCGGCGGAGAGGAGGGTGGTGGCCAAATACTGGCCCCAGGTGAGAAAAGAAACACCTGGCAGACGACGTCTGCTGAAAATATGTCACAATTTTGATTTAAGGATATTCTTCCATTTTTTTCCTGCACGTCAGCGGTACAATGAATATTTAAAAACGGAAAATAAACATTCATGCAAAGGTTTCAATATTTTGGCCAAGATATTTTATACTTTTAATTTTTTTTTTGGTTATTAATGCATCTAAAAACCCTCCTTTATCTTTTGTCCTACTTCAGTCTTACCATATGTTATATGTTTTATAATTTTTGTATTTTTGTAGCCTTCTGCCTAAGCTTACATTTCTCATTGCAGGTCTCTATCATCGAATGCCCCAAGTGTCAACGCGAGAAATACTGCAGCGAGGATTGCCTCAAAGCGGCCTGGTATCAACACCACCAAGTTCTCTGCCCGAAGAAGAACAAAGCCGCGGCGGAGCTCTATGATTTCTGCGATAAGGGCGAGTTGTGCACGGAGGGATACTGGAGCGCCCCTTTCAGTCCAATGTCCGTCGCCCGGATCTGGGCCGCGGTTATTGCGGACGTTCGGCGCGCCGTCAAACAGGCGAGGGAGGATGGAGCAGACACAGATGAACCCACGGTTGAGATGTGGGCACACGCTAAGGCACCTTACCGCCGTTTCATCGCATACGGCAAAGCGGGACACGCGGAATGGGCGCACAAGATGGTGGATCTCATGAATCGTGTTTTCAACAATTTCCCCGATGGAATTAACTATAAGATAGACAATCGAGAGTTTGAGGGTCGATACTACCAAGTCGCCTGCAACTGCCAATCCTTTTCGGACCCACAGACGCCATATCGACGCTTCCTCTCCCGCATGAAAGTGGACTCCAACAGCAAGCACGTGGTCCCCTATATGGCCAGTATTGGTGAACCGAAAGAAGCAGTCTTCGGAGGACTTTTCGCTCTGCACGCTTGTCTAAACCACTCCTGCGACAACGACGTAGAGATCTTGGATTGCGATGTCGGAGGCTTCCCTGGAATCGGTGTCCGCGCCCGACGGAAAATCGCAGCGGGACAGGAACTCTTCTCCACGTACATTGACACCAGGACCGCCAGGGCAGAGCGTAGGGCCTGGCTGTTCCGGGCGTATAATTTTTGGTGTCAATGTAGACGTTGTCAGTTTGAAGGGGACGGTCCTGAAGAGTGCTCACACTGCGGGGTCAAGCCCGAACAGGGCAAATATTTTCTCGGTTGTGCGAACTGTAAGAGGGCGTGGTACTGCACACCAAAGTGTCAAAAGATCGCCTGGAAGAAAGGCCATAAAAGAATATGCAAGACGAAGCATTCTGACGTTGTCTCTTCAGTAGAGGAACCAGTGAGAGAACAAATTAGGAAGTTAGCCGATTTGTTTTACAAGGAGATGCCAAAAAAATTATCTAAGCCAAGTGAATCAAAGTGAAAAAAGAAGGACATAAAAGAATATCTAAGGTGGTGCATCCTCACTAAGTCTCACTCGTATAGGAGCTGGTGTAAGAAACATCAGGAAGTAAGCCTCTTTGTTTTACAAAGAGATCCCCAAAAACTTCCAACAAAATGAAATGAAATGCAAGAGATTTATTTTGATCGATAAATCGATCGATGAATCGATTGATAAATTGGTTAATTGCGCAAGGACAGCAAAAACTCCAAATGCGGTAGCTGACCATTGGACTGCTGGCTTTGGGTCACCTGTCTCAATTCTTAAAGGATTTTGTTTTTCCTCCGATACTATCGCTTTAAACATCATTTTTGGTTGGATTCAATGGAGTATTGTGAGCCCATGTCTGGCTTGGTAGGCCGTCGCATGCGGACAATTGGCATATATTTTTTATGAGAACGAAAGTGATCGCTTGGTCACTTTAGCGCTGTGAACACCTACTCTTAATTCTAGTAGTCAGTACGGTGAGCCCAATGTCTAGCGCAGGCTTTAGTTTTAAAAGGCGTGAAGGAAGGCGAATTAATGACGCACGGTACTATATTGAAGCGGCACATTGTGCAGTCTGGTATGTTGTGAATTCTGGGATCTTAATGCCAACCCCTTTCAAAGTATTGAAAATCGTATTAAATGTTCTTCTAGTTATTTTGGTCAATTTCATTTGGCTCAAACGAAAGCTATTCCCAGCAAACACAGAACGTCATTATTACCTTACCATAGCGTTTATATCACCCCCCCCCCCCCAAAAAAAAAAAAAAAAAAAAAACTTAAGCGAGAATCCCCTCGGAGATAGTAAGATCCAAAGTTAGCACGATAGGGTCTGGGAATGGTCAATAAGAAACCTACGCATGGGTGTTTATGTGATACCAAGCACGTTACGGAACGCTATGGAACGAAACTGTGTTGTTAAATTTATGTTTTATTGATACGTGTTTGGAGTCAGTAATTGATTATCTGACGGAATTTTTAACTTTTGCCATTGATTTCTGTCGCCATAAGACCATGAGCGTCAGGCACTCACTGACACCGGTGACGTATACGAGGCCGCCCAGATCATTTCGAACTTCTGACAATCAGCTGACTCTCTAGTTAAGTTACAGTACCATGGGTCATCCAGGGAGGGCTGGGTGGATGTTTATTTCTTTTTTTTTTCAAAAGTAACTGGTGCATTCAACCCACATTCTCTAAATGGAGAACAAATAATGAGGCCTACACAAGCACGTTTCGAAAAAGTATGTACCTTGAAAGTCCGTAAATTGGAACCTTTTTTTTCGGTTGGCAAGAGAACCTGAATTAACCACGAAGAATGATTACCCCCTGTTGTAAAAAAACTGTAAGTGATAAGTACCTTAAGACCTAAATCTGAGTGTTATCTATATGTTTAACCCCCCTACCTCAACCTGTTCATGTTATGAGTGTGTGATTTTTCTTTTACCTAAATCTTTTCATGTTATATAATGGAGATTAGTACCCTACCTCAACCTACACGTGTGTGATCTGTGTGATAAGGACTATACCTGAACACTTACTTTCCATGCACTAGTTTGCATCCCCAACCCATTCCTTGTTTTACTAAGTAGCTATTTTATCATTATTATAAAATTATATGGTTATGCTTTAATTCAATAGCATGTTTTGTACAGAAAAAAATAATAAAAGAGTTTTCAACCAATCTCGTTGGCCGTTTTATTGACCTTTTCACGCTTACTGGTTTGTAAATGCATTCTTAATGAAGTTATTTGTTAATTCGAAAGGTAAAAAACCTACCAGGGATACGGGATGCGAGCTGGCTCATTTAAATTGTACAATCTGTGTAAATTATTGTTTGTCGTGACACCTGTTGGCAATAATGTCCGTTGTTGAAACAAATTATATTCACTGAATCGTGTTGTTATTAACCTTGTGATCAATTGGTAGATCCTTTTCAATTTTCTTTGGGTACAAACCTGTGGTTTTGCGAAATTCAGATATTGCTTTTCCAAATATGTCCATTCTTCAACCTTAACATTCCAAATGTTTTTGAAAATAAGCAAAACCTTATTCCTAACAATGGCGAACTTGAAAAGAAAAATGTGTTCCTTTGAGTAGCAATTTTGTTTATGAATTTTGGTTATCATTTACTGCTACTTTGCATTTTATATAAATTCTGGCGATAAAACATGAGGTTTATCTACCGTTAAAAAGCAAATTATAATCGTTTATTTTTTATTTTATTTTTCTTGTACTGGACAAAGGAATATGTAACGGAATGTCAACAAAACTTTTGTCGGCTGAACTTCCGAACTTATCGTAATGTCCAATAAAAATCATTTTTGAGTTTGAAGAACAATATAGTGATTTTCCATATCTTTTAGAGAGTTGTCGAAACCTAAAGTTAATTTGGAACCGATGTTCTTATCTGAATCTCAGTAAGTGTCCTATTAAGTACTGGTAGACGACACTTTAAACCATCCAATACGCCGTTTACTTAGAATAATAGACCTGAAACGACTGCCCATAACTTCTCCGATGTTAGCCAATTGATCATGGATGTAAGCTTTTTTATACACTTTGTCTCGTTTGAGTACCATTAAAATTTTTCATCGCTTTGGATTCTAAAGACCTACAGACTAAGTAGATCCAAACATTACTAGAATTGGGTAAGTTTTAATCTGAAAAGGGTTATACGTTTCTTGTTATAATACTGGCGCAATATTTCATTGAATTGGACTATTACTGAATAAACTTAACTCTAGCTTTGGTCTCAATGTTTGAACCAATTTTCGTTTTTAAATAATTTTGTGAAACGTGTCGCCAATTATTACATAACTCCGTAAAATAACCTGCTGTATGCGCAGTAAGGAGTCTACAGAGAATATCATTCACAAGAGCTTATGGTATAGATATTGCTCTACTGCCCACGGCAGCTTTTAAGTGAAATCCATCAAAACCCATATAGTCGATTTTTCACATGGTTGTGTTACTGATCAAAAAGCAAAAGAAATCCTAATTGAAACAACATTATGGAAATCAGAGGAAGCTCTGGAGACGGGCAGCGATACCGAACCAAAGAGCCGCATTCTCATTCTACCACGTCATGTCTTAGTATTCATTTGTATTCATTTTATTGTTTCAAAGAATATATATCTTATTATGTCACTCAGAGCGGGCAGAAATCAAAAGCAATCTTGTCAAAAGGATAAACATGCCGTCTTAGTGTCATGACAACTAATATAATCATTTCGACTATTTCAGAGAAGATGGTTTATTGATTTCAAGGGGTGAAAAGTTCAAAAGTGGCATGTAGTAATATTATTACTCATTATACATAATTACAACACGAAGTACCTTTAAACACGCGAATACTGAAATAGAGTGGAGAACGTGACACCAACTTTCGCTTCCCTTAGAGTAGTAACATTTTTTTCTGTATTTATTTCAGAGAAGATATGCAATTTTATAGCACTAAATACATCCACTGTGTATGTGTACATGCCGGTGTATGGTTGACTTATGTTTCAGCAATCAATTTTGTTTAATTTAAGGAACCTCGTGTATATATTTACATTGTACACAAGAAGATATGCAACAGTCACAAAGTGGAAGAAAAGTGCCGTTTTTATTTTACAACTGTATAATATTTACAACAATCCTAGACAGAAATGAAATGGGCATAAATATATGTATGACTCTAGTAGGTAACTTTGTAAGCCAGTCTACAATAGAAAATAAAACTATTCTACGAAATTCGATGTTATTCCTGTGTTGATAGTGGGTGGTGGTGCATTCTGAAATTCATTTTGCTGACGGAAAAGCACAAATTTCATAGACACTTTTATTGATTTTTCGGCTCCTCTTGATTTAAAAAGCACTTTTGCACCGAGTACTTCAATGATACGCACCAGGCTCTTTTTCTGTTTTGTTACTCTATCAAGCTTTGATCCTGTAAAACGTATAATACCTCATGCAAACTATAATCCCTAGTCATATCGACTTTATAACTGGGGAAAACTGAGGTTTGTATCCTTGTATTGCGTTCTTGCCTTAACGCCTACACGCTTTGAACCGATCAATAACGAGTATTCAGATCACTTCCTTAACGAATCTATCTGAAACGCGCATCGTTATTTGATTAACAAGATTGTATTAATTAGGCAATTTCAGTTGTTAATCACCCCTCCCCCCCCCCCCCCCCCCCCATCCCGATGAGCATGAGCCGTGAATCAACATCATTTATTTAATTCTTTTGTCAGGACACGAAGAAGACTGGCAAAATCGATCGAAAATTTGACAAAAAATTAAAAATATTAGTATTATTTGTTATTAAATTATAAGTTTTTTTTCTTTAGAGAATGTTTTATTGAAAAGCTTAGAGAGTATAAAGAGCAGCGAGCCTTGCTAAGGGTCACTAATTTTAATCCCGATTGTTGCGTGCAGAACTAATAGTGGAGTGGAGAGAAGACAACTCGTGACTTGTGACTGAGATGAGCTGAGGCCCACTCGTGGATTTTCTTCAGTATTGGATTCAAGCCAAATTGTTTGTTTACTTATTTATTGCAAACGGATAAGTCAATTTTGATTAATTTTGTATTTATATATCGTACTTACTGGTGTTATAGATTCATCATATTGCATTGTATAACATTTACTTACGTTATCATTTACTAACGTCGTTATTTATGTCACGGTTTTTATTACCTGGAAACATCTGGATTTCCCTGAATGGCCTCATTCCCTGATGAAGATGCTCCAGGAGACATCGTCATATTGAAGGTATTACTATTATCAGCTGTGAATATTAACTTTTGATTGAAGAACAATTACTTCCAAGTAATTCTTAAAATTCTTATTACATAACGCAGCTGATGAAATTCTAATTTTTTTTCTCAGTTTTCAACATCCACACATGCCTGTACGATACGGAGATTGAGTCCCGCGTTCGCAACAATTACCTTGTAGGTTATATTTAATGTATGTAATTAGGCAATTACTATTTATATATAGGCTACGTGCGTAAATATTGTTCTAATAACGACAAAGATGTTTGATATAATTATTGAATATTGCCTCCTGAGGGACTCCTGTCTGACAGCAAAGTAAATTACTAATTGAATTGGATTGGTTTGTTGTTGTTGTTGCTCGCCGCGTTGCTCCACAAGGCATTGATACAGTGCGTCGAGCTGTCATAGGATCAGATACACCCAAGGCCGATCCATCCTTAGTTACACTTTGCTTATTACACGAGAGGAATGTTCACGTTACTTGGGATATAACAGGGGGAAGTAGCAGACATACTGGATTGAATAACACCTGGTAGTTGACGGATAATCTAGAATGGTACGTGTAATATTTTGTTTTGTTGAACACGACAGTTGCTCATGGGATTGTGATTTAAGTTATGAAGAGGTTACATGACAGAGAATCATGAACACGCAAAGGTGTGAAGAGCAGCATTATACACAATCACGTGCGCAAAATAAAAAATCACAACCGTCGAACAATAAGTACTAGTACATGTAGGTACCTGTATGGAGTAGTATCAGGCACGATTTTATCGCAATAACTTTGGTTTTATTTCACTCAATTTCCCATAAAAGAGTCCCATAAAAAAGGGCCAATTTAGAACAAAACAGAAGTAAACTTAACATACTCAGTGTTTCATTTTTTTTTTTCAAAATGCAGCTCACTCTCTCTTCTTTTTCTTTTAAGTATGGGCAGATTCACGTTTGTGTCCGCTCTTTGGTGATTAAGAAATTCGGCGAAGAAGTGTGGGAAACTATACTGTGAGTATCGCACATTTGTAAATGTACACTGCTCACTTAGTACAGCGAAATACAACATCAAACAGCTCAATGAATATGTTTTGTGCAAAAATTATTCAAACGACACAACAATGACCACTTGCTCGACATATATACATTAATGAAGCCGTGCGAGCCACTTCCTTTGAAATTTCAGACAGACATTATCGTCTTTCATCCACTAATTTGCGTTATCTTGAAGTATGGAATCCGGTGGATCTCACGTTTTTTTTTTTTTTTTTTTTTTTTGCAAAAACGCATAAATGGTGAAAAACCTTGCCATGGTTTGTGCTTTCAATTTATCAAGTTTCAGTTTCGCTAAAAAAACAGGTTAGTCAATTCTGTGAACAGATATCATTAATTTTCTTTGATGAGTTGAAGCAAGTATCAAAAAAGTGTATTTGAAATAATGAATTATATACATTTACTAGCAAAAAGAGGGGAATTAACTGAGACAATAAATGTTGCGGTTTCAGCCTAGTCCTTCATCAAAAGGCGTCCAGATGCCCTCTACAGTGCAGCCAACTGTACTGTATTTTTTCCATTTTTTAATGAAAAATCAATCTCAGCTGGCTGATATCATACAAATGATTGGTAATGCGTTTTCCAAGTTATTTTAGGCAAAGTGAATAGTTCGCCACACATAATAATCAACCATCGTTTCTGTATCTGTTTAATTTGTAATAGGCACTGGAAGGTGCCGCTTCTATGACGCTGGGTATTTATTTTTCAATTAAACTATCAGTTTCAATGAAATAATATGTAGGCGCACGAAAATGGAATATCTCACATAAAGTAGATCATTGGTCTATTTATTGATTCCCCAAACGCTGTTAAGTACATGTTTTTAATGCCTTGAACACTTTTTCACTTACATTATCACTCTCAGTGAAATAGTCACACGGAAATGGAATGCCTCACACGGAGAAGAATTCAATCAAAACATGTACAATGTAGCTTTGCATTTATGGATTTGTGTCATATAGAAAAAATGCCCAACGGCATCGAGCAAGAATCAAGAACAAAGGCAGTGTATGTTGTGAGATACATTTTGGCCGGAGGACTAAATTATTAGGTCGTCGATCTTAATGCAGTCAATTAGTGAATCGATTCACACTCCTGTAGCCGGTGTCTTAACAGAAAATTTTGTTAGATCGCAAACTAGATGACCTGGCAAGATGCCCAGTAATTACTGAAAAAAAGCCATAGAGCGCACCATAATTTCCACTTTATCTGGTGCTAGAGGAGAGCAGGTGTGTGTGTGTGTGTGTGTGTGAGTGTGTGTGTGTGAGTGTGTGTGTGTGCGCGGAGGATGGGTGGATAGGTGGGTGGAGGTGGGGCTTGAGTCCCCTTTTCTCGACACTCTATTTTGATAATTGTTACACATACAGAATCGGTTGTGACCGTCCAGAATTATTACATCATAAACATGGTTGTTTAATCAATTTCCAAGCTTTTTGAACTGTTTCGGATGCAGTTAAACGGCTAGTAAAACACAAAAACCGTATACAACATTCTCGGGTAATTCATCTTCGAATGATGCTTAAATGTAAAAACTTGTGTCTGGCTTGAAATGCTTCGACGTCCAAACTTAAGTGCAGCTCGCGTAAAAGACATAATGGAATCAATTGAATCACTTCAATTCAACTACTTTGAGATCTTTGTTATTTGTTTTCGTAGGCGGAGTAACATGTCAAAACGTCTCTGTTTTGATGTATTACGCTTTTGACAAATGATAGAACAAATTCAAGTCTAAGCTTAGTTGAAATTGTGTCCGTTTTTTGAGTATGCTGTATTGATCATACAAAGTGGAAATCCTTTCAAATAGTCATGATTTATTTAGCTCACTGGATCAAACGTGGAATAACACTTTTTTGCTTGACAGTAGAGAAACTTTTTCTCTTGCTCAGTTATAGTTGTATAGACAGATTTTTTCAAAAACAATAATAATAGATAAAATTGAAAATAATAATAATAATGATAATTCATATATAATGGCTTGGAATATTTTGCAATTTGTTAACCTGCGTCTCAGCAGTTTTTAGACAACTTCGTGGCTAATGATTCTTTTGCGACGAGCTGAAATATATCTTCTAAGCAAAACGAACGTGGCATAGTTATAGGGCAATTCGCTAAGAAAGTCTTCACATTATTCCGTATGGCCAATATTCAATAATCTCCCACTTAACGCCATTTTTATAAGCATTTCGGCACTTCGGCCAAATAGAAAAGAATAATTAAGTAAAAACCGCAAAGTACACAAGTATCGTGAGAAAATGTAATCAATTCCAATCCATTATCTAGTCGATAACACAAAAATGGACATTTTTTATCAGAACACTCTTTTAAGGATTCTTAAGACTGGTTGTCAGGAAATATCTGGTATAATACGTCTTCTTATTGATTATCAGCTTTGATGTTGATCGTGGGTTCGATCAGGGCACAAAAGGTCATGACACCTTGTATCTTTAGTAAATAATTGTAAAAATGTTTAAAAAGATGAGTAGTTACAATGGTTCAAAGTTGCGTTATTTGGACTGATTCTGATTGAAACGGATTAAGTGGCGCGCACGACCATCTGAACCCTGTTATACTTCAGAAAAAAACCTCAATTCTGTATACCACCGAAGTGAATGATGATCGATGTTCGTGGAATGTCTCTTTACTTATTCAGAGAAAAGGCGCAGTGTGACGACACGACAGACTTCATGGTGTTCCACCGTTACACAGACCAGAAAACCATTGGGCTGGTGGTTGCCGTATCCCAAGTTCTAGGTAATTACGTATTACGTCTTAAAACGTCCTTTACAATGTCAGCTGCAAGCCTGAGCTTACCATCATAATACAAATACAACGCATTTCCAAACACGTGCGAAAATAAAAGCACCATGTGACACTCATTTTTTAGATTAAATCCCACACACACACACGCACGCACGCACGCACGCACGCACACACACACACACCGTTTAACTATGCTTGGAGCTATAAGTATATAGATGTATCTTTCGAGGTCACAACGATAAAATAAAGCGTGTTTTATCCAAGTAGGCCTACGTATAAGTCACGTTTATGTATTCATGTACATTGATAAACTATAATTCAACATATTTGATACACCACAATACAACTTGTCTTTTAGATGTTCCATTAGAAGCTGTGCTGGAGCTTTTTGGCGAATATTTCTTCGAGTATTGCTTGGACAACGGTTACGACAAAATGCTGCGAACGCTGGGAGAAGACCTCCCCAGTTTTATACAGAACCTAGACTCGCTGCATTCCCTATTAGCCATGTCTTACAAGAACATAGAGGCGCCATCTTTCAGGTTTCGATTTTTTTGTTAGACGTTACGTTAAGCTTATCGTTAAACTTCTCTCGTGCACACCGTTATTGCTTTCATTAACACTAGTTTATTAATCACGCGTTTCCCTATTATACGTGATGCTAGATATTACACTGTTACACAGATGGGTTGGTTTCAATAAGCGCCTTAGCATTTATAAGACACGCTTCATTTGGACATAAACGCCATGACACCCTCACGAGAGCAAGACATTTGAATACTCTTTTTAGCCAATACTTGTTTCTAGCCTGTATTTGTATTTACATTTATCTTGTATACTTTTGGCATTACAGATGCGAAGCAAATTCAGGAGAGGACACTCTGATTCTTCACTATTATTCCCGTCGCAAGGGTCTCTATCCTATCGTAATAGGTGAAACTATGCTAATTTTCATTATTTGAAGTATTTGCATTATCTTAAAGACAAATTCTCTCTCTCTCTCTCGTTCTCTCTCTCTTCTAAAGGGAACTTAGTAAACTGTTCCACACGTTTTTTTCTTGAAAGTTATGTATAAAATTACTTGGTCAGTTCTAGTATCTTATCAAATAATATATATATTTATTGCCTTACAACCCAACCCATACACCCAATTATTTAAGCACACTTGAATAACCTTGCCTTTAATTTCAGGTTTAGTACGAGCTGTTGGTAAACATCTCTTTAACTCTGATTGCACCCTCGAAGTCATAAGTAAAACGGACGACAATCCCATGGAAGAAAACAGCCAGGACCATGTGGTCTTCAGGGTGAAAGTAACGGACCAAGCGGAGAAAGAAGACGAATCAAAATGCCGAGAATTGGCTCTTACTCAGAAAGAAAAATCACTCAGAAGTTTTGTTCCAAAATTCCCAAGACGCATACACATAGATCCGTCCAGTTTCTGTAAAGCCTTGCCTTACCACGTGGTTTTTGATGGCACCATGACCATATTACAGAGTGGAGTTCAAATGCAGAAAATTTGTCCAGATTTGATGAAACCAGGTGGTAAATTGCACGACTATTTTGAACTCGTGCATCCACGGATGCCCCTGACTTCTGAAAATATCATACGTTTTATAAACGCAAATTTTATTTTACAAATAAAGGAAAGTATGTGCGGTGAGGTGACAAATGGAAAAGCGGTCGTTCCCTTGAGAAGTAAGGCTTTTCCTATTAAAGGTGAGTCGTATTACTTGATTTTAGGCCATACTTGATTTTAGAGTTTAGTTACTTATTTTTGGTAATGGTACATGTATGTTGACCTTGCTAGTATCGCGATCTGCTTGGAGTAATCGCCACGCGGCAATTTTATCAGAACGAATTGTTATTGGGTTTTGAAATTGGTAAAAAAAATGGAAGTTTTTCGCCGTGCAAAAATGCACGATATGCGCTTTTCCTCTTTGAATCTATTAGGGAAATAAGCATACATATCAAAGAATACCAAACAAAAGTGTATCAAAAACTCGTGCACAATTTACACAATTATGTTGAAACTACAAATCCCAATTAAAAGGTCACGTGATTTCAGGTCAGATGATCCTCCTAGACCAGAGCGTTGGTCACATAATGTTCATCTGCTCTCCAAGGCTGACCAGCTTGACCGAGCTGATGGAACGCAACATCTTTTTATCGGACATCCCCCTGTATGACGTCACCAGGGAGTTGATACTGCTTAACCAACAGAGGATTGCCGAGATAGAAATTAGGTAAAGATGGGGGTGACCTTGAGGGGTAACTAGTCCACAAGTCACAATGGCTGCTGGTGTAGTTCGCGATTGACATTCGATCAAGTTTGCCTATATATTGAAGATATTACTACTTAATGTATCAATAATTTCAATACTATAACTCAGTTGCCATATTATGAATAAACCCAGTGTAATGCCTCTAAGATTTGTCATGTGACTCCTAATTTGGCGAAACCTCAAAAAATCAAAATCATTTTCACAAATGTACAATTTCCTTTCATTTTTTCCTTGGCATTAAGGTTTAATTTATTTACATGCATGTACAGTCTACACTGAACTGTGTATGGCAGAGGTGACAGAAGATAACCTCACGTACAGTAAAATGTAACTGCTTTATTTAATTTGGCACGCGTGCTCGTTTAAATGAAACCAAAATTACCAATAATTGAACCATGCCATATTGCAGTAAAAAACTTGACGAAACAACGGCAGAGTTAAAGCGCACGGCCACGGCTTTAAACAGAGAGAAACAGAAGACAGACTCCTTGTTATACCAAATGTTGCCAAGGAAGGTAGCTGATCAACTTAGGGAAGGTAGAACCGTCGAGGCCGGTATGTCTCCATGTAAGATTTGTTGAGTTCGGTGTGACAGGAATGGTAGTCTTAGGGTGTATTCCCAGAGATTTAGATCGATCCAGAGATTAAGATTAAGATTAAGATCGACCTAACTCCCTGGGGGTTCACGCTAAATTGCAGTCAGCCGAGCGCGCACCATGGTTAATTACCCCCTTACAGCTTTCAGTAGGCGGGACAGACGCTTAAGCCGGCTAAGCTGACAGTAATCTAGTGAGACTCCCCACAGGGATAGATCGATCTAAAATCTATGGAAATGGGGTCTTAGGAATGGAAGTCCGGGGCCCCATATGATTAGTACAGGTTAGGCTCAGTCGGTACCTTGGGGTTAGTGTATGGTATTAATGTCAACTGTACAAAATAATGGGGGAAGGACTACGGCTCCTAGCGGACTACCATTCCCGTCACACCTGCACATCTTACTGTAAGAGATGAATTGTGCATAGGTCCTTGTGGCTCTTAAAGTCATTAGTCTCTTCAGACCTGTTACTTTTAGACTAGACCGGAACTTTTTTGTTCTAAACATACAGACCCTAAATTTGGTCTACATTATTTCAAGACAAATGGTTTGCTTAAATAAAGTAAGTATTAGCACTAGATATTTGCCACATCTTTCTTGTCGCTTGTTCAGTAATATGAATTGCCTTCTTAATGGATATTTAATTGGCAACCACACAAGATAAATGAAAGGTTATTTAGTTGTTTTTTCTCATATCAATTCAGAAAAGTTCAGCGAAGTCACAATCCTGTTTAGTGATATCGTCACTTTCACAAACATTGCTGCTGCGTGTGCACCCATCAGTATAGTGGAAATGTTGAATGAGCTGTACTCGCGGTTTGATGCGTTGACCAGCAAACACGGCGTGTACAAGGTCAGTTGTCAAACGACCAACACGATTAGGAAATCAATTTGCAAGTTGATCAGTGCTGGTCTCATTTTTTGAATACCCACAGAAGTATATTATTAAAAATTGGTAGCAATCATTGCAATTATTATTCTTAATGTTCAGAACAATTTTAGAGCTTAAGATATTTTAGGAAACCCACCCCTGGGGATTACTATTAACAAAAAAGTTTATTTGCTTTACTTTGATGGTAGGTGGAAACGATTGGTGACGCGTACATGGTGGTGGCCGGAGTGCCGGACTCTGTTCCTGACCATGCTGAGAGGATAGCCAACATGGCGCTAGATATGGTGGAGGCTGCTGGGGAGGTGATCAGCCCGGCCACTGGACGACCATTGCAGGTAGGAAAGGCTCTTGTGGGCGGGGAAAAGAGAGAGAGAGAGAGAGAGACGTGCCATGCGCCCTTCTTTATGTGGCGAATATGCCAGTTGTTTTCAGAAGTATCCCTGAAATTGATGCTTTGTATCAATATTACTAGTGACAGTCTTACTATTTTACTAATTTTACAAGGACATTTTCGTGCAAGTATTTTTCCGTTTTCTTCATCTGTGGAATTAGCGTTGGAGCATCCGATAATTGACCCGATATATAGCTTGGGCAAATAAAAAAGACTTATTGTTCGTGTGTACAGTATGCTATTGTATGTTATAAATACACAGTGCACTACATAAAAATCATTAAATGGTGACGGCTCCGGTCCGTCTTTCCTCTAAAATGGACATAAAGGTCAACTCTGAGCCCAGAAAGTCATGACGACTGCTTTATGCGACTAAATTTGAGTGTCCAACACTCCAGTAACACTTAGGGCTCAGTCCCATTGAAACTGTCGGTCTACACGGATCGATCCAACTCCGAGGGATCCTCGCTGAAAGCAAAAGATTTACTCGCCTACTCCTGGCGTTGGGTAGAATGCAGAAAAGCTGGTTATTATACGAATACGTTGGAAACAAGAGAAGGCGTAGACAAACAGTTTCAATGGGAATGGGTTCTAAGTTTGAGGTCAAGTCTACATATATGGTTATGAGAGAAGGGGGGGCAGGGTATGCCGTAGCGTATATGATGGAATACAATTTTGTGTACAGTCCTGAGAAGAGTCCTCTTTGCTTAGAAACAAACCCTTTTATGCTAAAAATGCACACTTTTCGTCCAAAGTAACAAGAATCCTTTTTTTTTTCAAACAACGGCTGAATGCAGAATAATTTTCACTGCAACACTTCAGTGTCCACAGTTAAGACACCTCCATATATTTTATTTTTTGAATTTCACATAATTGGTTGATATTTTATATTAATTACATATTATTGTCACGAAATAATGATCCTGTCACACATTTTGTTTTAGATTCGCGTGGGCATGCATTTGGGTGGGGTAGTGGCAGGCGTGGTTGGGAAGAAGATGCCAAGGTACTGTCTGTTTGGAGACACGGTCAACACGGCATCACGGATGGAGAGCCACGGAGTCCCCGGGAAAATACACGTCAGCCCTTCTGCTAGAGAGTAAATATTCTCTTTGAATACTTAGGACATGATAAGATTATGGTTAAACATAATTTTTTAAAGAGGCTTCATCATAGAAGATTGGTCACGTGACTTGCTTTTCGTTGTCATCGTTGGAGTCACTTTGATGAAGGTCCAAAAGTCAGGCCTCGGGTTAAAAAAAAAAAAAAAACACGACCAGTCTCTTTAAAAACGATTTACTTGTGTACCATCACTATACTAGAGGTTATAATCAAACTATATCATCAAAGATAAAATTGACTTTTTCATTCAAATTCCCTTAACGTAATAACTATTATTATGCCAATTAAGCATCAGGTGAAAAAAGTAACATGACCTTAAAATTAGGCCTACTACCACAAAAATATCTCCAAACTGAGAATGGATTGCATTTGCTTTATAAAAAAGTTGACATTTAATCCAGATACAGTGACTCGAGATTTATTGGGTCAGTTTTGCGTGTTTTTTTACGTATGATGCCAGGCGAGATAATATTTTACATTACGTTTTCAGAAAACTTGACAACAAACCGTACATTTTCGAAGAACGCGGTCTCATAGAAATAAAAGGCAAGGGCGAAATGGTTACGTTTTTCCTCATTGGTCGAAATGGCGAGGTCCGCCTGGAGTTGATGAAGGATAACAACACGACGGTTCGGGGAGGAACGCTGGACACTAATTTGGCAGAACCGAATGCCTCCTTGAAATGGGTGGACTCACATCGCATGTCCAGTGACCAAAATGATCGGACAGGTTCGCGTCAAAACGAGAGCAGAACGTGCACGATTATCTGACAACATTTTCTGTTGTTGTCTTTGAATTTTTATATTGTCGTGACGGGTGCAGAAACGTTACTCAATAATTGCTCAAGAAATCTCAGACTTGGGCTAAAGATGGCATATCGGAACACTTTAAAAACTCGAGGATTCTGTTTTGTTTTTGAAGTCCTAATAATTACAGTGGATCACTTATGGTAATACAGAAAGTAGCAGTCACCAAACTAAAATATTTTATGGATCTACATGAATAAAACTCTTTTTAGTGTTTATGAATTATTAGAAAACTTTTTGCACATATACTACACAGATCACACAGTGGGTGTGTTTTCAAATTTGCAAACTTGTAATTGTACTATATATTTTGAAATAAAAATGTATTTTCAGAAGACCTGTAAATCTAAATCCGACGAAAGAGCATTGCTTTTTTACATCATGTTTCCCCAAACGTAGTCATCATTACGAATTAAACAACGAATATCCAAGAATATCTCATATTACATGTTTTATTTTGTAAGTCAATATACCAAAAAATTCAGTTCAAATGAAGTAGAAAACCTGCATCAAAGGTTCTTGTCCTTGGTCCCATTTCTATGTTTGTTTTTCAGTACTGCTACTAGTGCAAGGCTCGGAATATATAACCTGAAACAAAAAGAATGCTAATAGGTAATAATTGATTTAGGCCCGACACATAAATGTCCACATAAAGATCAAATTAATAGCTCAAAATTGCGAAGACTCTCTTGTTTATCAGTGAACTTAGTTCCTAATTTGAAGGAATGTACATGTATATCTTTAAAGTTTCGTCCATTGCATATACGTATAAGATTGCCCCACTCCCGGACTGATTTGATATGTGAAAAAGGCCCAAAGTTGCTTCCCACATGGAGCGGTATACTTAGGTTTCATTCCCATCGTTCTAGGTAGATCGATCCAACTCCACATGGACCGTCGCTGAATGCAATCAGATTAACAGATGAACACGCCTCCAGTAGTTTTCAACGCACTTGCATAATCACCAACTTTTCTGTATTCCACTCAACGCCAGATGAACGGGTTAATCTGTTAATCTGTTTATCTGATCGCGTTCAGCGAGAGTCCCGGCATAGTTGGATCGATCTACGTGGAACGATAGTTTGATTGGGAATAAGTCCTTAGTGATACAGTTTGTACCGGTTAACTTAGAGGGACGGCAATTTATTAAAATCCTCATAACGTGAGAAAGACACCTAATCGGAGCCTCCGCGATCGACACTGCCAAGTAAAGAACTTGACTAAACAGCAGAAATCGAATATGTGAAGAACGTGTGTAAGGGAGTAAATCTTCCCGTGGTACAATTTACATGTTTGGCCTTTTTCAAATTGTACCGATGCAAATTGTGGCTCCAAAATATACCGCTTAATTTGAAAAGTACCTGAGTGAATTAAGGTATTAAATTGTTTGAGATGCACCAGCAAGGTGTGCTCAAAAAGTATATTTTGAAAGAAGTATCTAAATGGTGAGGTAATCTGTATATATGATCCACTTAATATGGCTTACTCGTATCTTAAATCCTACCTGGATTTGTTACTTTAATACTTCTTGCCGTAGTAGTAAGGTGCGTAGAGTGGAGCCTTGTAAACGGGATGGACGACAGCGGCAGCTGCAGCAGCAGCAGCAGCACGGGCAGCTGCGGCGGCATCGGCCTTAGCGGCAGCTTGGGCAGCGGCAGCACGTTGAGCGGCGGCAGCACGGGCGGCAGCAGCAGCCTGAGCAGCAGCGGCAGCACGAGCAGCAGCGGCAGCACGAGCGGCAGCGGCAGCACGGGCGGCAGCGGCGGCATCAGCAGCACGTTGAGCAGCGGCGGCACGGGCGGCAGCGGCGGCTCTGAAATTAACAAAACCTTATTACTAGTGACGTTATACAAACTGCATGCAATGCTCACTACCTTCCTGGTAAATACTGCCAAATTTGTGTCTTTTGAGAGTTTGTGAATTTCTTAGATAATTACTGTTGGCTATAAGTGTTAAATCACACACTTGAGAAACCAATTCACCTCCTAAAACGATCTAAAGAGAGAAAGACGCATCCTTTAAGGAGTAGGCCTATTTTCCTCTTATTTTACACAAAGGTCTCCCCATATGTTACTTTTTTGACAAACACTTTAGAAACAAAATACAAAAAAATCTGTGATAACCTGTGATAATATTCGACTGATTAAAGTTAACTTATCTGTATATTACCAAATTTGGTCTTGATCACATCCATCCAATCAAACGAATCAATACTGATGCCTTGGTTGGAGAGTCTTAATCAGACTTCTATTATTACAACAACCATGATGAATTAGAACCGAAGACCAAAAAAAAAGTTTAAAAATACCCACTTACCCGTAATAGCCGTATGGGGCTTTTACGAAGGCATGTGCAGCCACAAGGCAAAGAGCGAGAACGACCAATTTCATCATCTTGAAGGTTGGACTTGTCTGCCGGTGTCTCAAACTGTGAGTGAAGTTAAGGAAGCTTTCTGGAGACTTTTATAGGCACTGCACTTCATTCGGGTACGTGCTTTACCTCCATTTCAATTTGACTTATTACACAGTGTGCACGATGGCTTGATGCAGACGACACGTACATTACAAAGATGAAAAACGGGTTTTCCCCTATAAACCCGTTTGATTTCACAATAATGGGTTTTAGAAATTAAAAAAAAACATCTTTTGAAAATATTCTGAAGGGGGGGGAGTTAAACTGAACAATAGCAGTTGGACTTCATCCAGCGCGCGCGCGCGCGCGCGCGCGTGTGTGTGTGTGTGTGTGTGTGACTGCAACTCCTCCAACAGATCGAGTCAACGTCAGTGTTTTCCATTCCCATTTCACTCAATATATTTTAGAGCAAACAAATAATAGAGTCAATAATATCTTCCATGGATGGCAATAATATCTATCGTTTTTACTAATTGGAAGCAGAAAAATAAATAAATGATTAAAAAGTAAGGAAAAGCACCTGCACCTGGGACGGCTAGTTATCAAAATAGAATGGACAGATAACGATTGCTATTAAAGTTATAAGTAAAAATATTCTACAATGTAACTTACTGGTAAAATACATGTGCACTTCCCATTTACTTTTTTTACTATTTCCAAAGTGCTTTTTAAACGTGATTACTCCCGAAAATAATTTATTTGTATTTTCAGTAACATGTTGACAAAGGCACGAGATTGCCTTTTCTCATGATAGTGAAAGTTATGAAAATAAACAAAATAAAAAAGGGGGCGTTGCCATCACGCATGGAAACGGTGCATCTATTTCCAGTTCCGCATTAATTTGTCCGCGTCGCAGGTGTTTTTCTGCACGAAATGCGATTCATCCCAGGTCCCTTGGGTATGTTTCAGAAAAAAGTTCTAAACTGATGCGACATTGTTCTCAAGAGCGTTTTTAGAGGGATTGGGAAACAAGAAATCAAAAGAGGAAAACTTTAAGTGCATAAGTCTTATTGTATATCAACATGCCCCTGAAAAAGCAATTTAGTCGTCTGGTTTCAAACTTTAGAGACGGGTGGGTTTACATCTAACAAGCATTCAGCTGATGTTGCGAATATAATTTTAATTCTTTACCCCTAGCCCCCACCCCCACCCCCTCGTTGACTTAAAATGTGCTCCCTCTATTGACTGACACATTGACAAGTGTAAAAAAGGGAATGCAGCATCAACAATTTCCTTAAAAGTAATACTAATCGTTTAACAAGAGCCCCATTATCTTCGGCATAACTCAAAAGGCAAAACAATTTGCATTTTCTTCCTTTGTGGTTATCGCGTTTTTTTTTCTCCATTGTAAATGACAGAGAACAGGAAAATGCAATTACTTGAGGTTCTGAACACTCTTGATTGTTATGTGTTTCCATAGTGGACTGTGCTTCGTACGCACGGGTACCAAAATAAAAACAATACCTTAGTGTCACGACACAGCGGTAGCGACTCTGTAATGTTACGAAAGTATTATAATCCTTTGCTTAGTCGTATGGGAACTTCTAAAAGGTCTAGTGAATAATCGTTTTTAATGATGATGCATTTTAACAAGTTACGAAGTATGAAATTAACCGCTATCTTTACAGAGGAGAGAGAGGGAGGGGGGGTGCTAAAAAAATTGGGTATCATTCTCTTGTTGTAATTAAAAAAACGTTGAAATTTGACGTTATATCATTAGGTTCATTTATTTGAGTATCTATTGAATATTAACACATTTTGCTTGTTTCTAATTGTAAATGGGTTTCGTCCCTCTACCCAAGCGTGAAGTGGTGCATTTACTGAAAAATTCATTCCCAAGCGCATTTCAAACTTTACAGAAGATAAAATATTTCGCTCTCGTCGTAAGGCGAAGTCTTTGCCTGCAAGTGCGTATACAAACAATTCTGTCGTCGCATACATACAGTCTTTTCATATGCAATATCGATGTGAAACGTGTAGCCTGTTTCAAGAAGAAAATTCCCTTTTGGCAATTTGTTTTCACAATCAAATTGCAAGGGAAATGGGCATGATAATGAACAATCACACCAAAAATTGCGCCGGTATGACAGGAATGGTAGTCCTAAGAATGAAAGTCTTGGATCCCGTATGATTTGTACAGGTTGGGGTTAGTTGGAGTAATTGGGTTATTACATGGGACGAAAATCACCTTTACAAAGTAATGGGGAACCGACTACAGTTCCTAGCGGACTTCCATTCCTGTCCCACCGGGACTTTGTCGTAGTTTGAGCAATGTTCTTGGCTGGTTCTGAACGTCAATTTTGCACATGCATAGTATAGAGCAGTGTCAATATACACATGGTGAACACGTCCATCTCGTCTTTAACGTATTTTTTTCTGTTCTCTTCTGATGAAATATGTACGTAGTTCTTATATCCTTCACAGGCTCCTTTAAATTTCATTTTGGCTACTTTTTAAACTTCCAGGTACAAAGGTTAGCCGCAAAAAGGACAAATACAATTGTTCTAAAAAATAGATAAATCGCATGCTATATAATATTATTAATTGTAATTCAACTGTTATTTTATTGTTCGTTTTCTTATCTTGCCCGGTATCATTTTTGTGCCCGAGATAAAGAGTTCATGTTCAGTTCGCTCTAATGCCTCTTTAGATATTGTGACCTTCGATACCGCTTCGCCCGCCGTACAATATTCAAATATCTTTTTGTTCTGTAATATGGCAAACTACATGTAGCATGCTCTTAAAGATTATGTGCGGACCGCGAACAATTGGATTAACCTTTCCTTTTCAAATAGTTCGCCATCCTCCCCTTGATATCTATGAAAATGCTATTTCTTTGAACGCCTCCTCATCTTTAGTGATTTCAAAGCTTTTCAATGGGATATAGTCCAGTTGCGCGAGTGAAATTATTATCAGATGCGAAAGATGGCGACATTGCATGTGCAATCTATATTTAGTTACAGTTCGGCTACACGAACGATTCCTCCTTTTTTACTTATCAATTATTCGGTACTTTTGCAGCATGCACCCATCACTTTATAAAGGCATGTTATGCAAAAACTTGGGCTAAGGAATTTTTAATTTTTCTCAGATTATTACAGAGTTGTGAGAGTCCCAGGAGGATAAGAAGTTGTTTAGTCGGAGTAAAATACCGTTTACCCCAGGGAAAATAGCTGAATGTGATTTTTAAGGGAACATCTTACACTGAATCCTTTCGATTTGTGTTTGCTTTACGCAACTGGGAATAAAACTATAACTACATTTACCAGTACATCGACTGTGTATCTTTTGCCTGATTGGAAAACATACGTCGCCTGTCACAGACATTGTTTTTCAGACACGCCGAGAGGGGAAGGACCGTCTGGGTCAAACAAGTCCAGAGATGTGTCAACTGTGCATGTCGTCTGCGATTTTTCTCTGCGGTCGCTGGCCACGCCTCCGCCATTTTTCTCGCGGGGTACCATTCATTTCAATCATAGTGGAGCCTCTTCAATTTAAACTTTATAGAAGTATCGAAAATGACTGTAAAATTATTAAAATAGAATCTTTCTTTGTAAATCAATAATTTTAACGCCAAAAATACCCATCTTACACCTTTCAATCTTGAACAACCAGTATAACAAGCTAGATGGGAGGGGGGGGGGGGGCAATGTAGCTGATATAACGTTTATAAAAGTATTTTGAAGTACTTGTACTTCCCTAGGTCTTAGTCCAACTCTGGTAAGAGACGTGGGCTAAATCTCATTTTACATCTGCTGACAAAATACACGTAAATACCTTCCTCTAAGTCTTTCTCTACACCTGCAAATGTCCACCGTTCACGTGTAAGTTTTAACGAGTTTTTATTCAAGGATTATTGTATGGAGGAAGGTACTCAAGGGTACAGTCATCCTGACTTTCAGGGTTCAGCAAAATGTGTTCTTAAACAGCATTACTTGGCTTAATTAATTATGTAACGTAACACTATAATATGAGGTGACGCACAGAGGCGGCTAATGGTGTGACATGCAAGGTCAACCAAAACATCTCAGATGATCCGGACTATGTTTAAATTGATAATTTGTATTTGGGCATTGAATACATTGAAATATGTTAAGTTTGAAAGGAGTAACATGTCCAAACGTGGTCAAAATCTGATATAATGGATCGAAACCCGTTAGCGGTTTACTCGCTTAGCTATTCATACTTCAAAGAATTTTATTTGCGACGATTGTGCCTTGGATTTGTTTATATATATACAGACAAAAATCAAATTTGAATGAGAAGTGTAGAAATATTCCAAATCGTTATCCAAAACAATTAAAATACAATTTGCCGATTTCAAGTACTTGTGTACTTTAGTTCAAGGAGTGATATTCAAACTATATGCATGTAGAATTCTATGGTCGTAATCATTTAATGTGTTTTTTATATTAGATATTTAAAGTAATGACAATTTCAAAAGATGTATAAAGCCGCTTGCTTTTGGGAAAGAAAAAATCCACGAACAAGCGTCAAAGTACAAGTTTAACATAAATACATTAATCTCCTCTTACAATTTGTCTTCTGACCTAATTCTTTTACACCTGTACTAATAAGATTAATACGGTGGCATTACTTGGTCTACTGCATATGCGTGCAAAGAATTTATAAACATAGAAGAAAAATAACTGGTCAAAAAACTACAACATTAACCACGACATGCATCTGCACAATTAGGCCACTACATTGAATTTCTGTTTAACGGACCGCTAACTTGTTTATCTTATATATAAAAGGTATTAATAAAATACTGATAGCTGATAGATAAACACAATTTCATTTTCACCAGGCCCGTAGCCGGGGGGAAAAAGGTCCACTCTGGGTGAAATTTAAGGTACATGAAAGTTTCATGGTAAAAGGTCCACTTTTTCAGAAAAAAAAAAACTTTTGAAATTTCTGGCTACGGGCCTGTTCACGTTCCACAGTTCTTCCGTCGAATACGTATTTTTTAAATAGATATTAATAATTGTCAAAATGGCTTTTAATAGAGCCTACACATTAAGTTATTCATCTTAAAAAGCCACGATCAGTCCTGGAATCATACATGTTAGATGCTACTGTGAGGCAAACTACCATAACTTGATCTTTTCAATGGGGAAATCAATCTTTTAGATACTTTTTTGTATCATAAAAATATTTTTGTAACATTTATTTTTGCAAAACTGTGTAGGCTATTCATAATGATAAATCAATTGTAAATATAGACTTAGTGTATTGAAATACGGACCAGCACAGATTATAGAGAACCTACAGATTTCTTGTAGAGCAGGTCCTCTTTACCTTCAGTATCTTTAAAAATGCCCTCATATCTGAAAAAGGATTAACAAAACTAGTTGGGCGGTTTTCTTAGGCAGAGGTGCCAGCTTGGAGAGACACAGGGATCACAATATTTAACCACTACCACTGTCTGTTTGTAAAAAAAAATGGTCTCTTGCATTCTATGTTGAACCCTGAACCCTGAACCCCCCCCCCCCCCCAGTAACATGAAGATAACAGGCCTTTTCATATTAATGCACATTAGTTAAAAACAAATCCCAACTAGGACTCAATACTTTTATACTATTTATTTAATTCAGCAAATCTTCTGATAATCAATAATGCTGCTAATGTTATAGCCCAAATAATCTAACAATCCAAGCCTCATTGCTCATTGGCACTACAATGATAAATCTTTGTTACATTTCGATTATACAATGCTATCTGAAATGCTGATAACAGTGCTTTGCATGTACAAAATTTAATGCTCTTATGTTGAATGTAGCAGTTCTTACAATGCTGTACGGTACTGTGTGTGTTGTACAATATATTTCCTTATTCTTCTTTCAATAATACAACAACTGACTATTCTACCTTTTAAAATCATGTTTTAAAATCCGCACATTGTTAAAAGGTATTTTTCATATGCAATACAGTAAGTACAACTTCATATTTCAGTGTAAAATGAACAAATCAATAACCAAACAAAGAAAACTGTTACAAATACTGTAATATGCTTGGACAGTACCTCTTATGAGGCAGTAAAAAACAATCTATCATAATTTACCATAAAAAAAGACATGGATCCAGGTTAAGCCACAGCAATGAGCTACTGTCAAGTAATACTTTCATGTGGTAAAGCTTTCATGATTCAGTTGATACTTATAAATACAAGAAGAATGATGCTCTGGTCCTGGGTTTAAATAATACTAGGCATTTCAAGTGAATCAAATAGTTCCTTTTCCTCATAAAATCTGACAATCAACACAAGCATTGGCCACATATAAAGTAACAACAGAGCAGCGAAAGACAATGCCACAACCTTTCTGTGAAGTTTTTCAGGTAATAAGTCTCATTAACAACCTTAAACACTGCCAACCTTTATGTCAGCCGTAACAGAAAATTTTTATCACCTCATCTTTATCGCCAACAATATAACACCATGTACTATGATCACAGTTTTCATAATCAAAATATGTAATTTGACAGTACAAATGCCTTTGGCAGTAAATAGTAAATGGTTATGATATATGATTACATATAGAAGTTTGAATGAGATTTTAAGTGACAAATCATAAATGTTGATTTTTCTATGTATATTAGTATTATAATATTTAGTAACTTTTATATGTAAACAGAGTCAAATAACAAATCAAATTCTGAAAGTACAGAGCGAATGTCACTTATCACTGTTAACTTTTTAAAAAGTTCTCTTTGGTATCTAAGAAAAAGGTTGTGCTTAGTAAAACATGCTGAATGGAAATGAAAAACAGAAAAGGCTTTTAACAGTAAATCTTATAAACAAAGCTAAGTAAAGCAATGCAAATATTGATCAGTAGGATATGAAGCTAAAAGGATTCATAAAATACTAGACAAAAACTAAGAAACAGTTATTTTCTACCTAATACCAAAGCAGCCATTCCCAAAAATTAAAAAATGCACCTAACTCGTGTCTCTGCAGCAGCTTAATCAACATAACTTCTTCAAATTGAAAATATTTTTTTCTTCATCAAATTATTATCAAGTTCATTTAAAACTTAATTTTGAAATCAAAATTTAGAAGCATGGATACTTAAATTAAAACAATCACATTTTTGTGGCAAGAAAAAAAAACATTTTCCCTATTATTTATTTCCTTTTAAATCATCCAACTTCAGTAGAACTGACTGGTTGCTTTAATACTTTCCATTATTTCCACCAGGCCCTCTTGTTGTTACATGGAGACTTCATGAACTTATCCGACTTCATATACTGCTCGATAGCAGGCAGGGCCTATAAAAAGAGACACCCCAAAAATAAATTTGTCTAAATGACACATAGAGATTCAAACCCCCAGTATGGAGATCTGTATTGTCAGTGTCTGTTCCTCTAATAATAAGGACTGGCAGAATAAAGATACATATTACACAAAATCTGGGATGAGGTCAGAAACTATATTTGTGATAGGTTCAATCAACTTGCTTCAGAGGCACAATTTTATCATTTTTATCTTTCCTGTGTGTGTTTGTGTGTTTGCACAATATTCATGGGAATGAGATCTCTTAATATAACCCAAATAATTTCTAGAGAAACACATACTAACAATTTTTACTGGATTCTAAAGGAATGATTTTAACAATTACATTTAAATTAGAGAAATATTCAAGTAATGTGTAGTCTCATGCAGAGGCAGTGCCGCCCCATCTAGCCATCTTATTGTTGACTGGCAACTTCTTGAACTCCTCAGAGGAGATGCACTTGGCTACTGGTTCCTGGGCCTAGAAATTGCACATGGCAGAAATAAAAATTAAACATTATGACAAACAAACAAACAAACAAACACACCTGCACACAAATGAAAAAGGAAGCAAACAAACAGGATTGATTTTCCAAAGCTAAATTATGCATACACTCAGAATGCTGAACTGATAAATTAATTTTCCCATAATCACAAGCTTTCTCCCACCTCTTCCCTCCAGCATATGATTACAAGTTTAATACCCATGTTAATTAAATCTGTTGGGTGAAGATGTGGGTTCTTTTTTGCCAAAAAGAGTACCATTTTACAACAAAATCGACTATACCTCAGCACTGGCATTAGAACCAGCTCAAATTTCAATTTAGAACAGAACTTTTCATGACAAAAATAGTTTTTTCTTTTGGACCCTCTCCACCTTCCCCCCCCCTCCCACCACCACCACCACCAGCCCATCCTACCAGGGGGACTGAATAAATACTTGACATCCATGACACATGCATCTGATAAAAAGTAGTATATAAAATATTGACACTCTCACCTCGAACCTCTTCATGAATGCGGTCAGTTTTGGATAGGCATCCAGACAACCTGGTGCGAAGAGCCTGTGCTGGTCCAACAACTCATACATGGGGAAGTCTGCAAATGTGAGCTGAAATAATAATAATATGTTTATTTGAAAACTTGCAATCCAAAGTGTGAAGTTGTACAGATAAATGAACTTGAATAAAAATTATTATAAAAAGTGGTTATAAAATAAAAAAGATATTTACATGAAAAATTAATAGTTTAAAATCTGTATGCCTTTGGTTGAAGTATGGACAAAATGTGCAATTGTAAATATCACAATGTTGCCCCATAAGAAAAACATGATACAAGAAGCAAATACAGCTTAAATGTGGTAAATTCTTTAGAGGAGTGGTAGACAGCAGGTTTTTCATCATAATGTAATTATCATTTGTAGTAGAAAAGAAGTCCTGAGCATATTATCATGATAGCTTTAAAAGGTGTAACGGATATGCATTTTGCAAATACATAATTTTATTAAAGACTAAAATCTCCTTTGCGATTGTTATCTGTCCTAAATCTTAGTTCTTGTTTTTAGCCATTGGCCAGGCATGATCATGATGGTCATTTCATACCGCAATCTCTTTAGTACCTTACTTGGTATGAGCGGAGCACCAGTTATACTAAAAACTGCCATTCTACTCACATTTGCTCCAGCAAACCACTGGTTGTCTCCAAGAAATTCTTCAAACTGCTTCAGTGTTCCTGGCAAGGCACTCAAGTAGGCCTCTTTCACAGCTTCATCCTAATAATAATAATAATAATAATAATAATAATAATAATAATAATAGTGTAGTTGATGAAATATACATTTTTCTGTAAGGAATAGCCAGAGAATGGAGAACTCCATTTACAAGCAATTTGCTGCATTTTCTTTTCAATTCCATTTGCAGTAGTATGGTTATGTGACCGAAACAAAAAGGAAGAGCTTTTGGATCTTCGGTCTATCTAATCAACAGCATGCTGACTACTTACAAACTTGCCATAGCAGAGGCGCACAAATCCATTTCTGAAGTCCATGGACTGGTTTTCCATGATGTCGGCCCTTATTCTCTCCTCTTCAGTGGTGCCACCTGTATAACACCTTTATATTATTGTTATTGTTCCATTACCACTAATTTACAAGTTACTTTACAGAGCAAGTTATAAAATTCTCTTACCACAATTTTATAATTTGAAATTTTGAGTACGTTACATCTTCAAAAGAATGACAAAGTAAGCTCTAATCTGCATCAGTTCTAATTACAACATTTAAACCTTTATAAGGGAGAATTAACTAAAATAATTAGTTTCTTAAAGCATCATTGTCCGTCTAATGCATTCTCCTTCGCCTGTATTTTTTGTCATAATCATAATGAACTGACTGTCAACAAGAACTATCAGCCTGTTTGAAATAAGTTTGCAAAGTTTTTGGTCAATTTCACAAAAGAACTTTGAAACTCTGTGTAAAGGTGTAGTTTTGGGGTTTAATTCAGTTTTAACGTTTTTGGTAAAAACTGTGTGATAGAAAACTCACAGAGATTGTGTTTCCTTCCAATGTATCTCAGAATGGCATTGCTCTGCACAACCTTACGATCCCCATCGATCAGGTATGGGAGCTGTAACCAGGGCAACATGGTGAAGAAAGGACACGTTCACAAGTGGACCAACTTATACCAGAAACTATCAAACTGATGTCACCAGATGACTGGACAACAGAATTTGGCATCAAAAACCATAAGGTCTTGTAGAAGTTATGATAATAACTATAAATGCATTTTGGTTCCAAATTGACATCAAAGATTCCAGACACACTTTAATTTGGTTTTACTTGTGAAAGCACCCATACAGGATAGTTCATATCAAAGTGGATGGCATTGTATCCTCTGGATTCATGCTATGGTGTTGAATGATTCTTCAAAAGGTAATTTAAAATCTTTTTAATTAGAATTTAAAAATTATCAATGACATTGCAATTTGAAGTGTAGAGAAATGACATAAGTGTCCCATTTCTAGCTAAATGCATTTAAAAACCTTTTGTCTATTGAAATACTGATCTTAGACTATAAGTTAAGTCCAGAGGTGTAGAGATTATTAGATTTTAATAATGAACTGATAATGTTAGACTTTGTCTACTTACATTTGGGTATGGCAGTCCCAGTGTGTGCTTGACACTTGTCCATGCTTCTCGGTTGAAATCAGGTGCTGAAAAATGCAAAAATATTTTCTTTCAAGGTTACCATATAGTCAATAGGTTTCTAGTCTGTATAAGGCCAAACTTTGCTTTTGCCAGCAAGAAAAATTCAGAGTCAAATAGATTTTAGCTTACTGTAATATGTTGTTATCAAAATTACTGGAACATTGAAAAAAATCCTCTTTCCATGCTGTATTCTAACATTGTTAAAAATTGATTTTGTTGAGAATTCTGTGCAGCTTGTTAAACTGATTTTTGGTAATGTTAAAAAATTATACTATTTAAGCCAAATCTAAATATATATATATGTTTATATTTACCAGGGCCACACTCATACTTTCTGTCTTCAAACTCCTCTCCAACATAGTTGAGTAGCAAACGTATGGGCTGTGCTAACTGAAATTAGATCAAATATAGTGAACATTCAAGACCCCCATAAGATATCTTTCTTCCACTTGGATATGCCTTAAGTTTGTAAAAATTGCCAGTCATAAACAATTATCAAAATGACACTATCTTAAGTATACTGGTATCTGCACCTTAAGGTTAAAAAAAGTTTATCATGGGGATATAGTTACACTTGCAGCTGCTCCACTTGATAATAATGGAGATAGCAAGTTCAACCATGATAGCATGTTTTTTGTCAACTTGACATTTTTTACCTTTAACAGATCAATAGGATTTTATATAAAAAGACTTTATGAGATACTGGTGTTTATGAGCCCTCATATGGTTAAATAGTTCATTCCTGTACATTCTATTATCAGTATAAATACAATGCCATAAGAGTGCTAATAATAATCACCCCCTATCACATCTACTATATTTATTTTCACATTTAATGTAGTTTTGCTTTAATAAATATTGGAACCTTAAATAGGGGTGTCAATGCTGGTAATGCAGTTTATTGTCAATAGTCAATTTTTTTCTGTAAAACAGAGGACAAAGAAGTAAGGGTCGAGGGAGTACTTGGGGGGGGGGGGCACTGAACAAGTATGCACTTCCCCTCCCCTTCTTGACTCAGTGTAATATGATATGAGGCAGAACTCTGCCCACACTTACTGTATCATTAGCAAAGGATGGCCTTACAGTTACAGTAAAGCCAAGTTGATCTGGGACTAGTTTAGTTATAAAATGTATAGTGCTGTAATGTATTAAACTCTCCTTAGGTGTGGTAGAACAGTTCTGCTTTTCAAATTCAAATAAACTGAAATTTGTTGCTTATTGGGATTAATTCCTAGTTGGAAACTGGTTTTCAAATGCATTTACTGCATATGCTTTGGAAGATACAATGTATCAGTTTCATTCTACCAGTATTTCCCATATTGCATGCATCTGTGACCAAAAATTCTTTCACTTTGCCTGTTTCACATGAACCTTAAGTGTAATTGGGAAAATCCTAGAATCAAATTTTAAACTGTGTAGACTATTAATACTTGGCTCCTTTACTTTAAATGTGACAAATTTTAAGTATTTGAAGAGGCGAAAATCAAGTTGGGCAACTTTTGACTCATTTTTTGAAGTGTCCCCTGAAATAAAAGACAGGCATGGTGTCACTAAAACATGCTAAAGAAGACAGATCGTAAAACAGCTGATTAATACTCAGATATGCAGCTGAGTGTAATATTTCAAGTGTCCAGCTTATAATAAGAAAAAAATCATATGTGGGGATCCTATGTTCTGAGGTTTGTCTATAGGCCTACAATATAAATAATCGGTCTGCGAAGTTATTTGCAAAGGTTCAACTTGAGTCCCACATGTAACGTGACCGTTGTTGTTGAAACTGGATCTGTTCACTGGTTCACTGAACTTCAGGTGTTAAAACTAACTTGGTAAAACTATAGGCCTACACGTGTAGGCCTACATGTAAAAAGTCTACTTCTGTCTAGTACTTTTATGTACACGTACTGTACTACTACTACTACTGCTCTTACCCCTCGAATCGACCAATAGCCAAGAACAATCGGCATTTTAGATCAGGTACAAGAATAGAGGAGAGCTTGGGATCACCCTGATCAACAGTTGGACACAGATGCGCAGGGCTGACCCAGTTTTCGGCTTATCATTCAAGACCCTTTAGCTGATTGATTTACTAACTTGACGTTCCCCCTTAAGACATTAGAATATTGAGATTAAAATAACACTGCTGGCAAAAGATTTACTGTATGGACATAATTTTACATCAATACGTTCAATGCAATGAGCTTACAGAGTAAGTGTTGGTAAAGACATAATATTGCACGTCTGTTTATACAAATGCAATATTTTTTGATACACTAAGCGAGTGAAGTGTGGGAAAATTAAAATCTAGGTCAAAATGCGGTTACCTGTCACGCTCGGGTGGGCATCAGTGAGTGACAGCGAGTGTGATTATTCAGACTACTTTAAACCAGGGAACAGGAGGGACACGGTGGACCATTCAGGTAAAGTTACGACAAACACTTTGTGAACAGTTAATTTTACAGAATATGTTGACATTTTATTTTAGCCTGATCCTCGACAAGTTTTGTGGTTGAACCCCAATCGCGTCCCTTCTAATCGGAGTGGACGATGTGATCAGGTATTCTAAATAAGATATGATCTTCGCTAGAGTAGCCTCAGTAAGTAGACCAACTTGTAAGTCTGTAGCCGTCTGAATAAGACGAGATCCGCTATACTTAGTCTCCACTCATGCTGTCCCCTCCATTGGAGAAATTAATATACGAACTTCTGAAGTGGAAATGTGAAATGGATACAACTTAAAGTGGCGAAGTCTACGGGATTAGTTGTCGCCCAGTACCTCCTCCCCCTATTTATTCTCTTCCTCGATTGTTTTCAGTTAGATTTACGTTAAATCACAAATAATAAATAATGTATCAGCTTTGTCAAATAAACTTCAATGAAGCCTCAAAACAAATACATGTAACTTGTGAAATCATAAGAAATAAGGATCCAAGTTCCCTTTAAAATGTAGTAGGCCTATGAGGTAGTATATGCAAAATGTAAATTATAGCAAAGTGAAAGGTGTGGTGATCGAAATTCCGTATTTCAAATAAAGTTAAGACTTGGAAAGATGACTCATGTAATTTGAGAAAATGGAATTACAAAGTCAAGTTTCCCAAACACCTTTATATATAGATAAAATTATGCATTATGTCAGGTAGTATACAGGTAGATGATAGTGTGATAACATGTACCTCTGAATAAGAAACATTTCTTCCGTATTGGGGTCAATATTATACTTTCTTTCAAAACAAAAATTATTATCATGATGGCTGCTTCTAAGGGGAAAGTTGATTTTATGGTCTTTTATGGCAGGTTCTGGTGAAAACATTGAAGGAATTGTCAACAGTAATATTTCTGTTTGGGATTTGTCATGGAAATAAAACTCTGAATCTACTAATACTATAGAGAAAATACATTAATATCCCATCTAGTCATAGAAAGTTTGTAGATATTTATTTTTTACCTTAAATCAACATGACAATTTAATTGCCTGAACATATCATGTGTATTTAACACCTCTTATTGTGTCAGTTTAAGTATTGTGCAATACTTACAGTAATTTAAACTAAGTCACATTTTACTACCTACATCTTTTGTTTTGATCGGCTAGGAAGGAAGGAAATACCAGAGAATGTGACCCTGTCATTAGAACCATTAACCTCACCTGAGCTCATTTGCACCTGTTTCACTTATGTCCCATATCATTATTCATTATACGCCTCTGTTATGTTTGGTCTACTTTGAATATACCTTTACTATGGTTTGGTTATTAGACTTCACCTTTCTCATTTACGAATGTACTAGTATCTGAATCACAGTGGAATATACAGGTGAGGCCTTTATATATCTTAGTTTTTTTTTTTTTTTTTTTTGTGAAACGGGCCAAAATTAGCCCAAAGCTAACCATTTCCTACTATGCCAATGGAAAATGGTCAAATATGAACCGAGCATGTAAAACTATAGTGTCTGCAAATTAGCGGAATATTGCATTAACACAGTTATGAATTTTGTAAAGATAGTGCTTAATGCTTTACCAGTTCTTAAGTTGTGATAATTATATGTCATTATAATACATGAATTTTACTGTCTGTGATGAGATTCAAGATATTTTGTTCAAGTCCATTTTATCCCATTTGAATCTTAAGAAAATATAATTGCAGTGGTTGTATTTGGTTTGAATATTGAATATATATCAAGTTGAGGTCTTTTTACCTGCAATTTGATATTTAAAATTATTATGGTATTTAAATATATATACAAAGTGACTGATTGAAAGGTCTCTGACTGCTAGTGTTATTCTGGGCATTATTGGTGTTATTCTGTTTATTATTGATTGACAGTGACTAAGATTTCAGTTATTTTTTTTATAGGTTATGTTGTTGACATTTACTAGTAAATTCCTTCAATGTCCCCATGAAGGATGCAAGCATGCAGCATTACAGATAAACTTCCAAGTTGATATTATTACCGATAGGAGAGAAGACTCCAAACCGTATTTAAGGGCACTTGTCTATCTGGACATCTAAATTAGCACATACATGTAGGATCTCACCTACTACTGTTTTACTTCCTGTTTTCTCAGTAAGATCTAAGATGACAGGGTTATCTGAATTTCCTGTCACTATGTGGTTAAACAAAGATTTATGTTATGATATTGAAGGATATAATAGGTTTATAGTGGTGGGCCCAATTGTTATGTATGACAGTATGAAGGAAGTCTGCCAGTGACGTAGATAGGGGGTTACATGTTGTGAGTGTTATAATTTATGGTGTCTGACAGATAGGACTGTTATTGTGAAATATGCTGAGTTATTTTTAGCTTTGTTATTGTTGTTATTATCTATAAGTTGGTTGAGATAAGTTAATTTGAAAGGAAATTTGGCTCTCTTCTTTTAAAGGTTTTGTCTGTGGGGTAATGTCATTATGTTTTTTATACATGGATATTATATATATAAGTAATGCCTTCAAAATCTTTTGGGGAACAGAAATCTAAGAAATATGATCATACCATCTTATTAAGTCCAGTAGCTCAGAGATTTTATGTACTACAGTGCTTTGACCAGCATTTTTGGATGGAGGAAGTGGATTTAACCCCATAGCTCAAAATAGATCCATCTTTTAATTTTGTACCTGACAAAGTAACTTTCATTTCACAATAAGGTGCCATAAACGCTGTACTTCTATAGCAATTTGTCATACTTCTCCTTTCTTGTTTGCAAACTAACAAAGGCTACTGCAGTGCTTCTAACATATTGCTGTGGGTCAGTGTAGGCACAGTGGTGACAGCAGACATTGTTATTTAAAATGATAGACCAGTCCTTGCTTGTTTTTAAGTAAAAGAGAGACCATTTCCATGTTCATTTTAATTCTGGATCGGCAAAACATATGTCAGCAGTTTCTTTTCCACATCAGGTATGTTACAATTTACTGTGTTTAATAACTAATCTGAAATAGAGGAAGTGAAGTTAAAGATATAATTGACACACATATATTTTCATCATGTGTATTTAAAAGGTACTGTGTAATTTGCACATAAACAATACTAATGTGTTGGTCATCTGGTTATATGAACAACAATGGAGGGTGTGTTTGTCAACACTGTCACTGAGAGCGACTGGACATTTGACTAATTAATGAATTTCTAGTAATAACAAGGCCTTGATTTTGTCACTTATGTATGGAACTCTTCCACCCATGGAGATGCACTCAAAAGTATTAATGGAAAATTGTGGAAAGCTTTAGTTTTTTTAACAAAAAAAAAAAAAAAACTCCTTGCCATGTGGGACCACAGAATTCACACATTCAGAAAAAATCTACTTGTCCACAAGAAAATTTACTGGCCACAGGCTTCGTACCAGTGGCTAACATCGCAGACTGCCAAACTGTCTATTAGTCTATACATTATACAATGTATTTTAACAATCTGTTTCTGGACTTGCAAAGCCTGTCAATTAGGTAGTTATCATGATATATATTAGCCTGACAGTGACAGGTATTCAGAGTGTTGTTTTAAGTCTGTTATTATAGACCTGTTATTCCCGCATGCTACCTGTACATGTATTACCACATGTGCATGAGGTGGTCATTATATGTTAAAGGAATATTCGTCCACAAAACCCTTTAAGGATAACACAATAGCTGGTTACTGGGGCGTGGTAAAAATTGGACCCAGCATGACTAAGGGGAAGGCTGTCTGTGTCAGGTGGGTGGGTAATATACCACTGGGTTTGTCTTCACACTATTTTTTAACTTTCTACCTTTGTATTGTTTTGTTTTGGTATCCTTAGGCTTGTATTTGACATGATTACTAGTAACAAGCTTGTTTCAAATACATTTTTGAATGAAACCCTGACCACACACACACACACTCACACACACACACACACACACACACACACACACATACACACTGGACAATAACAAAATTGGTATTCAGATGTGAATTCTAAACATAGAAATACACGACTGACTGATATTCCATTGGTACCTTAGTAATTGGACACACATAATGATTCAGTAATGAAAGGCCATGAGAACTAGATGTACCCCATTAATAGTTCTAAATGAACCCTTCTTCCTCTCAATTTAATAATTGATCATTGTGACAGAGAAATGTTTGTGTAAGCAAAACACCATTAGAATAATGAGTCCATGTGGTCTCTGAGCCAGGTTGATATTATTTTCTTATCCTTCTCATATATGTTACCACTGGGATTTTACAGGTACAGTTGAATGGAATTTCCCCAATGTATTTAAAGTAAGTCACTGTTCATTTTTGACAATACATGCTGTTGCAAAAATGGAAATTGATTTGTATTTCTGGGTCTTTTATATTCACATATCCTGTTATTAATTTATTTTATTTATTTTGATTGTATCTTTTTTTTTCCAGCTGCATTATATATTATGGCAATCCATTATATGCTGGTTTCATGTGTAGGCCTTTATAATGGCCTTTAAATTGGACTCAATATCCAGGACTCATTCATATTGATTATTAAATCGTGTAACTGTGCTAGCATGTTTAAACATTTATAGACAGTTTGGGTATTACAAGACACCTGCAGTGTGGGGTTGACATCACTGCAGTTAATGGCTAGATAGACTAGTGTTATAAGAAAGCTGTGACAACACAACTTTGTATCTTGTTTTGCAGACTGTAAGGAAAAAAGGAACAAGTTTGAGTCAGTTTTACAGTGAAAGAACTGTTGTTGTTGTTAACTCACACTGTTTTAACACTAGGTTATTCTTTACTTATGATATTTGATGTAGCCCTATGTACAAATCAGTCACTTTAAGCTGTTATTGTACTACTAATAGTTATAACTTAGCTTATATAGCATTTGACTAAATTATTTTTGTTTTACAGAACTGAGGACTTGAATAGCATTGAAGGAAGAGTAGTCACAGCTTAAAGAGAGGGTAAGTAATTTTGTTACAAATTTAATTTTTAAAAATAAAAAAAGAGAAAACATTAATGATCATAGAATAAAATCAAAATGAGATAAAGGGAAATTTTACTTGGCTTATTCAAATCAAGTTCAATTTAAAGAGTTACCTCATTATTTAAAATGAAAAAAATGAGATAGCGAACTTAAACATACAAAAAGTAGAAATATTGAAAAAACCACAAAGTTAATTAAAAAAACTATTTTATAAAACAGCTGCCTAGAAAAGATAGTACCCAATAAGATGTCTCTTGTTTAAGATATTTCATAGTTGGTCAGATCATCTGATTTGTAGAATTTTGTTTATTTATTGATTTTATTGATATTATGATTATATTTTTGCTTTTCTTTTCAGTAAATTTGAAGTTAAAAATTATTTTTATATCATAACCCTTTGACATCAAATACATATATCATCTAGAAAGCAGTTCATCAGGATGACGGGGGACAGATCTTTGTCCGTTGTCATGATGATCCTGGAGTTGTGTATCATCCTACTGTATATTGGTGGTGGATGTTCTCAGAGTGGATCATCTCCAGATGATGTCGCAGGGTCAGGTAAATAAACTGAACACCATGTTGTGAAATTTTAACCACATATCCTTTTCTTTGGAAATTTAGGAAAAATAAGAGAAATGGAAAAAGACATCAACATGCATTGTCTCTTTATCATATGTGTTATAGTTACTGCATTGCTTGGTGGTGAAAAAAATATTTTTAAAGAGTGTTTAAGATGAGAAGAGTAAACTGTTTGAATCGTGATTTTCTAGGGTGCTAAACGTGTATTATAACTTTCACCCTCCTAGTGCTGGTGTTATGCAATAATTTATTTGTTTGGAATGATGGCACCATTCAAATTGTTTGAGCAACTATCATAAAGAGTTTTGAGAGGAACATGCAAAATGTAATAATTATAATAACAACAGTTTAAGTGTCACTCACATCACTGCCGATTAGTAGTAATTTCATGTATTTCTGACTCTAATCAATAAATAATGCACTATATATGATTCATAAGTTTAATAGACAAAATTTTGTCAGGTTCAAAGAATGACACAGGCCTAGGCAAGATCCACTCCCCCTACAAAAAAAGGAGGGGGGGGAGAGAAAAGAAATAACAGTATAACAGATGTTCTGTAAGATAATTCTTGACATTTGAAAGGTATCATAAATGCTATTTATTAACCAGGTGGTGGTCTAGGAGGGTCATATATGACAGAATGTAATGCGACATCACAGTGCACAGACAAGGATACCAACACCTACTGTTACCGTGGAAGATGTCAATGTAATTCTGGATACACACCTGAGAGTAACAACCAGCCTCCCATTTGTGTTCCATGTAAGTTTTTTTTTCTTATTTCAATTATGTTTATTGAAAATTCTTTGATTTGTTCCATGTAATAAAATAGTTTTTTTTTCTTAATTTTAAAATGATAGATAGACATGCTTCCTTGCTTTCTTGAATTTGTTAAATTTGTTATTGTTCAATCATTTAAATATAATTAAAAATATATGTATATTTCACTTGCAGATTTTAATGCAGAATGCAATGAAGAAAGTGACTGCATCCCGCAGCTGACGGCCATGTTGTGCGGGAATGCTGGGAGATGTGTGTGTCAGCAGGGATTGAAGTATGATACAGGCAGTAAAATGTGCAAATATGGTAAGTTTTATGTATGATCTCCAGTTAAACATTCTTTGTCATCTGGTAACGAAACAGAAAAATATTAGATGGATTGGTCTACAAATATAAAAATAATTAACTTTAAATAAAGACTGTACTAGTACACATATCAGGCATATACACTTAAAACAAACTTAAAGGAAAATTGTCTCATACAAATTTATTTGGAACTAAGATTTAAGTTTTTTGTTCATAAAGTTTATATTTAAGCAAAAAGGTTAAAATGAGTCTATTTTCTGTGAGGTTATGGCCAGACTTGCTCATGGAATGAAGACTGCAGTAACCAGAATTTAGCATGTAAGGACACAGATCAAGATGGAAAAGCAGACCAGTGTCAGTGTGCCCCTGGTTACTCCTATTATAACAACAAGTGTATTCGAGGTAATTATGTGGGCCGTTGGGCACATCCTGGTGCATGCTGGGAAACAAGGGTTCTCTCTCTCTCTCTCTCTCTCTCTCTCTCTCTCTCTCTCTCTCTCTCTCTCATCATACACTCACACATAGTGAGTACCTGTGTGCACCTAATAGTCTGCACTTTTTTGCCAAATGTAGCAAGATTAATATGATGGTTTGCTTTAGCATTTTAATCAATGGTAACTTTAAAGTTCCAAACACTGTATAATAAGTGTAACATTAAAAGAACAAAAATCAGTATGATTATTATAATTTAAATTCAAATTTTAATTAATGATTTTTTTTTTGTCAATTTAGTATTGGGAGGAAACTGTAACACTCTAACGATACTTAGAGAAATTTGCCCTGGTGTAATCAGTGGAGAATGTTCTAGTACAGGAGATGTATCTTTATGTCAGTGTCGTCAAGGTGAAGCTTTTGATCCCGTCTCTGGCCGCTGTATACAGCCAGGTAAGCTTTAATATATTTACATATTTATTTATTTATTTATTTATTTATTTATTTATTTATTTATTTATTTATTTATTTATTTTGAGGTATTTTCAAGGCTGTACTCTCTTCTTGTACTAACTTAGAGATGAAGCAACATTTGTGTTATTCACATTGCATTTATTTAGAAGATGTATTGAAAAATATCAAAGGAATGTAAAATGTATGTTCCTTACTGTTATATAATTAGGTATTTCAATTTTTGGAGATATCCCCTGAATTGATAATAAATTCATTATTGTACTTTTACTTCTAAATCTACAGCTGTAGGTCAGAAATGTACTGGTAGCGGAGACTGTACGTCTGACAGCCACAGTGTCTGTGATACTTCAGCACAGGTCTGTGTGTGTCAGCCAGGGTTCATGAAGTCAGCCACCAGCCCCTTCATCTGTATTGCAGGTTTGAATGTCTCTTGACTTTTTAGAGGTTAAGAAAATTGAATTTTACTGGAATTACTCAATAAATTCAAATTAAATCAATAGAATTGATTATATTTATTTTATTAATCCCCTCCCCCATTAAAATGTTTAAATTTGTTGAAATATTGACTGAAAATTTTTAAAAAGTTCATTGGCTTAATGTCAGTAAATCTTGGGGGTGACTAAAAGGGGTTGAAGTTTAATTAACAAAAATTAAATCTTCAAAAAGTATTATTATTATTATTATTATTATTATTATTATTATTATTATTATTATTATTATTATTATTATATACACTGAATATGATATATTAAGAAATATTGTACTTCCACTTCCAGTGGTGAACTCCACTTGTTCTTCCACTTGTCCTACTGGTAGTAATACATTATGTACAAGTGGGAGATGTTTGTGTGAGCAGGGATATTTCCACAATGAAACCACCCATACTTGCCAATTAGGTACGGTACAGTTTCCATATATTATTTTATTGTCAAACATGCTACATATGCACACTGCACCTGCACACTCAATAAGAATGAAGGGGGGGGGGGCAAAAAGTAATGACTAATTGTGGTGCCTCCTAATGGACATGAACAGATTATCAAAAGCCAACTCTTTATCTTACTATTCTGCTATTTTTGTTTCAGTGTATGGATATCCATGTAGATATAACACTGCAGTATGTCAAAGAAGTGGAGACAGCAATGCATACTGCAGATATAATTTTACTGCAAGAAACAGTTTTTGTGATTGCGTATCCTCCTATTTCTACAATAATGTCACAAATCTTTGTGACCCAGGTAAGGGCAAATGATTTAGTTGATATTTATAAAATAAAAGATATATAGGTTGGTTGATAATTCTGCCAAAGTTTGTGTGTTGAAGAATATGTGCATATATGTTAAGTACATGTATGTCTGATATAAACCTTGTTGTGGAAACCTAGTGATTTTACCCATTTTACCAAATATTATCTTTAAAGATGAAAGTGCATTTAAAGGCAAGAGTTTTAACAATGCATTTTCGAAGTCATTTTTAATTCAATTTGAAAATTCACTTACGATTCTAAAGGATTGACTAAAAGAGCGATTCATTTTTAAGATATAAATATAGAAAGGAATATTCTGACTTCCAGTTGTTGGATCAAGCTGCAGTGATGATCAGCAGTGCAAAGATCGCTATCGGAATATTAACACAATATCCTGCCAAGATAGCACCGGAGATGGCACGGTGGATACATGTCTTTGCAAAGAAGGCTATTTCAGATATTATGAGACTAATAGATGTGAGAGAATTATGCCAAGTATGTACAGATTTCTATATTTTAATTATTATAATATGCATTTAAGAAAGATTTTAGTTGCAATATAAGATAAATTAAGTCTGTACTATTTCTACATGCTATTTTGCTGTACTCTTTCCCATGATTCTGTCATTTTGATACAGAGCAGCAAACTGTTCGTTCATATATCAACTTCTAAGTAGTTCTATGTGTATTTCAAATCTGAATCTGTTTTGCCAGGAACTGCATGCCGCGATGGCTTCTTCAAATACAGCAGAAGTATGACTCCACAAAAGAGAAAAAAGAGGGTTGCTGAGGATGTGGTGAATATAGGCAACAATGACCAAGGCACTTGTATAATGGTGAATTCCAATCCCCTGATCTGGCCGCAAGCAGTTCTAAAGTGCCGTGAACACTTCAGTAATATGCTGTCCCTGTCAGACCTGACATGGCCAGACCCATATATGTTTGCCAATGTCCTGATGGGGGTGAGGAATGACATAGATGGCATAAGTAAGTGACTGTAGCTGCTTAAAAGGCACATTTGGATCCCAAATGTTAGCCTACAATCATGATTTATGTCTAAATGGCAAGTTTATTACCAATTTCTGTATTACAAAATGTCTAAATGTTTTTGGGGCTTAGATAAGACTGTTAATATTCACTTTCTTGTGGGTTGATTTTTGAATGGTTAAATTAAAACAATTTATGAGCAATTAGCCTACAGTAATGTAGTGGGTTTCGTGAGCTGTAATTGCATTATAGAAATCATTGTCACAGGGGCTTAAAACTAGCTAGGACCAATATACACAGCTGAAGTTACAGGGTCCTGTAGATTCTTTGTAAAACACATCTTAGCCAGCTAAAATGCTCTGCAGTCTTTTGACCATCTTTAGACTGATTTTAAACTGTCTGTAGTCATTTTGTGAAATGGACCCCACAGTACCAACTTTGAGCATTTCTTTAATGTTGTATTTTTACACCAACATTAATTTTATTTTCCGTTTTCCCTTTTTTTATCAGGAGATAAAAGGTTCTGGACAGGCATGCGCTTGACGTCAGAACCAACCAGGGAAAAATTCATCTGGGAAGGACAGTTCCCCCACCCTGTTAATTACACTTATCATCGTATATGGCAATGGGGACAGAACCAGCCGCTCCCTCTGCATGGGCGGTGTGGAGTAGGGACGGTGCTGCAGTACGGTTTCCGGTTTCCTTTGATCAACGTGACAACACAGAAGTGTGATACAGAGCTACCGTCAGTGTGCGCTAATACTGCAGTGCAGGCAGAGTTACTGGAAGGTATACTGCTGATGGTTATAATTGTTGGTTACATGCTTTCTGATTTTTCCTTGCATCAGCATCATCATAAGCATTGTTACCATCATAATGAATTCTCTTTATCAGTATTACAAGAAACAAGCTCTCAAGATGAATATGACTAATTTGAAACAGTTAAAAGATATGTCGTCATTGCACATTTTCAAACAGATATGCTTCCTCCTCCACCCCCCCCCCCCCCCCCACCCCCCATTGGAGTCCNAAGGATATCATTCAACCAATGTGCAAGTTATCTGTGACCACAAAATAAATAATAAATAAATAACACAATAAAGAGATTTTCTTGTGTTGAATAATTGGGCTTTCGTTGTCTCTTCCCTGAAGTTGCCATTTTGACCCCTTTCTGTATAGGGCTTTTATAGAATACATGGTAATGCCTTGACCAGTACTTCCCTCAGCCTGCAATCAGCTCAACTTTCACTGTCACTGCCTTTTGTTTGGCGTAACTGACCCTGTGGTTTTGTGGTTTTCCTATGAATACACCATTCTAGCCAAATCTTAGCAAGCAACTAGTAAGAATGATTCTTAGTTTGGTTTTATGGAATAGAAATTAGTTGATTGCTAACAAGTATACAACTAGGGATTTAGAATCATTCTAAGGCCTGGTATCATGCTAAGTTAGAATGCTTTTATGGAATTGGCCCCAGAAGGACATGCAAGATATGTACTTTAGCAAAATAAATTAAAAACTCTATTTTTTTACTTTTGTATTTTAGGTTTCGGATGCCCTGATGGCTGGAAGGGCTCACACGTCCTGGATAAATGTTTCAAATTCGTGGCCACGCCCAGCACCTATAGGCGAGCCAGCCGGGAGTGTACCTCCAGTGGGGGAAGGTTGTATATTCCTACATCCCAGTTTGAAAGGGAGTTTGTGTTTGCTGAATTCATGCTGAAAGAAGGTAGGTGTTCAGTTTTTTTACTTGTAATGGCTTGTTTTTCATATTTTGAAAATCTGAATTTTTCGAAATGACCCACTTTTTCAGACAAACGATATTGAGTGTATTTATTGTAAATTGGCCTTGGAATTCGACAGATTGATGTAGTTTATTTTCATTAGATGTCTGCTATAATAGAGGATGAGTGCCTGCAAAGCTCAAATCTGTTGTTTGAAGGCCTAAGGCTTACAGTATTTAAGGTTGATTTTTATGGCCAAGAAAGTCTTCATTTTTTTTCTTTGTTCTAATTTCAGTGCAATATGCAAGAGTTGGGGTTCAGTGCGCCAATTCCACGGGGTCCTGCAATATGGCCAATGGACAGAGAAAAAATATTGCAGACCTTTTTGCCACTATAGGATTGTCAAGAAATGAAGATTATTTCAACGAAGAAGAATATGTACTGCCCACTGTCTCGGAAAGGCCAGATACGTTTTGCCTAGCTTTCAGGCAGTCAGTTTCCCTAGGAGAAGGTCCATCTTCAAGTGTGTCCTACTATGAATCAGAGTGTGAAAATCAGTTGCCATACATATGTGAGATGGACTCCCAAATACCTGGTAGGTTGTACTTTATGAAGTATATTAACTAATTAGGTCCACCAGACTGAACTTTAAGCATCGCCCTGAATTCTAATAGCCTATCTGCTGCGCTCCTTTTTTAAAAAAGCACGATCATTCATCATTCATCAAATTTTCTAGTCAAACTGTAAAAATTTAGCTGATACAAGCAGAAATTTATGTAGTCTATAGTTTAAAGTTGCTTTCTCTGATTAAAAATATTCTCTGTCAGAAATAGTTACTTAAACATTAAGTTTCAAGAAAAAATAGTTTGCTGATTTAGAGAAGACATTTATATGTTTATCCTAACAAATTTTATTATAATTCTTTTTTAATTTGCTTTCAGAATCCAAAGTATCCATATCACTTCCTGTTTACAACAAGACAAGCCAAACCCTAAGTTACAACCTCTACGGCTTTGACGAAGGAACTCCAGTGACGTTTATCAAAGATGGATTGGTTAACCTGAACAAGAAGGTGGTTATTGCCAATTCTACAGTGGTTTATCCTTTAGAATTCTCACAGCAACAGCAACAAGAGAGCTCCTGGCCCTTGGCCATTGGTGATCACCAAGGATATTATAGCATTCGAGTTTGGGGAAAGAAGCCTTATGCAGCATATAACTCCAGGAAATATCTGGTCAGAGATGAAAGTAGGTGACAAAAAAAAAATAATAATAATAAGTAAAGTAAATAAATTATTCAATTGATAAATGATATTAATTTTTAAAATTGAAATTAACAAAACTTTTGTGTGAAATATATCTGTCATTAAAACTAATAATGTTCGCATGCTTTTTTCCTGCAGCTCGATCTAAATAGTGTCTGCATTAAATTTTTCACAAGATGAGTTTTTAGATCATAGTAGTCAAGGCCAGCATGCATTTCTTAATTTGCCATCTAACAACTTAAAAGAGAAATTCAAATTGTCGCGCACCCTCTTGTAATTAACAGTAGATGTCTGTATCACAGCTAATGTTTGAGATGACCACTTGCAATTTGACCTGGGTCAGTGATAGTCCAGACTGGCAAATAATAAATATAGAATTAATTAAAATATAGATCTCTTTGGCCCAAATTACCATGATTATGATACCTTGATTCCAATTTACACTGTAGTTTCTCTCTCTCCTTTCCAACAGACATATACACCATAACGGGCACCCTGAAGGCCCTGAAACTAGGGGGTTCCCCAAGGCAGTACACGGAGCCCCTGTTATTTGTGGCTGGAGAGTACAGTAACGCGGGGTCTGCCGTGGCACAGATGTATACCACCATACAGAACATAGGGCGGGGAGTGTCCACAGCCTGGAGACTGGCCGGAACCAGATACCAGGCCAATGTGGATATGAAGCTGACTGGACTAAGGTAATTATTGTCTGTCTGTTTCTCTGTCTGTCTATCATCTATCCTGGCTTTACCTTCCTACTTATTTAATATATACTTATATCTGTCAATATGTATGCATGTTTTTTTTTTCTGTTGAAAAATGTTAATCATTAATTGTATATGTATGCACATTTTTATCTCTTGAAAAATGTTAAATATTTTCTGCTTGTATTTTTTTGTGTATTGGCTTGCATATGTATGTAAAGTATGTATGACGAATTTTAAATTTCATCCAATCGATAAAAATCAGCACAACTTGATTTATAATGACAACTGCATTAATTGTTGCTTTTGACATATAAATTGTTATTTTAAAAACTTGCAATTTAACAGAGAAGAAGAAGAAGGGTAAGAGACTACTGCGTGTAACTGTGTGTCACTTTCTTAGTATTTTGTATTGTCTGTATTAATACTAACCATAACTTTCATTTACAAACTTTGTGCTGTAATAAATTTCTCTCATTTCTTTAAATTTACACTGTTATTTGCCAATAACATTATTTAAGAAACATTTCAATTCAAAATGGTCAAAAATTAGATCTCATAGTTGCTGCATGTGTATAGAAGCTTTATTTATATTTTAAAATTCTTTATTGTCTAAAATTAAAGCTAACTGGTTTAAAACAGCTACCCTGTTTGAACAGGACGATTTTCAGTTTTTACTTATCAACAAAAGATATTTGCAGAGATAATGTTAATTTCCCTGAGCATGTTTAGATAACTAATACACCTTTGTCTTCCTAAGTGTGATATTATTTAATAGTATTCTTTGAATTTTTGTAGTTAATTTTTCATCTTGATGCAGGAACTTTGATCTGTTTACATTATCTCATTATATGAATAATGTAAATTATTGCATTCATTTCAAGTTATAGCATTAAGGAAATGAAAGAAAATTGAATGTGTCACTGTTTTAGGGTGATTTGAAACATTTTATACAGGAGATTTGTTGGCTGTAAATTTAGTCTTTTTTGTTGCAGATTAACATCATTGTTATCTGTCTTAGTATTTATAGTTGTTTGTATTTACAATTAGGAATGATTTGTTTATTTTAGTTAAAGTAGTTGCATGAAAATTATCCCAAGTTTCAGATGTGATGCTTTTTCATCTCCAAATTTCAATCTTCATCTGTATACTTTAACAATTCAGCATGTGTGAAAATTTGAAAGTGAAGAAGCCTTCAGATCTGAAAGCAAGTCTGATGAAAATTGGACCTTTATGAATTTTGTCATATGGTAGTCTAATGTTTGTTTTATTTTTAATTTATTACCATAACATTTTCTTTCATCTATTTTTTGAAATTTCAGAGTGATTTTAGAGTTGGTTTTCTTTTAATTGTCATAAATGCAATAGAAATTGGCATGATGGAACACCGATACATAATGGAAAAGACAAATTGAATATATTTTATTATCTCTATTTTCATTTTTAAAAATTATTAGTTATATTTATAAATTCACAATTAAAATGGCCAAGTTGGCAGCATGTTTACTTAGGTATTTGTTAGCTGCTAAAATAATTTACCATGTAGAAAATTAACTTATTCATAAATAACACAGTGCGATTCATAATTGATTTACAAAAATTAATTACATCTTAATGTTATTTGATATTTTTCTCTTAAATTAGTTTGTTAACAATTCTTATTGGTACAGATATCAATCAGTATTAATGACCAGCAGCTGTCTCCTCTGTAATATTTATTGTAAGCTCTGTACTATAAAGAGACTGGCATAAACTATTGACAATTATCTGCATTGGAAAATGATTGATTTTCATTAGTTTGACTTAAAATACTTTAAAATTATTCAGAATTTTATATTGAAATTGCCAACCTTGATACTTTATTCTGCTCAAAATCTGCAGTTAAGATTACTAAACTCATAATTTATCATTCAATAATTACACAATTAAATGTTTGTATGAAGTTACTCTCTTGTTTCTTTTAAATTTCCTACACAGGACAAAGCAGCGTATTATAATATTCCTTTCCATGTGTGCTTCGATAGATTTAACCCTACATGGATCTCCTTCCTATTTTCCAGGTACGTCAGCACAGGTGGTCTACTAGCAGACTTCAGGGCCTATATCACACTAAACAGAGCTTCTGAATCAGCAGTCAGTGCTCTTCGTCAGGCAAGACAAGTTTCTCCAATTACTGTGGAGATAGAAGATAATAAGGTTGTGCAGAAGTTGGAAAGTGCACTTTCTGATGTTGTAGAGCAGTATGGGTTCATTGGTTCCAGTGTTGTGCTACGAAGCACCAGTAAGTAAATTCCAAATAGTCAAAAAGTCAACTTTATTAATTGAGGGGAAAAAATGCTAAATATAAAATTTATCTTTCCTCTCAATCTGAGCCTTCTATTCTTTTTTAAAGATTTAAAGCTGATACATGTAGATGATTAATTTCTTGCAATAATGATGACAATAAACAGGCAAAAAACTGTAAATTCCTAGTCCCAGATATTATTCAATTTTTTTGCAAACCAGGCAAAGAATCAAAACAGAAAATTGCATTTGCAGTGACACTAAATCAGAACCATCTAACTAAATCAGAAAATGAATATATTAATTAATTTATTCAAAATGCTTCTCTGAGTTGAATTTTGTTTATTCAGTATTCTACAAGACAGTAACTTTACTGAAACAATTTCAGAATCTTGCTCTAAAGAGGTAGTTCTCATGCCCAGTGGAGTGCGCGTCACCATCCCAGTCACAGACATTGGAGAGGTGGCAGTCAGCACTCAGAGATGCTTGGACGGTAAGTTTCTTTTTCATATTTTTGATACCAAATGTTTTTCTTATGTTTACATATTTGATGTTCTTCAGACATAAGCCAGTGTTTTGCATTTTGGAGGTCATTAATTGTTAAAACGACTGAGTTTATGTCAGACTTAGTTCAAATTTTACCCCAGATATATATAATACAAGGATGGATGTTATTTTAAGTAATGATGAAAAGTTATATACTTTAAATTGAGCTCCAACAAAGTTTTACTGAAAACTTTATTTCAAATGACTGCAAGTAGACAAGTTTTTAACATAAGATCTTTTTTTTTTAATTTAGCAATCTAGATATTATAATTTTAATACATTACAGAAAAAGTGATTCATCATAATATATATAATATATGATCAAGATCCAGGTGACAATAAAAAAATCAATTGTGACCTAAGGCTTTGTATTTCATATCCAGTGTTATTTTGTTTTAAAGCCTTGTCCCTTTAGCATATTTTATAGTTGAGTGTGCCATACCTGCTGTAATCAAACAATTTGTATGTCTTTGATTTCTAAAAGAATCTGGCATACCCCTTGGTACAAGACCTTGTCAAGGCAACTTCACCTATGGTGCTGATTGGGGAGTGGTCACCTTAAATTGTCAAGTGAAAGTATCCAGTCTCACACCAAAACTAGGATTACTGGCAAATGTAAGAAACCTAAATTATTTTAAGGTTTTTCATTATTCTCTAGGTTTTTCTGTTTAATTGCACACTTGAGAAGTTCTACCAAGTAGTTTCTTGTGCAGTGTGTGTTTTTTTATTTTTAATCATGTGAAGTATCACATTGCCGAAAAGCTAAAATTTTTNCTCTGCTAATTTCTTTCTCTTTTAACTCCAAACCTGGCAGAAATAGGCCCATAGTTACTATTGAAGTTTAAAATAAAATCATATACTGGCAATTTACTGTGACCTTGGAATTGACCTTTGACCTACCTTACGATGAACTTAACTTTGATTGTACCATTTTTAGTAATATATATATTTTTTGCATATTTTGAAAATTCTTGTTGATTGCATTTTTACAGCTTGTCAAGCACAAGACTGGTGGCTGTGTTCCTTATTTTGTATATGTGGGGGTCTATACGAATGCTCTTGCTCCAGCTGGTGGTACAATATTCGGAGGCGGTATCGCCTCTCTGATCCTCTAGTTAATTTATTCAAAATGCTTCTCTGAGTTGAATTTTGTTTATTCAGTATTCTACAAGACAGTAACTTTACTGAAACAATTTCAGAATCTTGCCCCAAAGAGGTAGTTCTCATGCCCAGTGGAGTGCGCGTCACCTTCCCAGTCACAGATATTGGAGAGGTGGCAGTCAGCACGCAGAGATGCTTGGATGGTAAGTTTTTTTTTCATATTTTTGATACCAAATGTTTTTCTTATGTTTACATATTTGATGTTCTTCAGACATAAGCCAGTGTTTTGCATTTTGGAGGTCATTGTTAAAACGACTGAGTTTATGTCAGACTTAGTTCAAATTTTACCCCAGATATATATAATACAAGGATGGATGTTATTTTAAGTAATGATGAAAAGTTATATACTTTAAATTGAGCTCCAACAAAGTTTTACTGAAAACTTTATTTCAAATGACTGCAAGTAGACAAGTTTTTAACATAAGATCTTTTTTTTTTTAATTTAGCAATCTAGATATTATAATTTTAATACATTACAGAAAAAGTGATTCATCATAATATATATATATAATATATGATCAAGATCCAGGTGACAATAAAAAAATCAATTGTGACCTAAGGCTTTGTATTTCATATCCAGTGTTATTTTGTTTTAAAGCCTTGTCCCTTTAGCATATTTTATAGTTGAGTGTGCCATACCTGCTGTAATCAAACAATTTGTATGTCTTTGATTTCTATAAGAATCTGGCATACCCCTTGGTACAAGACCTTGTCAAGGCAACTTCACCTATGGTGCTGATTGGGGAGTGGTCACCTTAAATTGTCAGGTGAAAGTATCCAGTCTCACGCCAAAACTAGGATTACTGGCAAATGTAAGAAACCTAAATTATTTTAAAGTTTTTCATTATCCTCTAGGTTTTTCTGTTTAATTGCACACTCAAGTTGTCAGGTCAAGAAAAAAATTTAAAAGGTAGCTGCATGTTCAGTTTGTTTTTTTTTTTAATCATGTGAAGTATCATACTGCCATAAAGCTAAAAATTTTNACATTGCCGAAAAGCTAAAATTTTTACTCTTCATTTGTAGATTAACACAACTGCAGACAATGTAGTAGAAATTGTCAGCAATGCGGCCAATCTTACCGAGGAAAATGGAACTGAGCTCACGTCAACAGATATTATCTACACCTCCCAAATCATAGATGCTGTGTCTGAGGTGGAAAATGTCACTGACGAGGTAGAGGGCAGTTTGACTTTCAGAGAGAATGTTTATCAATTAAAGAACTTCTCAGTCCCCCCCCCCTCCTCCAAAAAAAAAAAAAAAATGAATAAAGCCAAGAAAAGTGAAAATAGCCAGATTGATAAATACAGTGAATAAATAGATAAGTAGATGATTCAGAATTGGTAATTTTTTAAAGAAAGAATTTCCCTTTAAAATTTTCAATTTTTTTTTTTTCTTCTTCAAAAATGAGAATTGAAGAATGGTAAGAATGATGTTATTTGCACTTGTTTTTTATCTCTGATATTCCCAATGGCAGCAGCTCTGTCATATTTGCTAAGATTGAAATTGATACAGTAGGCTGTCTTGTTTTACAGCAGTAACTTACCATGTTAAATTCAACCACCATGTGTTAAATTTTTCTGTACAGATTGGTGTGGATCTGTTGAGAACTGTGAATAATGTCCTCCGTTCTGGAAGAAGAAATATTGCAGTTGCCCAAAGATTTGATAACTCCTCATCAAGGTTGGTGACAAATATCTTACTAAGATTCTTCTTCTTACTTAGGTTTCACTGCATTGTATTTGCAGGAGTTGTAGATTTAAATGAGAAAAAATTGGATGATATGAATATATGGTTTAAATAGTATACATTTGAAACCATCCTTGGAAGTGGTGTCAGTATTGTTGATATGTATGACATAAACTTTTGTACAGAAATAGTAACTGATCACATAGGAGATTGAACATGTCAGAAGCCATCTTTTGGGTCTTGCAGAAAATGGTCAGAATTTTTTTGAGTTTACATGATTACTACCATCTAATTTTTTTCTTTTTTGTTGTTGTTGTTGGAAGATGATCAAAAATGGAGGATGGTTCAACAAAGATAATTTGGAAGACTGTCAGAAAATATATCTGGATCCACCTCTGCATGTATGCATATAATCTCATTACAGGATAACAGGCGCACTTGAAAGATTTGCCAGAAAATTTAAATTGAGAGGCAGAAAGAAAAAGCGGTTTGTTCGCCCGAATGTTGCCATTGAAATTTGGGATGTCGATCCCAATGATCCTGTGATTGGTCTGCAAAGTAGGATGGGGCAAGGGAACGGGGAACTTAACAACAACGATCTCAGCACCATATATGGAGCCAATACCTCTGGTATCGATTACTCTGAGACAGATGCTGCCATTATTTTGCCCAAAGAGATATTTGACAGAGGTGAGTATGAAAATTAACTAATTCAGAATCAGTTGCTTTTTTTAGTTAGCTCTGCAGCATAATTTGATATAAAAATCTGGAATTTGTTTAAGATGTAGAAGTTCTGTAGGTGGCATAATAGCTGTGGTCTGCCCTGTGTTTGATATATTTGAGGATGGAGTGTCAAAGTTCCAAATATTATTATTATTATTATTATTATTATTATTATTATTATTATTATTATTATTATATTTAAGTTCTGTTGTCATAATTTGATAAATTGCCCTCAATAGTTTTGCTCAAATTTAAAAGTATGGTTATGACTCACTCTTTTAGATGGGCAAAAATTATCAACTTCCAGGTACAAATAATATTTCTATATGGCATTTGTGGTGCTTTTATAGAGTCACCTCCTTTTTAATTTTGTTGCTCTCACTCAATTGGAATGTTCTAATTCTTAGAAATTATTAAGTACCGTACCTTACTTTTACACAGACCTACATATCTCTCTCTCTCTCTCAAAAAAAAAAAAAAACGTAATAAGGATTTTTATGGTTTCCCTTAAAGGATTTTTTCATTTTATTTTCAGACAGTAAAACCAGTCGGGTGACATTCACTGTGTACCAGGAGTCCTCATTCTTCCTGAGCCAGCAGGAACTGAATAGTAGTGTTCAATTTGACAGTATTCACACCTCCAATAGCAGGGTGGTGGCTGCTGCAGTGGGAGGGAAACAAATTAAGGGACTCCAACAACCAGTAGTTACTGTGTATAAGCCACTGAAGGTAAGGGCTATCTTCTTGTGCTTTATCTTTTTGGGTAAGTTCTTGCCTCAACAAAAATTAAAATCATACAAAAGTTCATGCTGTTCAAGTAGAGATAATAGATATTGTTCTAGAGAATTGATGTTGATGTAATGTTGAAAATTTCATTTTTGAAAACACAGGAGTTAGAACTTGTCAGTGTTTGTAGTGGGATCATATACTCCACATTTCAGAATTTCTCAGATTCCTACCAGTTCAACAACACAGTGTGTGAGTTTTGGGACTTCTCACTAAATGGTGGTTTTGGTGGGTGGTCAAGCGACGGGTGTACTTACCAAGGGATGAAAAATGGCCGCTATGTGTGCCACTGTGACCACTTGACTAACTTTGCTGTGCTTGTGGTGAGTGAGCTTTGCAGGTTTTGTTCTCATGTTTTCCTTTTTATTATAGAAGGTCATGGGAATTAATTCTTATTTATTTTAATTTGTCAAAAAATTGCAAGTTGGAACATTGCATTGAGTATCAGAAAGTGGCTATGGAGTACCAATCTCGTGTTGTTTTCTGGATTTTTATTTTTTGTCAATTTTTCTTTCACTTGATAATGCTTTCCAGGACCTCTTTTATTTAGTCAAGACAAAATTTTCATTATTCAATATCATGTTTTCTGGATTTTTATAATTTTTTTCTGAGACTATTTTTCTATCACTTGATAATGTTTTCCAGGACCTCTATGGTCAAGAGAATGGAATCTCCCAGGAAAACAAGCTTGCCCTGAGTATCATCACCATTATTGGACTGTCACTCTCAATAGCAGGACTCAGCATGGTCATATTGACCTTTATATGCTTTAAGTGAGTGAACAACTCAAAATAGCCAGGCCATTAAAGATGGGCTGTCCTTATTTTTCCTCAAGTATCGAGTTTGTAATCTTTGGGAAATGTCTTCAGCCTGTTAGCATGGTTTGAATATTGGATGATAGTATTGGAAATTGAATAATATTACAGTTACTATTCTGTCTTTGTAAAGGGAATCAGTTGTGTTCCAGTGCAGGTTTTGATGATGTAAAGTACGAGAGTTGTTACACTATTTTTAGGTAAAGAAGTACAGTGAAAATGTATAGTTTTGATTCATTGCAGTATCTAAATTCACACAATTGAAAAATGCCATGCCCTTCACATTTGAGGGGGTTTGTTACAAACTATTCTCTGAAGCAAATCTGGTCAAAACATGTTAATTCATAACTAAATTTTTTCAGGAAATTACGTCAGGGACGAACACAGCAGACTTTGTTCAACCTGGCCCTTGCCATCTTGTGTAGCAACATCATATTTCTGGCAGGAATTAATCAGACCCAGTCTTATGCAGGCTGTATTGCTGTAGCAGTACTCCTCCATTATTTCATCTTGGCATCTTTTATGTGGATGTTGGTTGAGGCCATTTTGCAATACTTGGATTTTGTCAAAGTTCTTGGAACATACATCTCTAAATTTATCCTTAAGGCAGCAATTCCTGCATGGCGTGAGTATGGGACATTGTCCTTTTATTTCATTATAATTATATATATGAGTCAACAAAGATTATTGCAAAAATGGTTATGTCTGTTAAGCATGAAGGTTAAAGTTAAATGTTTAAAATGTGTGTCATGTGTCACGTTGGCCATTGCTCTTGGTCTTGTCTTGTTCAGGACAGCAATTGTTGCACAAGCAATTCTATTATAACAAGTTGATATTGTATTTCTGTAAGTGTGAATGCATGGACAACCTGGGTATACTGTAGGTTAACACTTTAAACAATAGTAACATTATTTTAATCAATTTAAAACTAAATTTTTATGCTAAATCAGCAGTTCTGGATTGAGAATAAAAAAGAAAGTAACATATAATTTTCTTTGCCAGATTACAACATTCTCATTGATTTGACTAAAGTTTACTCTGGAGTGTCTCCACTGTATGTTACATATTGCACTAGCCTGCTTATATAATGCACTAGTTGTATGTGTTCCTCACCATACCATTGCTTTCAGTGATTCCTGCCATAGCATGTGCTGTTGTCCTGGGTATTGATGTGGATCTGTATAAAGGAGGGGAAGAATAGTAAGTTACAACTATAATAATTATGATGGTTAAAATGTTTAGGGTTTTCTATAAGCTAATTAATGGTGTTATCATGCTAGTTTGGCAATTGAGTCTGTCTTTATTTTGTATGAATTTGTATTTCAGTTCATATTGCTTTTGCTGTGATCACGACTTTTTGTAGTATTCTGTGTAAAATAAAACATAATGGGCATTTTAAAGTGAAATGCTGAAATAATTTGTAATTGAAGTAGAATCCCAGTGTATGTGTTTGATGTCTGCTGATGCCCTCAGCTCAAATCGCATCATATTTACTCTGAATTGATTAATCATGAGGAAATATCCAGTTTCTAATATGTCTATTCTTACCAGTTGCTCTCAGTCGGATATTTGACACCTAAGGGAGAATTTCAGATACTCAGTATGTTAAGTAATTTTTCAAAGGACCATTCTTCACTATTTGTCAGTCAAAAACTGCTTGATATATAAACATAAGAATAACAATTTTTTCTCGTATTTTTCAGCTGCTGGATGAAGACTACAGCTTTCTATTATTCCTTCCTTATCCCAGTTGGTACCATCATACTTGCCAATACCATTATCTTTATACTGGTGATCAAAGGGCTGACCTGTGATAGGCCCAAAAATATCCGCACCAACCAGTCCAAGCACAAAGTTGCCATGGTCCATCTGAGAGCTGGGATATGCTGCTTTGTTGTATTAGGTTAGTTATCCATCAACATTTTTTGAGACAGTTGGTGGATTGTCTGAGTGGAGGAAAAGAGTCAGTTAGTTTCTAGGACGCAGGACCGGATACTATTAGTGAGATTATTGTATGAGATTTATAATTGATTTTGAACATAAAACCATCCATTGAATTACACAGTTTAACACTTCATATTTTTCGCGATTTCAGGATTGACTTGGGTTTTCGGTTTCTTTGCCATCGCAGATGCACGCCTAGTCTTCCAATACCTCTTCTGCATTTTCAACGCCATTCAAGGCTTCCTCATCTTTATCTTCCACAATATCCGTGAGCCTCGCGTTCGTGAGGCCTGGCAACGCCTCTGCTGCAAGAAACAACACAGGAGAGAGAAATACGAAAAAGCTAACATGGTTTCTTCCAGTAATAATACCAACAGCAATGGCGATGGGAGCAGCACACCGAGAAGATCCAGTAATGCGAATACAACCAGCACCGGCTATACAACAGACAGCTCCGGGTATACTGAGCTTCAATACAAGAACCATGCTTACAATGGTGGAAACTAGGGCGAAGTCTAATTTGTACAGGATATATTACTCAGGGATATTTTTTCCACAGTGATATACGGCAAATGTTGATTTACTGAAATATAAAATACCCACTTTTATATTTGGAGTGTTGCATTGTGGGATTACCAGTGACCTATTTACCATGAGATGCTGGGGAAACGGTTTTTGTTTCATTTGACCAGTGAACCAAAGGTTGATTAAGTTTTTTTCTGGCCAGTTTGAATTTAGTTCTCTTTTTTGTACCTACCTTAATTTTAAATTTGAAGATCATAAAGGTGAGATTTTGTTAAGGGAAAAAAAGATGCAGAGAATTTAGAGTTTAAATCCCTGGTTGGGGTTGGGAATTGATGTCAGTCAGTGTGGTGATATCTTTGCTTTAGGAAATACCTAAATAAACATATATTTTGTTGTATATATTTTATAGCATACGGAGAAAGATCTTTGCTGTATAACCTGTGATATTAAAAAAAGAAATGCTGAATAAAGAATGCTGCAGAGTGTCAGATGTGCTAGTCAGGGTATATTTTTCTCTTTATGTAAAATAATACAGGCTTTAATATTTATATTATATAGTTAGGTTTAATATGCAAGGTATCATTAGAATGTAAAAGGTGAATATGATTTGCTTTGGCTAAAAATGTTAAACCATTTGGTCGATGTTTCATATTTTTGTACAAAAAATAGAATTTTCTTAATTATTTAACAGTGAGCTCTAATTAGTATAACTTACACTATTTGGAGTATATTGGACCTCTAAATGTGTTTTACATCAGTTCTGATTGTAATTGAACCATATGTGCACTGTCAGATAAAGAGAGAGACTGGCCCCAATTTTACGAAAACAAAAGCCATGTAAGTCAGGTTCCCTGGCTAGAAACTTAATTACCAAAGTTACATAGTCACATGTGCACATCTTATCCAATCATGAACAGTGTTACAGCACGCTCATGGAAGTCCTAGTCACTAAGGCAGGAAAATGACTTAAAAAAAAAAAAATGGGGCCTGGTGATGAAAAAAAAATAGTCCTTCCATTGTAACTGTGCAGTCACTTGTTTGGTTACAATTAGGCATTATGATGGGATAGTGACATAACTTATTATCATAAAAGTGAACCATTTGGTCAAGTTATTAATACAGGACGTAGTCTTACTTTATTTTTTTAATTGATGTTATAAGAATACTCATATTGTGTAAAAACTATTTGAACAAAATATACCTTTTAAATACATTGATATGTGCAACTTTTTACTAGCTTCAACCAAAACATTTTGACTTTTTTTGTGGGGCATTTTTGTAAAAAGAAGAATTCTTTAATATACAGTTTCCAGTTAGAATATACTTTGAGGTGCTGGTATAATTGCAATTTGATAGAAAGCATCTTCACATATATACAAAATATGTACCTATGCATCAGCTACCTTCAGATTTCTTTACTTCGTATTTGCATTTACGTGTATGTGTTTATTATCATAATGTATGCATATAGTTCAAACTCTAATAGGATATTTTATTTTGATTTCTATTACATTTTATTGTTGTGAATCATATGCAATTCTCAACATAACCACCCATGTTATTTTAGTGGTAAAACTGACATACAAACCTGTACTGAAAAGTAAAGAACAAGTAAAGCACAATTTCTGTAAAATGTTTTGACTTTTAAAAAACGGCATGGATGAACGAAGATCTGGAACAAGCAGATATATTTGTTTTCAGAGATTTAGTTATTTTTGTAACAATTTTGTATGACAATAACGTTCAGTTTGGGTTGGGGAGGTGTTTTTGTAAGTCAATTATTATTTTATTTCGTATTTTGAATTTTTGGTAAGAGATGGTGAATTGAGTTTGACAGACATGCTTCATATAAATAAAGTTCATGAATAAATTTGAAAATAAATGATATATGCAGTTCAGGAGCTGACGTTAAATTGACAGTCAACAGCAGTGTTTTATCTGTGAACGTTACGCCCTTATGGCGTAACGTTAACGGTATGTTACGTCATAAAGAGGTTGACGTCATTCTCTTGTCAACCATAAAGTTATGTTTGTATTTACATTGATACAGAAGCAATATAATTGACACATTAATATGGGTAAGTACTATTTCATTTTGTAGACTGAACGTAATTAATCTAATTTTATGGCACGAAATGCCCGTGAAACAAGTTCCTAGTCGCATAGAATTCGATAACCTGAATATATATTTTTTTCCAAATGAAGAAATGTACCTATGCGCTAGGCCTATACATTAAATAAAGACATAGGACCCAAAGTCTTGATTACGAGATAATTCTTTTCAATAAAATCAGAATTGACAAAAATTGTAATCTACAGCTTCCGAACAGTTTGACATTTTCTTTTGTTAACGGTTCAAAAGAAAACCTGACTCGGTTTATTCTGCATTGAACATATTTTTACTGGGAATGATGATGAAGCGCATTAGTTTTCTCTACGTTTGGCCCTGTTAACTCCGCCTGCCTTGATTTTATTATTTTTTTTTATTACCAAACAATTTCAGTCGAAAATCGGTCTTGAATTCATTTTTCTGTATTACACCATGCTCTTTTTGGTCACCAAGCCCCATGGACTTTCAAAAAAAAAAAAAATGTGCTTGCATTAAATTATATTTATCCACAGTGATGACGCTAGACCTATTTTAACTCTATTTTGCAAAGTCATGAAGTAAATCATAAAATAAGGATGTGCCGGCCATGAGTTCTTTTGTGAAAATGTCCCAGTTATTTTTTCCGAACACAAAGTTTGCATTTACAGCCGTGCTCAATATGTGTTAAGATATTTTGGTGAAAATGAATCTTGGTAACGGAAGCGTGTGAAAATGTCGTAGGTGATAGAGCTTGCGCATATAAAGTAATGTGTCAATGTTATATGTTCTATAGATTGCGTAAAAAATATTATGTACATGCATGATCTTAGGGTTCGACGTGAAAAGCCGAGCAACAGAGTTTGTACTATTTTTGCCTTTGAAGACGCCAAGTATTTTGCTCGACGCTCTCTCTGTGTTGCGTCATAGACAGAGTGATGTCATATTCATATCAACCAAATGTTCATGTAGCTACGGAGATATGAACAGATAGATAAAATTTGACGATGGGTAAGTTGTTTTGTTATGATGTAACAGCGGTTCACGTCGCAAAAATTCCACTTTAAACAAACTTTGAAATTCTAGTTGCTTTACAGTGTTTTTTTTACGTTTTAGGATTATTTAGAAAAAAGGAGTTACGGGATCTCACCGTAAAGGTTGATCCTCAGCATTATCAGATAAAGATTCAAGATTTCAACACATTGAAAAACAGCCTGAACCACGCCCTCTTGACGATGAGGCAAACTGTGAAGGATGTAAACGAGAAAACCCTTCATATTGCCGATCTTGAGGACAAAATGGAAAATACGTCAAGCCACATTGCTGACTCAGAAAACAACATTGGTGAGTTTATGGATTCATTTCAGCAACATGCATAATGAACAAAACCTAAGTTGCGATGCTGCATATCATTTAATCATTTAAAATGTTCATCCCTCTGCAGTGCACTATTTGGTATAACTAATTTTCCCAACATGGTGGAACAATATTTAGCCAATAAGTTCTTAGCGTATTCGAAAAACAGCGGATTTTTAATGACGATGTTGTTATCATGTGACATTTTTTGACAGCAATGATTGAGCAGATGTGTGAGGAAAAAGAGCAGGCACTGAAAATTGTAAAACAGCAAAACACAACACTTCGTGAAGAAAAGTTGGCCGCCCAGAATGAAGTTTCAGTAAAGAAAGATGAACTCGGTAGGTATTGTTAAATCCATTATTAACTTTTCTTGTAAATTTAGATATTGTATTGTTTCCGTTTCGTATAAGATGGAGATATTTAGAATGATATTGAAATGTGTAACGTGTTACCAGAATTGGGGACTAGACGAATTCAACCGATATTGGTTTTATCTTTTAGAAGTTCTTAAGAAAGACTTGAGGGCAAAATGTGAAAGACTTGCCCAACAAGACAAGACTATTGCTGCCCTGAATGAAGTGCTCATTGCCAAGGACAGAAGCGAAATTCTGGAGGCCCGCGAAAAAGCAGAACTGAAGAGAAAAGTGAATGAATTAACACTGGCCCTGGCATCACGAGACCGGGAAGTAGAAGATCTACATTTAAGCCTGACCAAGGCAAAGGTAAGTTTTTCTTCATCTTCAGATTTTTTTGTGTGTGTCTGTGTGCTTTGAGTAATATGGGGATAGGGGCGTTTTTGTAAATTACACATCTAACAGGCATAGCTCGTTGCACGAAATCTTTTTAAAATATTGACAATCTGTATTGTTATGCTGTGTATTTTATTCAGAATGAAATGGCGAGCCTCGCTATGAAGACAACTCAGCTGCAGAAGAATGTCTTAGAAGAACTGAATGCCGTGACCAAAGAACAAACTGTTGTTCTGCGGAAAATGAAAGGTGCGTTGGTCATATAGAATTGAATGATCTGTAAGATAATAGAAAGTTGTGACCTCTAATTGGTGATAGTGGTATTTTAATTGAAGTAGATACTAATTTTGATGAAGCAGACTTTTCGTTTCATTTTTTGCTTACCCTGTTGAACGTAAAGAAGAAGCTGTGGTTTGACAACACTGTGTTCACGTCTACCGGCAGCGATTACAATTTTGATAGTTTTGTCGTAAAAGTTGAGCAAAATGGGTTGCTTCAATTTCATTTTCTCTACTTTGATGTATTATATTTTTGTTTAAATGTGGTCTTCTTATTACATAACATTTTAGAGCGCAGTCCTGGGCGCTTGATCGATTTCTTGGAAAAACAAGAATACAACATTTTGTCCAGGAAAGAAAAGTTCCAGATGCGCCAACAGGTAGAGTTGTTGTGTATTTCGATTTTTTCTTAGATTTCTATCATAATCAAATTTTAAAGAAAAAAAAACATGATGTTAAACAAAAGTCTTATGTTTTGTTCAAATCTTTTTACTACAATGGCTGTTGACTGAAGATCCTTGTTTTTTTCCTCCCTGTATGACTAAAAATTATCATTTTCAGATGTACGACGCAGAACTCAAGGTATTTCAGACAGAAAAGGAGAAGGCCCACCTACAAGCTAAGATTTCAGAGCTCGATCAGTTGGTGGCGTCGCTGAAAATTGAAGGACACCCAACACCAGATGGCGCGCATGAGGACACCGCATGCGCATGCACCTCTCAGGCTCTTGTGCCTCAGATCCACGAGATGTCAGCTGACATGGGTGGCACCGTTGCTGACATTGCTGGTGTGAAAAACGGAGATTTGACGACCACCACTTGCCCAACACGATCTTGCATTCACTCCCAGGCTGCAACATAGATTGTGGTTTGAATTGCAGTCGGGGCAACACACGAAAGACACTTTTTCTGAAGTTCTTTTTTATTTTTTTTGTTCAGAACTTCACCTTGCATCTCCCTTGAACATCAGGAAAAGGTGACTTTATTGATACAGACGATTTATCTTAAAGCATCACAATTTCAAATCTACTTTTCGTTTACAATAGTGCGATAACTTCTCGTGCAAATTGTTGTAGGCCCTACATAGCCGAATAAGCATCCAGTTAGAGAAATTGAATATTCATCTGTATGTCCAGCAATTTCATATTGTATATAATTGACAATGTATATTAGTTTGTATATAAGTTGTAAATAATATTGCATATAATTTATTTGTTTAAAATAAAAACTTCAATATATATGTAAACACATGGGCATACCGCGTTAAATATTACCCTCCCTATAAAATGTAATAAATCATTTTCTCTCTCTCTCTCACACACACACACACATCTAGAAATTCATTCAACAATGCAGTGGTATAAAAGCAAGAATTGAAATTTTATCAGGAAAAAAGGTACTTGTACGATATGCCACTATCGGTGCGTTTTAGTCTTTAATGTGGCTCCTCTTGAACGGTCAGAATCCTGCTTTTGACTTCACAATCCGGCGGGTGAGAAGGCATTTTGTCACGTGCAAAACTGACAAGTATTTACGGTGACCCATTTTTCATTTTTACATCTGCATGCATTTACACATGCTGCTAAACTTGCTGAAATGACGGCTTGTAACGAGAGAATACTGGCTGGCTGACATGCCCTGGGACTGACGTCGGGAGTAAGCATACACTGGATATTATTTTTTATGACAAAAGACACATTTGGAATGAAAAGCGTGGTTCTACTTCTAGTGACACCCTTTTGGAATCAGTTAAATGGTGCGACTAGAATAAAACTGTTACTCGAGGCAAACTGATCTCGAGCCCATGGACTATCTCAGTAAATTGCTTGACAGGTTTGCGTTTGGCGACTTGGCAATTTTATGGATGCTCAAATAATCTTAGATGGTCGCTGAGGGTTGGAATCATTTTTGATTTTTAATATTTGTTTCATTATTTCAAGAGAAAGTGTTAGTGTATAAATTGTGACAATACGGCAAATGTTTGGTCCTTTTATCTTACAATCTTTACGATGTATATTTCAAAAGGCTTCATTGATGATTATTTGGAAGCCGTTGACCTAATAAGTTTATGTATTTTTGTGGGCATATAAAGTTTCGTTTTGATGTAGTATGGACCCTGTCTATGTGTAACTGCTTTAATCGCATTGTAAAACTTCTGTCGATATGGGAACATTTTGTTTGCTTCCACGAAAGCTGTCACTAACATTTCTGCTCATAACCACCCAGAACAAGGCAGTGCTGGATTGAATCTTGCGCTCGGAAGAAGTGTGCAAAGTTTATCTTATGAAATTCAGAGCGGATGGATTAAAGTCATAATAACTCTTCGTTTTGGCCAAAAATACGATTTTCCTGGAAAAAACGGCAATTTTCCCGTACTTACCAATGGTCAACGACCCCATTCCTGCATTCAAAGTTAATCCAGGGTTTTTTTCCTAAACGTACGGTTTTTTGTTAAAATCTCTTAAGAGATTTTAACTGACGGAGCCCTCTCGTATCGAGCGATAGTTTCTAGTGACCTACTTAAAACCGCGGGAAAAGCAGACAACAACACTATATAACAATATTATAAGATTTATAAGATATATTCGTCTTTTTTGCTCAGAATGCATTTATATCTACAATGTGTGCAATTCTGGGCTTTTCGTTATCCGACGCACTGTAAAAAACTCGCAACTTACGTCTGAGGGTTTCCCGCCATGTTATTTTGGTCTCGAATGAACGCGAGAATCCGCGTGACACCATTACGTCATTAGCAACGGATGCACTTGTCGACCGCGAAGAAAGCATCGAAAGCCCAAGTGACAAGCACAGATTTTAGTTTTACTACAATAACAGTCGTTTTAGTGGGAAAATGCAACAGAATATATTTCCAGGCGTTGTTTACAATGTATTTCTTGCGGAATTTTGAATCTCAAAGGAAGAGTTATTATTGCTTTAATTTAAAGGTTTTATAGATTAATTTCCCCAGAATCTCCATGTTTATTATTTTTTCTCATGAATACCAAGGTCTGACTTGCACAGATCATGTGAGAAAATAATTATCTAATGATAGATGTTCAAAAGCAGCTTTTCAAAATAAAAAAGGATGCACTACAAATGTTATATAAAATAATGTCTTTTGTCTTGTTACTTCATTTTACGTTTTAAGGACGTATGTAGTTATATTATGAAAAACGTAAAAAATGTTAAATGAAATTAGAAAATAGTTTCTAATTTGGACCAATTGTGTTAGTCATTCATTAACAAATATAGGCAAATGATATGATAAAAAAGTGGCAATAAATAAAGAAATGAAACCTATCTTATCAATTTGTTTCTTCATTTGTCTTTATTTATTCTGTTGCATAGATTATGTTCTAGTAGTAGTTAATCCGTACAAAATAATACAAAAAGGCACTTTCTTCAATGCTTTTGAAAAGTAATATTACCACCAGGTAAAATATTTCAGTTCTAGTGTGGAACACGACACTAGAAAACGCGTTATGTCACGTGTGCTCTCAGAAGAACGTCAAAATTGGGTGAAAACCAGAAATATGGAATCCAAAGATTAGGGTGGGTTGTTGGGGGAATAGCGACATCGGTAACGCAGTAGACTTTTGAAACAGAAGATGACGAGTTCGAATTCTAGTACTGCAGTTGCTTTGTGTGAAAAAGATTATTCTTTGGCAGCTATAAAGCAAACATCCAATATTGTGCGTGGCGCTCGAGCGACGTAGGGTAGTAGGTAACGAGTTTGCCTTGGAATCAGTAGGTTGAGAGCTCGAATCTCAGCGGTGACGACATATCAAATTAACCTTTACTTAAGAGCAAACTGTAGATTAAACGAGTCGAAAACTAAAATTTCATCGCTTTATTTTTCATTTTAAAACATTTTACAATAGGTCAAGATCTAATCAAGTTGAAAAATTGACATGTAAATCCAATACAATTTTCTTTCATTAAAAACATTTCATTAACAATCAACAGAAACATAATAAGTCAAAACTCTACCATACTTTACGTAAAAGCAGTTATATATACCCGTTGTGAACGAGGCATTACATCTAATACTTCTGTTGCTCTAATACTCAAGCACGTTTCTAATTTTAAGTTTTCAAAATTATTCTAGTTCCGCATTGATTTAGAATTGTACAAAATAAGCTTTGGCAGCGTTCATGCATTTAAATCGAAAGCATTCTCAAAAGCGAAGGCACTGTTTCGGTCGTTAACTGTAGGAAAAGTCATTTTCAAATTGTCTCCAAATACCAATTCCATTGTCCAAATTCCTTACCTAAACTCCTTATAAAACTTCTTTGAAAAGCGGGGTCTAGGAAATAACGCGTGGGAGTCACGAGAGAAGGGTGATTATATAGAATTACACAAAAGAAAGGCACATTTGAGACTACAACGTTGACACCTTGAGAATGATTCAGTTAAAGAGTAAATTTGCCTAAAAAGTGTAAATTAAATAATATATGCCATGTATGGAATAAGCATTCTCAAGACCAAAAAAGCAATAATTTCAACAATTCAGCTATAATTTCAACATCTTTTGTGTTAAACATGGCATAAAAAGATACAATGAAATTCTCTTATTGGTTTTCTACAAAAAAGAATTCCACTGCGCAGTCTTGATAACATAATAATCGTGATATCTTTGTCTTTGGATATATCACATTTTCATGAACTCAAGATGAGGAAAGAAATTTGACCCACAACTTTAATTGGCAGCTGTCGTGGACTTCTTTTTCTGATACTCGACAAAGTAAATAAGAGGCACTATTTTGCCATTAAAAAAAGAGCACCAAGAACTGTAGCTCATATCTTCTTCTGGAAAATTGGGGAGAATGCGTCCCATCCCTCGAAAGTAGTAACTACGACTTCTGAAAATAAAAAAGTATATTCTTAAGATTTATGAAATGCATCTTTAAATTCTAGTACAGTTCAACGCCTGTCTTAAGCATTATCATTTATAACCGAACATCTCCGTCTCCAAAGTGACCGAGACATGCGGATTGTACTGTATAAATACAGACCATGACGATAAACTACAACACAGAGATGAAAATATTGCTTGGTTTTGACTTTTTGCTATCCTTTTACTTTCGTGTTTGTGTATGAGTGTGTGTGTGTGGGGGGGGGGGGTGGAAAGAGAAAGGAGAAAAAAGAAGGGAGAGAGAGAGAGAGAAAAGGGAGCACATAGTACTCCAAAGGCGGTACATCATCTTGGCTCCCCGAACCCACCACTGCATGGGAAGTTATATTGTTGAATCATTTTACCAGAATATTTCGTGTACGTTGTGCCTTTTAAATGATAAAACATGTTAGGTGTACTCACGTTAACATTGGATTTCCCAAGTTACAAATAACCAATTTAGAATCAAATATGCCCTACGTGCTTAAGAGATATTGCTGTGACTAGACGGACATCGTGGTCGCCTCCCAACTCACCATCTTCGCTGGTCTTCTCGGTCTTTTGAACACTTGTCACTGTTGCATTATTTGATTGGCAGTATCAAAACAGGCTAAGTGTAACGGACACTAATCATATCCGCTATATCTCAGTCACAGAATGCGTTAGAGAAGACCATGATGTGATAAGAACACAATGTTATAGTCTATTTCTGGTTGCGTCACTTCTCATTGCGTTATTGAAGGTAACTAAAAAGCAGACTGGCTGATCCCAGAGAAAAGCTAACGTCATTAAGATATAGCAGTGCAATGATTCTGCGTGTTAATTTTTATTTATGTATTTTTTACGTTTTGTTTCTAAAGAACGCATCTTGAATAATTTCCATTTGCCGCTAGACTACTGTCCGTCTATAATGACTAGATGATAGGAATTTTACAATACCCAAATTCAAAGAATATATTTTAATCATTGTAAAAAAAGTCTTCAGCTGATGAATTAATTACAGTGTAACGTGCCTGTTTTAATTGCGTCTCATGATGCGAGCGCTAAAACCCAAGGAGGCATCAATCCAGATATAACCGGCAGAAAGTCGATGTGGAATTAATCCCTTATGAGACAGAATCTGGGACAAATTCATACGCATTAATCATACGTTTCTTATCATGTAACTGCATCTTGTCTACAATTGTCACCCATCGCCTTCCATCAGTGAATATTAATTTTATCAATGGCACAATTTTATCTGAAAGGTTTGGCTAAGTGGTGTAGATCTAGGCAAGAAGTTATAATCTCATTATAACTTCTTGATCTAGGTGACAATTAATGGCTCCGGGAAATGCGACAAAAGTCTCGGAGAGAAAGTCGTCCATTGTGCACGTGAAGATTGCCTCGTGACGAAGCATCATTACAGTGCTATATCTCAATGATGTTAGCTTTTCTCTGGGATCAGGCAATCTGCTTTTTATTTACCTTCAATAACGCAATGAGAAGTGTCGCAACTAGAAATAGACTGACAATAAATGGCTCCGGGAAATGCGATAAAAGTCTCGGAGAGAAAGTCGTCCATTGTGCACGTGAAGATTGTCTCGTGACGTGGCGTAATTTCCCTCTGGGACATACTTTTCAATTATCAGTTTATAAATTGAAAAGCATGGAGCACTTTTAAGCCTTTTGATGGTTTATTTTATCATATTATTGTGCTCTAGGCGCTGTTAATATTAACGCAACAACACAATCAAAATGCTTAGAGAGAAATCTATGGTTGCCATTAAAACTTTTGTTGGGGGCGTGATTGAAAAGGGAGATGAAATAAAGTTGATTGAAATTTTGTCTCCACCCAAACCATATAAATGTATGTCTGATCTTTGAATATTCTAGTGTTCAGCTATTTGAAGCTAAGTTTAAGTCTTCATGTTTTAAGTAAGGTTTCATAATAATTGATTCAAAGATGCGTTTGGGATGCACAAGTAAATTTGCAATGATGAATTTGTAGACATATGGAGCGTTCAGATAATTCCATCGTGCTAGCTGGATCGATGCAACACTGTCATCGGCTTTAATGTCTGACACGCCTCCTCGAGATGTTGAGGGGTAAATCAGCCGAGCGCAAACAAAAGATATAACTACTCCCCTAGCTACAGTACTCAAGGAGAAGTGTCAGCTGATTACACTGAATGCAATTAAGCGAGAATCCCCCGATATGTTGGTCGATCCAGCTGGTACTTGTACGATGTTTGAACCTGAACGCATTCATTGTTTCAATTAATTAATTAGGTACACATCTACATTTCACAGTCTTCATGTGTGTAAAGCTTCAATGAAACTGGTCTGTAGCCAGTAGAAAGATCTGCCCGGCTTCGACTGATTTATGTCTATGTAAAATATAAAGTGTTTTAGAAATAA